CCCGCCTCTCTCCACAATCCTTCCTGTCTCTACTGCAGTCAGCCTCTCTGTCTCTCGCTGTCTCTCTCTTCCGCCAGCATTTATTTCATTAATTGGATTGGGCTCAAGTTTGACAAGATCTACCCAAGCCAAGTTACACACCGTCACCATGGGCTCCCCTAAGGCCTCGACCACTCTGTCTCTGTGGAATCGCAAACGCGATCTGCTCTACTTCGTCTTCTTCGTTATCCATATCCCCATCGTCTTTTGTGAGTCGAGTCCTGCTTGAACTGACCAGCTCGCGCAACCCATGCGACATCCTCACTAACCACCAATCTACCCAATAGTGGTCGATACCGTGCACCTGCAGCCGTCCGTCCTGACCTTCAAATTCTCCTACGATGTCCGCGACTTCTACTTCCGCAACTACCAGGACAAGTTCTTCATGGACACCCCGCCCGGCTGGTTCAAGTTCTTCTCGTACATGGAGCTCTACTACCACGGACCCTTGAGCATCTGGGCCGTCTGGGCGCTGTGGAAAGGTACGGAAACCCGTGCATACTCTAGTCATACTTCTCTCGTTTCGGTCTCAGTCAATCGTTGAATGAACGAATGGCATGATAATATGCAACTTCCCTCGGAGTCGCTAGATGCATCACTAACGCGCCGCATGACCTAGATGACCCTATGGTTCCCGTCCACCTCCTCTGTTTCGGAGTCCAGGCCCTGGTCACCACCATCGTCTGCCTCATTGAGATGTGGGCCTGGACTGATCGCACCCTTGGCCAGAAGCAGCAGCTGTCCATGTTGTATGCCCCGTATGCAGCGTTTGGTAGGTTCCCACCCTCTCTGTCCCCATCTCACTCCCCATTCTTTGTTCTTTGTTTCGTGGAAGTGATGCGCTAATATCGACATGTTTCTGTGTCTGTAGGCGGCTTCATCGCATTGGATATGATATCTAGACTGCGGCGTCAGATCCTGGCAAAGTCGAAGCGTGACAAACGCGAGTAATTTACCTCTCTCTCGGCCGCTCGTTGTGGATTATTCTTTGGCCCTGATGGTGTACAGGTTCATGATGTTGGTTGAATTTACGATGTCATGTCACTACTAGGTCTATGTATTAAGAGATACCCATATTTCTCAGATAATTGGCCATTTATTATCTTTCCGTCAGTCGTGTGAGATATTCGTACTTGTAGGATATTGGTAAAATTCACATCTAGATCGACCTTACGCTATGGGTACTTTCTCAGGTACTTTCTCGGAGATAGTCGCACATTACTCCGTACATTCGACGGATCGACGTGAAGACCAGAAAATGGCTAAAAATGGATGGTACCATCAGCGCCACAGGCAGAAATGACATAAAAAAATATACACGCCATGTTAACGCCTCTAATAATGCAGGTGACCAGAAACCAAGGGGGGGGGGGGGTCTAATGAGCTGGCTAATGACTTAGTTCCGTATGTCCTTGGTGGCTGAGGATGCAATTAGCCAACGGCCTCGGCACGGGAAAGTGAAGCATGCCGTGACCAGAAAGCATTTCTTTACTGCGCCTCGTCGATCAAAATGAAGGGGTTGGGACTTTCGTCATACGTCACTAAGAACTCGGATACATACAGTACACCGTTAGGTACAAAGCCGCCCGGGTGGGGAAGGGGGTGAATCAGATCAGGAATCCAATGGCGCCGTCTAGGTCACCGTTGGCGGCATCCAATGCGCGCGCCGCCTCTTCCCGTGTGAATCCTAGCTCGGTGATCTTCGCGATGGAGTCCTGCGGCCAGCGGGATGATTGCCCCGCGGCCGGGCGGATGTTGATGCCGGGATTTGACGAGGCGGCGGCTGAGGATGATGGGCCAGCAGCAGCGCCACTGGAACCTTGACCTCCACCGGCTTGATGCGTGACGGCCCCTGTGCGAGCGCCGACTTCGGCGCCGTCGGGGCCTCTGATCATCGGCTCGTCCTCGAATTCATCCTGTAGATGTTTCGGAATGTCGGCTTCTCCCAGGAAAGGCACCGCCTGATCTTGGATGACCAGAGCGTTCCTCTTGAGATCGATGCACGCCTGGTGGCGCTTCAACATATCCAGACCCAGAAGCAGGTCGATGTGCTTGCCTTCCATGACGGTGAAGGAGCACGGGAGAAACATGCTACCGATTTTGATTTGGGCGGAGTGTACTCGACCGAGGATAGTTGCCGTTCCGACACCCTTGGCAATTCCTCCGTATCGCTGGTCGACCAACCGCATGATGTTGCACGCAGTTGCACACTCGGGAGACATGATTGTTACCTGAGCTCCTGAATCGACGAAGGCGTTCAGCCGATGACCGTTGACTTCCACGGGGATGTACAGCATGTTGACGCGGCCAAACGCTGCAGGAAGCTCGGTTAGCTCGAGGGGTTATTTGGTTTGTTCGAAAAGCAGTTTAACTCACATTCAGGGTGATGTTCCATCGCGTTATGGAGGTTCTCCGTCACGGCATTTTGTCGAATGATCTCCTCGATCGCCTTCTGGTTCTCGGGATTAAAGGGGTCCGCATTCAGCATTGCAATCCGTGCTTCCTTCTCTGCCTCCTGTTGAGCCTCATGCCTTTGTTGTCCGAGCAAGATGTCACGGAAACGCTGTGGATCCTGGGCAGCCTCTGCCAATTCCGGGTTCTGGCGTCGGACAGCGTCGCGCACGCGCGGATCACCAAGGATATGGAGGCGGATGGTCTCCGGGTCGGGGTTCATCGCCTGTCGCCGCTGGAGGTTCTGCTGCGCCGCTACGGAGGAGGGAGCGCTGGGACCCCCGACCGTGCGGGCAGGTGCTTGGGGTGTCCGGAGCGTTACATGGACACCCAGCATGTCTCCTTCGCCTATTCCGACTTGTTCCAGGGTACTTGCATCGTTGTTGAGCAGCTGGTTGTTGTAAACGAGGCGCTGATCGGTTGGGGAGATGGACGTTTCACTCTCGACGATGGCTTTGAGCAACTCGACCGTCATGTCCCCACCAACTTCAAGGGAAATGATGTCGGAGTCGGCCTGATCAGGGCGGATAACGCTCACGGTAATACGCCTAGTCGGTAGAAAGAAGGTGTCAGCTTCGGACAATGCTGACCCATTGCGCCGCTCACTTACATTATGTTTCACGGTAGGTGCGGGGAAGATTCCAGCACAAAAACCAAGGAGTCAAGACGGTGGGAAGGACAGCAGAAAAAAGAATAGGATATGGGTAGATGTTTAGTATACACGGAAGAGGATCGATGGAATATGCAAGAGGGCGAACAATGGGGGGATGCGCAGATTGCTGTTCCCAAGATTTGAACAGCGAGCGAGGAGGGTGGTCGGGAGGAGAGGCGGATTAGAAATAGCCCGGGTAAAGAAGGAGATACGACAGGGGGAGTGAGGAGGAGAGAAAGGGATAACCGAGGAGACAGGAGTCCAGATGGTAGGAGAGAAATGAAGGAGAGCGAAAAGCAGGAGAAAAGACGAAGATGAAGCGTGAAGTTAGTCCGGACCAGAGCCCAGCGTGCGGGCGGAGCCAAAAGGTAAGGTGTGACGTCCGTTTAGGTACCCGCATTCGTCATCACCTTCAGTAGCACCGGATGGATTTGGGGGTTAGCGGGCTGGTTTATATTTAGTCAAATGGCATGTTCCTCTAGGTGCTCTCTTCCGTACAATAGTAGGACTCTCAGCCCATCCTCTCAAAAAGTGGCCATCTTCTAGAAACATCGTCGTTCTGCCGGGGTCTAGATTGCCGGATGACTCAGCCTGTCCTTATCGATAACCCGCGGATCCTCTCTCTCACTCTCTCTCTCTCTTTCTCTTTCGCGTTCTTCCTCTTCCTCTCCATCTCCCCTGTCTCGGACTCTCCCTTTGATACATTTTTTTTCTCTCTCCGAGAATTGACCATCGTAGCGACTCACAGAATTATCTCCCGAATCATTGACGGATTGTTATCGGATCATGTTATCCCTCGGGACCACAAGATGACCCATGACATCACTTGAAGATATAATGCAGCTTGATATAGGACAGGACATGATTAGAGTCGCCGTACTCCGCACTCCGTACTTGGTGACTCGGTCCTTTAATCAACGCATCTTGGCTAACCACAATCATCGCGCTCTGCTTTAGTCTCGGTGATCTCCGGCCCGTTTAGGTAGTCGGCCAAGCTGTCTCCCCAAGCCGGAACGACCAGTTCGTGCGGGCAGATCGTCCAAAAGAGCTAGTTACAGCTCGCTACGGTCGGGGCCAACAGCTATCGGGCCCTAAGCAGCACAAAAGTACATAGTTACATACAGCCGAGCCGATTGTTCTGCGCTTCTGGCTTCCGTCTTCTTGTCTGTTTTTTTAGAGGTACATTTGGAGTTGCTTCTCCTGTCCGCTGTCGCTGATTCTTGGCTTTGATGGGGGTGCAAAGAACACCCCGGGCTATATTAGCGCTATTAAGCGTCTCAGTCATGACCCATGGCCCAATGTCAACAATCTTTCCCCCTCCTCTCCCCCCCTTCGTTATCCGCTTAAAATAGGAATGCTGGGACTGACTCGTCGTGGATGGACACTACCCAGCACTAGTTTCCTCCTCCCTCCACCCACAATGGGGACCCAAGTATGCCGCTAACCCGCAGCCTCAACCCAGCGTATCCCATTGGACTTTCGTGGCCCATCTTCGACCAGGGTCCGGTTCCAGGGCGTCTTTAGTGCTTAGACGAGAGTGGATGGTTGTTTGGAGGCTTGACTCGCATCCAAGCCGGGTCACATGGGGCGTCAGCATTGTCGAGTATGTATAACTGTAGGTATTATCTGTAGGTTGAAGCGGCTGCGGAAGTTACATCCTACTGATCAGGACTGTGGATGACCGAAGAGGCTGATTCTCCATAAATTAAGCCAAGCACCTCGTCACGAGAAAAGATGAGTGCGTGTGAGGTGCGCCGAGTTTCATTTGGGGCTTTGGCCATGGCCACGTCATGGCGCAAACCAGCAGATTTCGTGAAATAATCGCACTCTAAACGCCTCTACAAGAGCCGAATCTAGTCTATTCCAGACGCCTGGCGCAGGACACATCGGGTACTCCCTCACCCTCAACCACTTTCCCAGAAACGATTTCGTCCACGGGGATTTCTCCAAGTCTGTCAATCACATGGTGCAAGGTGGGAAGTAGATCCCAGCTCAACCCGTCAATTTGGAATCCGGCCTTTTTTGTCCGACGCACGCGAGTGATCTTGGATGGCACCCATTTCGACTCCTCTGCATGCGGTACGAAAACTGGATATTCGGCCTCAGACTCGCCTTTACAATCCCGACCAACCTTGGGGAGATAGCGATGCACGAAAATCCCGTCGCTAGGCTCACCTCCGATCGTGCCCGCGTCATTCGAGTCCTCGTCTTCGAGTTCGTCCCAGTGAAAACGTCCCCAAACGACGCCTTCCCAGCCGGCCTCCACGTGATATGACTGGGCGCGTTCACGTGCATGAATAGTTGAAAATAGCTTTGGCATTCCCAGCTCTTCCCTACCGGAGAGAATTGGGTCCGCCAGGTTCTCAAACAAGATGGGCAAATACGTTCCTCGAACAATTTCGCCGTTGGCTTTTTTGTACTGTACTCCCTCGATGTACAACCCTAGGTGACGATATCCGCCTCCAGCCAGCCAGTCCATGCCGTCAAGCTTCGTTTGCGAGAAGGAGGCATAGGCGTAGGTGCTGGGACTGCTGAAACTATATGAGTCATTGGGGAGAAGGTTTTGGAGGAGAGTGCGGCTGGTTTTGAAGCGAATTGATGCCGTCTGGAAAGTAGACTTCAGTGACTGACTGGTCCGGTCACGGCCTTGAAAGTCCTGACGGGGACCGGGCATGGGGCCGAACACGGTAGGTTGGCGCCAGTATTTCTGCGGAGTCTGACTCCAGAGATGTTTGCGCAGAATCTGAGTCGAATAGTCGAACTCATCGTGTCCGTAGATATAGCCTGTGATGGCTTGGGCTGGATTTGATGTCAGTGGGGACAAAGAGACAAAAGGCGACAAAACCTACACTCAGCTGGAGGCAGCGGCCCATGAGAGGAATCTCGTGTCATCTGTTGAACTCGCGTGGCGCGAGTGTGTCGTGCTGTTTCATACAGCTTTAGGCGGCCCGGCACCTCTTGAGGATCAACATCGCCTGGTAGCATTACCGCTAAGGAAATGGCATCCTCGATGGCCATTCCCCCGCCGGACCCTCGATATGGTAGGAAAGGATGCGCGGCGTCACCGATGAGAGCCATCCGGTCCTCCACCCAGGACGGCAGGGTGTCCATGTCTAACAAGGGCCAGACTCTCAAAGTCTGGGGATCTGCCTTGGCAAGCAGCTTCACGACCTTGGGACTGAAGTCCTGGTATACTTCAAGTAGGGAGTCCTTACTGGCCTGCTGGTTCCAGTCGGCGTCCTTGTTGACGGCGGACATTTCCGCCGGATGAATGCAAACGAAGTTAAGCTGCTCATTGTTGACACAGGGATAGATCACCACACGTCTCTCCGGAGAATCGAACATATCGACTGCACCGAAGTCGGAAGAAATCTCTCGGGTTTCGGGATCATCCATCGCCTCCTTGCGCGAGATCAAAAACCGAAATGCATTTCTCCCTGAGCTGAACGGCTTGATATTGTCGGTCCCCCTCACTTTGGACCTCGCCGCCGAATGGACACCGTCGGCTCCAATAACCACGTCACCCTCGAGGGTTTCTCCATTTTCCAGAGTAACGGTGGCATTATGGGGGTCAATATCGGCAACCTTACTTGACGTGGCCAATACGCATCCTACCGCTAGTGCAGCAGCTTTTAGATTCTCGTGAAGATGCGCACGATGGACCAGAAGCCAGGGCTGTTTGGTCAGCGTACATCATGGGATAAATTTCAATTGGGTTACTCACATAGCGCCATAGACCCGCGTATTTCTTGACATTGACGTCCTCAATGGGCTCTCCAGATGGCGCAAAGGTACGTAACTACGCAGGATTAGCATCGAACATGTATCCGTAGAAACTGCATACTTTTTCTGTTTCAACGGCACCAAATTGGGCAGCATCAATACCGAGCCTCTGGAGTACTGAATTGCAATTTGGTGACAGATGGATAGCGGCGCCTATCTCGTTGGCGAATCGAGACCGTTCGAGCAACTAAGTTGTCAGCGTATCGTTCATCATTTGCATTATTTCTCGAGCACTCACTTTAACGTGGTGGCCATTCTTCCTCAGTGCAATAGCAGCTGACAGGCCTCCAATTCCTGCACCCGCGATGAGGATGCGCAGGCCTTTCGAGGACGTACCGTTTGTATCGTTGCTACCCATGATGTAGGAGACTTGAAATGAAGCGTCGGGAACGAGTGACTCCTTCTTGGATCCCACTCTAAGAATAAATACATACGCGTGTGGATAGTCCGCCTTCTTCCGCATCTTGTCTCCTGTCGGATTTAACGGCTTGTGTCGTCACCTCGGCACCGTTTCGGCTCCACGTGGGAGGGGGAAAATCGATTCCATCGCCCACGATCCGCGTGAAGGCATTTATTTATGATTCCATCTGCAATTAGTTCATTTGGGCCACCGCTGTATTAGCCAAGGTTTTTGAGACACCATGCCGAATCCCGTTCGAGATCTCGTCACGCGCGATGACACTTCATTTCCCTACATTTTCGAACAGAATATCACTATTGCCCTGAAAGATCAGTCGGGACTGGTGCGATGCAACGTTTATCGGCCTAAAGATGTAGAGAAGGTACCTGTGCTGGTTACGTACGGACCATATGGCAAGGACATCCCATACAGGGAGTGAGTGTTATGAGTGTCTCGAAATACGCAAGCGTGCTTCTAACATGAATTCATAGTTTCCACCCGAAGTCATTCGAGGAAGTCAATCCCGAACATCACTCTGACCACTCGGCCTGGGAAACTCCAGACCCTGGGTTCTGGACGAAACATGGATATGCCATCGTGCGGGCCGACGAGCGCGGAACCGGTCAGTCTCGCGGCAAGTTGGATACCATGTCCCGCGAGACCAGCGAAGCGTTCTTTGACGTCGTTGAATGGGCGGCGGATCAGCCGTGGTCGACAGGCAAGGTCGGCTTGCTGGGTATCTCTTACTATGCAGGAAGCCAATGGAGAGTTGCGGCGAGGTCTCCTAAGGGACTCGCGTGTATAGTTCCCTGGGAGGGAATGTCGGGTAGGTTTCCTGATGACCTATGGTGAACTTGGCTGACATGAACTAGACTATTACCGAGATCGGTGTCGACATGGAGGCATTCTGAGCAACGCATTCATCAAATTCTGGTGGGACCGGCAGGTAGTTTCGAATCAGTATGGTCGTCCAGGTCGCGCAGCGCGCAACTGGGGTGTCGATACTATCGAGGGAGATCTCCCGGAAGAGGAGTTGGTAGCCAATCGCCAGGACCAGACGATTGACAACGCCAACAATCAGTTCCGCGATGACATTTACTATGCCAGCAAGGAATACACCATGTCAGATATCCAGGTAAGCATGACTACGAGTGGTCGGGGGACTAGAGCTGACAAACACAGGTTCCTCTTCTTTCGGTTGCCAACTGGGGCGGAATTCTTTTGCACCTGCGTGGAAACGTTGAAGGATATAAGCAGGCTGGCAGTGAGCTCAAGTATCTCCGGTTCATCACCGGCCGCCACGACCTGCCATTTTACTACAGCGAGGAGGTGGAGATCCAGCGCAGCTTCCTAGACGCCTTCCTCAAAGGCGATGACCGCGCCGGATGGTCAACCGGAGAGGCACCAAAGGTAGATCTCGTCCTCCGCAAAGGCGATGTGGGATTCAACAACGCCAAGGCCGAGAAGCAGTTCCCTCGCCGCGTGGAGAACGAATGGCCCATTGCTCGCACACAGTACACGCCGTACTATCTCACTCCTGGAAGAGAGCTTGTGACAGAGCAGCCGGTGACAGGGCCGAGCAAAATCACATACCGCGCTCTGGGCAGTCTTGATGATCCCCAAGTGGTTCAGTTCACGACTGCGCCGTTTGAGCAGGAGACTGAAATCACCGGCCACATTGTCGCCCACCTAAACATGTCTATGAGCCCTGACCCCGGCGCCCCAACGCCCAGAGATATTGACCTTTTCTTGACCCTGCGTTACATCTCCCCCGAGGGTAAGGAGGTCTTCTACACCGGCACAGCCGGCGATCCAGTGCCTCTCTGCAAGGGCTGGCAGCGCGTCAGTCTACGCAAGGTAAACACCGAGCATCGACGCCATCGAGACTGGCTACCCCACCGCGACTACTACTCGACGGACGTACTGCCCGTCATCCCGGGTGAAGTGTACCCCGTCGATGTGGAAGTGTGGCCGACAAACGTGGTTGTTGAAAAGGGTGGCAAGATCATCTTCGAGGTCTCGTCTGGCGACACGCAGGGTAGTGGAATTTTCTTGCATAACTCTCCTGCTGATCGGTATGCACTCATTCCTTCGTCTAAGCAACGTAATGCAAAAACTAACCCGAACTGTATAGATCGCCTGAGAAACTGCAGGGACAGAACCATATCAATTTCGGACACGGAGATAACTATGTTACTTTGCCGATTGTTCCGCCTCGGGCGTAGAATGGGGGTTTACAATAGAATAGACCATGGTAGCGCATGTCGATCAATTGGGTTTTTTTTTTTTTTTTTTTTTTTTTTCAGAGTCCGACCCGAGTAGTCCACGCATACAGTGTACCTGCCCATGTAGCCCACATCTCCCCTCCCCCGACCAGCACCCGATGTGGTCCCGAAATCGAACCCGCGGGGAGTTACGATGTACTATATACCTCCCGTCCCATTTGATTTCTACCTCTCCATACCATCTACTCAATTAAATCAAATACCTCTACATTCCAATCCTCAATCAAACTAAACCACCAAAATGTCCACCACCGAGAAAAACCTCCGCCCGCTATCCCGCTACATAACCACCCACAACCCCTCCACGGGCACCGCGATCTTCTCAAACACCCTCTCCGAAGAAATGCCCGTAGCCCCGATCCCCAACTCCGCACACTTCAGCCTCGCCTACACAACCTCGCACTACCCATCGCAGATCCCAACCTCGGAATCCGACGTCTCCGAATATTCCTCCTACCTCACCCAGCCCCCAGGACTAGTCATCTCAAGAGGCTCAGTGTGTCGCATCGTCGACATGCCCCCGGACGCCTTGAGTCCGATGCATCGCACCCAGAGCCTCGATTATGGAGTTGTCTTGGAAGGCGAGGTCGAGCTTGTGCTGGATTCTGGGGAGACGAGGGTGTTGAAGCGGGGTGATGTTGCTGTGCAGAGGGGTACGAATCATGCGTGGAGGAATCGGAGTGTTGATGAGAATGGGAAGGGCGTTTGGGCGAGGATGTTGTATGTGCTGTTGCCGGCTGAAGAGGTCTTGCTTGATGGGGGGAGGAAGTTGGGGGAGGATTTGGGGGGTATGGAGGGTGTTAGGGAGAGTACTTGATTTTGTTTGATTTGATGGATTGTGTTGCGATGGATGTGTCTAGTGGACTGGGGGGTTAGGGTGAATGTAACTAACTAGAGATAGAGGTTGATAGATAACTGAACATTTGCGTTCAATTGTGGAATGAGATATCGCGACATAGGTGTATAAGGTGAAAATAACGTTTCATACACTTATTCTTTGCATGTGACGAAAAAAGGAAATATAAAGCGAGAGAAGAAGAAAAAAAGCAGGTATATCATATTCATACCTAACATGTACCCTATGCCAATAAAACTAACGCAATATACTGAATAGAAAGAAATCACCACTCCCCTCCAACCTCATAATGGAACACTTTATCATTGATTTTTCCTCCTGTAAACCGCCATAGTCGCGCAACAGACTGATAGTAAATCACTAGTCAGCTTCTCCTGTCTCGTCTTCGGACAAACTTTGGTGCAAATGTAACAAACTTACAGCATTCAACCACACCCCATGCAACATCGACTGAATAAACACAAACTCTGCCGGATTGCTTCCCGCCGGTCTCTCGCTGCGATCTTGTTGTCTGTTTACGGGCCTGTAAGGCGGAACTCGGCGGTGGTTGGTGGGCCAGTTCGGGAGGTTCGTTTGAGTAGTGGCGGGTGGGTTCGGAGCTGGGGTTTCGGAGCCACTGTGGTGGAGGGCGTAGTCGGATAAGATTGAGGATGGAGGTGTTGTTGAAGTTGAGGTTGAGGTGGTGGTGGTGGTAGACATTTTTGTGTTGTTGATGGTAGTAGTTAGGGCTTGGTATGTTCAGCGCGGGAGGATAGGAGATGTAAGACAGACAAGTATTGAGCTCAGATGAGGGGAGGGAATCGATGGAAGCCTCGGGGAGAACCACAACTACTACCTAGGCCATACTCCGGGGTATTGATCGGACCCCATGTCTCCATGTAAGCTCCTGACTCCAATCGGGACCACTTGTTCCTGTCTCCTCCACATCCCGACGGCTCTCGCATGATGCCAATGCTATCTCCGCACGCCGGCCATGTCCACATACTCATTCCAAGCTGGATCACGACCGTCAACTCCTTTTAATACTATCTAGCAAGCTGTCAGTTCGACGTAATCATATCCCGACCTTCACAAATCTACAAAAATGGTAACAACACATCCCTTCCCGCGGCTCCTGGCCGCCTCCATCGACGGCCGCTGTCACAACACACGTTACAGGCAATCGCAATTCCAGCGCCTACAATCAGCTCTCGTGCAGCATGTAGAGGAGCTCAAGAAATCTATTCAGTCGGACTCTGGACATACCGCCGAGGAAGTGTCTGCGGAGATATGTCTTGCGCTGCAGGAACTCCGCACTCATTACCTTTCTCTCGATCTATATCGGGACTTGGAGGTTGAGTATCGCATTGCGAATGGGAAAGACAATTTGGAAGGGAAGCATGGCGTAGGAATTGTCTACATTGTGCCGAGCACGCATACGTTGTTCTTCTCGGTTATTTCGGCGCTGAGCGCTGCTGTGGCCGCGGGCAATTGTGTTATTGTGGAGGTAGGTGCATATAGTGCAGCTCTGTTGTCGCATCAACGGGACAATAATGTGTGATGAGCTGTGGAATACTGACCCCATGTGCAGTTGACACAAACCACCATGACTCTACCGACGCTCCTACGCAATATCCTGAGCACTGCTCTGGATGCAGATACATTTGCCATCAGCGAAGAGCGACCAGACGCCTCTTTCCTGAATCTCTCGCAGGTGTTGCCTATCCTACAAACTGAACTCTCGAATACATCGCAGTGTTTGTACTCCAACCCAACAGCAAAGACCATCGCTGTGGTCGATCGCACGGCGAATATCTCCTACGCTGCGGAGCAGCTCGTCGCCGCGCGGTTCGCTTTCGGTGGCCGCTCGCCGTACTCACCGGACCTGGTGCTAGTGAATGAGTTCGCAATGAAAGACTTCGTCGAGGCAGTAATCCAGCAGTCGGGACGGTATTTGGCGCCGGAGAAGGCAGCCAAGAATCCTAGAATGACAGGGCCGAGCGGAACGTCGGTCTTGGACCAGGCATTTAAGGATAAGGGGACTCGAGTAGTTGTTTCGGGGAGTGGATGGGGTGTTGTGGAGGTTCAAGATCGGTAGGAGCTTTCTTCCCTCTGTAAATTGAGAGAAGATTCGGAATGTCAACGCTAACTTTGATCACGTTCCGTAGGAAAAGTGCTCTCTTGCAGAAGGTGAACGAAAAAGTGCTACTTGTCCATTCTGTGACGAGTTTGGACGACGCAATTGATTTCGGGAACTCGTGAGTCTTTCGTATTGCATCTTTATGTTATAGCGGTGTCCTAATCAGTTGATAGCATGGCCCCGTTGGCAGCAACATACGCTTTCGCTGCCCCATCCTCGGCAAAATATCTTACCCAGTTCATTGACGCCCACATTTCCTGGATTAACCATGTCCCTACAGATATGCTGAGTTAGCCCTCCCCCCTTTATCAGACTTTCTCACCACTAATGATGAGAACAGTTGGCCCACAAATACCCACCAACACACCCTTCGCCTCTCAAAAGCGATACTCGACAAGCCTACTACAGACACCGCGTCCACAAATACTACACGAGACAAATAATACGTCTCTTGTGCGTGCCGCGTTGAGTAGCTCCAATTTGCAAAGCGCGACGGTTTGGAATGCGGCGTTGGCGCCATTGCCTGGGACCGGGCAGAAGCCGGGCCGGAAAATAGGGTTCTTCGAACAGGGCATTATCACCGGTGGTGTGATCACGTTGTTTTCGGTTGTGGTGAGCTTGTCGACATTGGGATATTATGCGTTTGGGGTTGTTAGAAGAATTCGTTGAGCTTGGTTCCATTTTTCGGGGAGTCTGTATGCATTAGGTTGTGTTGAAGATAATTAAATGATAGCCAGAGGATATAGGGATTGCATTGGCATTCTCTTAGTTAGTAGTTCATTTCAAGCTATGCAATAATCTCGATTCTTGTGCAAGATAAATGCTTAAAGCCTTCAAACAATGGCAACCAAGTGGTCGGGAACAAGGGTTCAATATGTTTGGTCCCCAATACTTCGAAACAAAGACTACGACCCGAGAAATGATAAATCATTTATTTTTCGAAAAAGCGATGGACCTTCTCCGAAAAGAAGAGAGGGGGAAAATTTAAGAGGCTTGTTCTATACTTAGATCTGCTCAAAGATGCTTCCGTTTTCGGTAACTGACGTCAACACCGGCACGGCATGGAACATTGCATTGAACAGCGAGGACCTTGATAAGATGAGCAAATCTAATGAATAAAGTCCTTTATTCATAAGCAACCTTCAAGCCCTCCTCACCTGCACACCCGTACACCCTCTGTTACAAACCAACAATGGCGCCCCCTTCTGCCGATGCCTACCTCATCCCGCAGAATGGCGGAATTTCTAGCAAATCCATTTCTGCAAGCAGACTTCCAGGACCTCTGAAGTACTCCGGGAGTCTTGATGAATACGAGTCGTTTGATTTGACTTCCGCCATTGGCCGGGAGTTCTCCTCGGGGCTGCAGCTGAGCGAGATCTTGCACGACGATGCTAAGATCAGTGACCTGGGTGTTACGGGTCAGTATTTCCATGGACAAGAAGAAAGAAAAAAGCCATTGACATTGAAGTAGTTTCCCAGCGCGGAGTAGTGTTCTTGCGCAATCAGGATCTGAACATCGTGGACCAAAAGACGCTGGCTATCAAGATCGGACAACTGACGGGTAGACCCGAAGCATCTTATCTTCACAAGCACCCTCTTTCAAACGGCAAACGGGGCCTGGCGGTGGATAAGAATGGTAAAACAGATGATGAAGTGACCATCATGTCATCCGAGCAGAATAAGAAGATGTACAAGGGTCGCTGTGGTCCCACCACGAAGAGATTAGCCAGTGAGGGATGGCACTCTGAGTAAGTTCATCGTTGCTCCAATATCTATTTCGATCTTGCCTAAGCTGACTGTCATTCCAGTATCACCTTCGAGCCGGTTCCATCTGACTACGCCATCTTGAAAATTGTCACACCGCCCGAGGATGCAGGAGGAGACACACTCTGGGCGTCTGGATATGAGGCCTACGACCGACTTTCGCCGGCCTGGAAGAAATTCGCCGAAGGCTTGACAGCCACTCACTATCAGCCTGCATTCAATGATGCAGTCAGAGATCAGAACATGGAGCTTATCACGGAGAATCGTGGCAACCCGGAGAATAGTGGTGTTGAATTCAAAGTTTCCCAGTCAGTATATCCGCTTTTCAATACTTTCCCCGAATGTTTCACTAACAAGAATTACTAAAGCCCTGTTGTGCGAACCAACCCGGTTACTGGGTAAGAAGACCTACATCTTTTCCTTTATTGTGCCATGACAGGATGCAATAAGTTTATGTTAATACTCTGCAGGTGGAAGAGTCTTTTCGCTGCCGGATTCCAGATCCGTGCGGGCTGGATTGACGACGTAACAGAATATGAAAGCGAGATGTTGAAATCATACTGTCGGTTCTCCGTATAGAGCTTATTCAAATGAAGCTCGACTAACTATTGTTTTATGATTTAGTTTTGAAATTGATTTCCGAGAACCATGATCTCCAGGTGCGATTCCGCTGGAGCGCGAATGATATCGCCATATGGGACAAGTACGTACCAACCCCATTCCTCACCTGTATCAAAAACATGGGAGGAGAGAATATCTAACGTATAACAGCCGCTCGGTGTTCCATACTGCAACATAGTAAGTGGAGAACAGAACGAACAGCTTTGACAGATATCCTTCTAACAATGTGATAGTGACTACAACGGTGCTCGAGTTGGAAACCGGGTCGTCTCGCTTGGGGAGAGGCCATTCTATGACCCGAACTCAATCTCTCGTAGAGAGGCACTCGGTTTGGGGGTGTAGTAGATGGATTGGAAATGTTTTTAATCTAATCAAGTTTTTTTTGCAAATTCGAACCTTCAAAATATGGCCATTTTAGCTTAGCTGTTCGAGTCCGGTTCGATGTCTGAACTACATTCGATTCAGGTAATAATGAAATTATTGAAATTTCTGAATCCATTCAACGAATCCGTCAGATGTCTCAGATATGAACTACTTTGAACCGTCGGAAACAGCGGAACCGTCCTCCCAGAATGATCGCGTCAAGACCGCCGAAAACGGAAATTGAAAACGTCCAGGTATGAGGGTTTCTAGAAGAGTTAATTCCAGTGTTTTGATTATTTTCTGGGGCACCTTCATTGCACAACATCTTTTACACAAGGCTATCTTGGTCAAGAAATGAATTCCCCATCTTCGATCACTCTCGATTATACTCTCCACGATCTTTACACCTCTGACTCCAACGATGACCCCAACACAGTCTTAATATATTACCCTCTTCAGTTCGGACACAATAATGAAGGTACACAAGCAAAGTTTGCCTATGGGTACAGAGTAGAAGATGGGGATGAGGGCGCGACGTCATGCCTAGCGATGGCAGCCAATATGGTGCCGCAACGATACGGATTTTCGGCGGGCAAGATGCCTCTTGTTATCCTGAACTTTATTTCACAGGGGCAACAACCTGGCAGCGAAGATATCAAGCGCTCTGCAGAAGTCGATCCCATGCCCTCCCATCTTCTTGACATCTACCGAACGTTCGCCCAGTTACGGACCGACCAACGACCATCCGTAAGTTTTGCGAAAAGTCCGGACAGCATCGAGTTGGGCTTGGACGAGAAGATTGCGGTTCTTCTGCCCACGGATTGTCTATCACATTTACCTCACCTTACCTGTCCGGAGACGCACTATGAGGTCTTGTCAAAGCGCGGTCTGGCTGTATCCGGCTTACCAACACCGCCGTCCCAGGTGATTGACACCTTGCTTGTGGACTATAAGGATCCCGGCGCTCTTGCCAAAGAGATTACTCGGATGACCGATTCAATTGCACAGAATAAAGTCCCGTTCATGGTCAAACTACCCCAGTCGATTTCAGGAATGGGTACCTTCGCAATAACTTCGGAAACCGATCGAGCGCATGTGAAGGCCATTCTCACAAGGCAGTTAGGAATCATGCTACAGCAGCTCAACCAAACCAACCAAAACCTCTATCCCTGTTCAATTGTCTTGCAAGATTTCATCGACGGACCCGTGGTGGCGTTGTCTTTCTTCGTCACGAAGACTGGAAAACTTATATATATTTCTTGTTGCGAGCAATTATTCGACGAACACTCGCACTGGATCGGCGGATCGATCTCCTATCGACAGCAAGCAGTATATAAAAAGACGTTTTCAAAGATCACGGAGAAGGTTGCTGCGTTTTTACATCGCAAGGGGTATCACGGCCCTGCTGGGATCGATATTGTCACGAATCAAGCTACTGGAGAGCAGACGATCATTGATCTCAATGTTCGGGTTACTGGTACTTTTCATTTAGGGCCTCTTACGGGCCATTTTACCAGTCGGGGGTTGTTCGACGCTGCTATGACTACTGGGGATTTCTGTTGTTCTCGGGACTCGTTTGAAGGAGCTTTTGCGGAAGAGATTCGAGAAGGCAGTTTGATTGTCAGTGGCTGGGTCCATGACGAGTCGGGATTAAAGAGTCATGCTGCGATTACTATAGGGGCCAGGGATGCTGATCATTTGAAAGAGTATCTTCAGCGGATCAGGATTTTTGGTTTACCAAATTAAGTTATATGCGAATAGAGAATTAGTATTCTAATGGTAATCTACTTGATGCTGCAAATTTGAGAGAAATTGGGTCGCCCATATAGCATTTATTTATTACTATTATTCTACTTGTGTTATGAAGTCGCATTAGGTCCCTGCCTCGCCCCTAGCATAACCGACTGCAAAAACTTTTCTAACCCCTTCACATCATCTATATCCGAGAGAAATCCCAGGTGCTGATCGGGTCTCAATAATGCCATACACCCTGTTGACCCGATCCCGAAAGATGAAAACAGCTTTCCTCCGCCAGCATGGTGGTAGGCTTCGCCGTCCGCCCATACCCTACCATAGTCCACACCATCTTTTGTCCATGGACGGAAGATCTCCGGTAGATCGTTTAACTCGATGCTGAGCCTATTGGCACAGTGAATGAGAGAGACTCCTATGGTCGGAAACCCTCGTTTCGCCACGCAGGCCGGATCATTCAGCTTCTGATATGTGGAGTCAGGTTCATCGAGGGCCGCTGCGAGCTCTTCGACCCGATGCTTCTGGTCCGCGCTTGCAATGTCACCTCCGAAAACAATTAGATTCCATTGTCCCGTGCTGGGAAGAATCTGCTGTAAATGGCATGCTTGCGAGTCGCTTTGGTTAAGGATCAGCACGCTGGGAATGCGCGCGCCGACTCGGAGATTCATGGCCACGGAGGGTCTGCTGGTACAGGACGCCACGTCTTTGGGCAGGAGGTTATCCGAGACAGTAGATGTGACCAGAGAGTTAGGCAGATAGGTCACAGCTAAGCCTGACATGGAAGAGTTCTCCTCCTCAAGCGCTCGTTTGTGGTCCTCGTCGAACTGGCCGTGCTGCGTCTCTGGATCGACATTCCTCTGGCTGCACATTCCTCGGCAGATTCTCTGGTCCAATGCGATGAGTCGTTCGGCGACAGGAAGCCGTTCTAGTTGGTATGTCTCAAGGACGCGTGGATGCAGCACCCCCTTGATGACAGACGCTAGTTTCCAGCCAAGATTGAACGTATCTTGCATGCTGACGTTCATTCCTTGCCCTGCCTTTGGGGAATGCGTATGGATCGCGTCTCCGGCAAGGAATATGCGGTTGTGGAGACCGATTTTCCGGCAGAGGCGTTGACCGACCTGGATGATGTTAGATCTAGTGCTCCTGTGCTAATGGATAGGACAAAAGATGGGGGTAGACTGACAGTATATATCGTGGACCAGTCGATATTACTTGTGCTCATGCTATAGGGCTTCATGATAGTTGCGACCCGCTCCATGAGAATATCGGGGTTGGATTCTGCTCGATACCGTTCGGCAGATTTGGGTGGAAGCTCGACGTAGACGCGTACAAGTTTTCTCTCTCGTGGAATCATCATTAGCGTTCCGTGCTTCGATTTTATGATGAATCGTTTTCGGATATCGGCTAGATGGGCCATGTCAGCGCCACCCATGAACTCGTATCATCCAGCTTGACTTACGAAAGTCCGTCAGGGGAATAATATCGAGTACACCCCAAGAGTCTCCGTATGTTTCGCCTTCAAGCCTCAGTCCGAGCTGCTTCCTGAGCCAGCTATGGGCTCCATCACAGCCCAGGATATACTTGGCTTCAACCATCGTCCCCATGCCTGCGTATCCAGAGTCGTCGGAAAGAGGCTCGCTGGCCTCGCTATTTGGTGTACGCACTCCATTAGACCGAGGCTTTGGATCGGATGGTACGTTCTCCAGATTGACGCGGATGGGAAAAGCATCGTGGTCGTCGATCAAATCATAATTGCACTCGAACGAAGTCGGGGTTGTTTCCCGCTTCACTTCAATATGTTTTCGAGCTCGCACATATTCCATGAGGTATTCCTCTATTTGGCCTTGGCTAAGCGTTGATTCGTGGAATCGAGACCATCCAGGCTTGGAGTTCGCTGTGACGCTCTGCCTTTGCAGCTTGCCGTCGATTGTGCCGCCCTGAATATCACAGAGATCGGATTAGTAGATGCATGGAGACAATCCTAGCGGTCGTACTCACCCATAAGGCAATTTCCACGGTGTGGTTTGCCTGTGCCCACACTTTATCGGCCAAACCAAAACTGTCCAAGATCTCCAGCGTTCGACTTTCTAGTCCATCCGCGCGACCGCATCGCGTTTGATGCGATTTTTGGTCAACGATTATTGTATTCACTCCCATCTGGGCCATCCAGGCCGCGGCCATCAGTCTTTTGTCGACGGTTAGTCCATGGCGTCATAGATTTTGCGGCAAAGAAGAAATGGGATATATAGAGCAACATACCCAGCCGGACCGGCACCGACGATCAGGACGTCGGTTTGGACGGTATCACCCATGGTGTGATGATGAATAGAGTGTTGGATTGAATTAAATTTGTAGGCACATTCTATCAGAAGTAACCAGAATGCAATAAAGTACATATTAGTACTGACGTGTTAGCTTCGCGGATAAAAGTTCCACGACCAGCCGGCTCGGCCGCCGGTAGAGTTGACGTTTTCATGGTGTAAATCAGTGGAGACTGCCATATTTCCGCATTCTAAGGATCATTGAGACGCACTGGTCGTGAGTGAAATATGTTGGGGAATTCTAGTCGTTGATGGAATGGAACTGCGTTACATCGGGAGCCCTAAGTTGATGCTCTCGGCTTCCGGATGCGGAAGTGTTTCTATGCTTGACTCCCCACCGCAAAGGTAATTGTTGTTGATTATTTATTAAGGAGGCGAATTTAATCATCTGTATCCCCTTTGCTTCAGAGACTAGCATTTACCTCTTGATAATTGACTATATTTGTTTACTCAACATCCTTCCACCAGACCCTCGATCACAATGGCCACCGTAGCGACAAGCACACCAACCTCGCAAGGCTTCTACAAGCCCGAGGAAAATGTCTTCGTAAGAAGCTCACAGACCCTCAATAATATAGTCCACTAACACAGTGAAATCCAGTGCAACGACGGCCGCGAAGACCAACTCCTCCAGTTCATAACCTCGCACCCCCAACTCTCCGCGATCCGCAACTCCCCCGAGGCCGTCCTCGCCGCCATTGACGAGTTCGCCCGCACCAAAGACTTCCTCATGAACGTGGGGCCTCACAAGGGCACCATCATCACCGACATCATCGCTACCGAGCGGCCCAGCTCCATCCTCGAAATCGGCGGCTACGTCGGCTACTCGGCCATCATGTTCGGCAACGCTATGCGCAACACGGGCGTCCCAAACCCCCGTTACACCAGTCTTGAAATGAATCCGAAGTTTGCGATTGTCTCGCGAGCCCTCGTCGAGGTTGCAGGACTCAGTGATGTCGTTGATATCCAGGAGGGGCCGTCTCGGGCGTCCTTGCAGCGTCTAGCGGCCCAGGCTGCGAACTCCGGCCCGGGCTCGGCGAAATGGGACATGTTGTTCCTTGACCATTCCAAGATCTCGTATCTGAACGATTTGAAGTTGGCAGAGGAGCTGGGTATCGTGGCCCCTGGGTCGATTGTCATTGCGGATGATATGAAGAGGCCCGGAAACCCGATGTATTCGGATTATGTGCGGGCAGATCCGGCGACGAAGATGAAGGCGTATGAGCCGTTCGTGGGATGTTTGTCCGACGGGAATATCTCGTTGGGGAATCCGCTTTTGGTATACCAGACAATGCTGTTGGAAGGGTTGGAGCCAACAGGGCATATGGTGAGTACTTAACTCCCGCATTCCCGAGTTATTGAGCAGGCTTGCTAATGTAGTGCTTAGGATGCCGTCGAGATCTCGCGGTGTGTGGACTTGGTGGACAAGAACTAAGAAATTTGAGAAGAAAGGCCAAAGAAGGAATATTCTTATTGATTATCCAGTTATCTTACACTTTAGCACCACTTTTGAATCGAGGAATTATTGAAACCTGAACATTTCTCTTTCTATCCCTTCTGTGCTCATTGACTTAAGCAATCTGAGCAATCAACTCCTCTCTCACCCCCCAACCAACGGTGAATGCAGCCCCAGGACCACCCACCAGCCCAACTCCTAGTAGCCCACCCAGAACCTTCCACCAATTCACAGGCTCTCCGAGAGTCTGTAGTTCTTGAAAGCGCATGCCAAGCCATATCAATCCGCTTCCTGATCCGAATATTTCGTCGTATTGCAGGAACAGTGCGATACCTTGGTTGAAGGACGTGACCTGATCAGTTTGTAATATGTTCTTCGGAAATAATATACCGAGAATAGAGGATCCAGCAGGAGCCATGAATCGGGAGTAAAGGAAAGTTAGCCCGGAGAGCATAGCAAGCGGGCTATAATGTGTGCTATAGAAATACGTCGCCCATTCTATTGCGCCTGCTTGCATGTTGTCTGGGATGGCGTGTATGTATCGTGGATTTTGATCCCTTTACGGAGATATTTAATTCACACCTGCAGTGCTCCGTAGCCTTCCGACCTATAATATCAAGTCAGAGCATATCGCAAAAGAAGGGCACTTACGAGAACCAACTCACTTCACCAAGAGGTCATGACCCGTGTTCCTCACCGCAAAGCGAATATTATTCTCCCTTGCAAACTTCATCCCCTCTACTAGCTCGTCCACTTCCGTCGCATTGATCGTATACACAGGTGCCGGACCAAAGGTACAAGTCCCTGGCTTCTCCCCAGCGCTCAATTCAACCGGAAGACACGGATCATCTGTTGGATAAACATACCCGATCGGCTGGAGAGACTGGAATGTAGAATTGGACCATTGCGCCTGGACATACGCGCATTCTTCCTCGTTGTACTAAGCTCCGGGGTAGCATGATATCGCTGGCGGAGTATTACGTATCAGCTTGCCCGATACCGAATCATTCAAGACATTGCATGTGTTTAGGGATGGCCAGCACGAGTCTCCAGGGGTTTTTGGGACCTAAATTAGTGGATAAGGAGTAACTGTAAAAGGGGCCAGGACTAGCTTAAGCATTTGCAGGATCCGGGGAAGGACGCCAAACTCAGCCCAATTAAGGTGAGCAGGTGGAGGACCTTGATCATTGCGCTGGGTCAGCCATTTGCATACACCGTCAATGGAATCATGAGACAGCTAGAAGACATGCAGTTTCAGGAGAATGAGACGTGTTTATTGAGTTTCTCGAGCGCAAGACCTAGCTGGTAATTGCTTTGCTTGTAGGCCATGCAGGTTTGATTACCAACCTGATGCTAAATGCATAGTATATTGAGTTTTCAATCGTCTCCCTTGGCATCTTGCTAAGGAAGGGTCGAAACTCGAAAAGCGACTTCCCCCGGTGCTTCCGGATCGTTAACCGAAGGGGCGAAAGGGCGAATGCAGCATTAGCGTTATGCACTGAGAAGGAGACCAGCTGGCCAGGGCGCAATTGCAGTCGGCTTACTACTCCCCCAGGTCGTTTTCAAAATCCTTTGTCGGGCGGCTTCCCTAGCGAGTGGTGAGAACGCTTGGCAGGGTACCATTCCCGTTGACTTTCGATATCACTGCCTAGTGTCGGGGTCTAGTTGCTGGGGGAGATCCGGGGCCCACATGGTTGGGCCAATTACCTCGTGAGCGTCTTGTTTCCAGTCATTGACGGGACAATGGAGTGTCTGTTTGACATCTTCGGGGCATCCTGGAGATACCATCGAGGATACAAGCCCTGGAGTTATTCAGGAGACTTGAGGCCAAAGTACGCTTACCTCACCCCGTGACCCCCAAACCCTAAGTCCATCTGGGGCGAAAAAGAACATTCAGAACAAATATCAAGGGGATCCAAGAAAGACAGCATGGAATTGAGAATGCTGTCAGATTTTAGCGTCCAATCTAATGCAGCCCATCATGCCACCCAACCAATCCGGCTCTGTACGCCCCCATTTCATCCGTTGGGGCAATGATTGTGAAACGCCCCATCGCCCGCCCAGCAGGAATAGCGCGGTCTTGGATCGCGTGGATCGTAATCCACCATGTGCGTTCGAAGGCCTCTGGAAGCACTCATCTGCAGCATTCGGACCCGATGGATGCGCTATGGACCATGCCGCCATGTCAGCACAGTAAAATCAAGTCCTGCGCCTGACTCCCTCTCCCTCTTGTTTTCTTTTCGTGTCTTCTCACCATATCTAACCTCGTCATGCCACGACACTCTGTCGATCTCTGTTCGACTTGACCCATGTACACATTATGAGCAGCATCGACTCTCCCCAGGGCGTCGCCAACGATCTCCCCGCCCGCGGTCTCATCGCAGTGACCTGGGTCGGCGTCGCTCTGGGTATCCTATTCGCGGGAACTCGCATATTAATTCGAATGCGACGCATGAACCGGCTCCTAGTGGACGACTACTTCGTGCTTCTTGCGCTGGCGTTTCTGATCACGAACGCGGCCCTTCAGACGATCCAGACGCCGCATCTCTATTATACGGCGTTGACGCCGACCGGGCCGGAGATCGAATACCATGGCAACCAATACGTGCGGTACGAATTTGCAATCATCGGGTTGTTCTGGTCGGTGCTGTGGAGCATTAAGGGCTCATTTCTGGCGCTGTTCTGGAAGCTCACGGAGGGTATTCCGAGGTATCGCTGGGCGTGCTGTGGGGTTGGGACGTTCGCGATGGCCGCCTATACGGTGTGCTGGATGTTGTTGGCGTTGAGTTGTCATCCGCCGCAGGATTATTTTCATTTCGGTAGGTGTGCTGTGTGGGAGACTGCGTGTTCTTGGGCTAATTCATAATGAGCACAGGGAATTGCAATAAACCGAACGATCAACGCAGCGCGTTCATCACCATCTGCTTCAGTACAACGGTAGATATAATCACCGACGTCATGAGTACATTCCCCGACACCAAGCGCATCTATCCCGTACACAGAAGTGAAACTAACGCGAGGGGGGTGAAAGTCATGGCAATCGGACTCAGCATCATCTGGAACACAGGCATCACTAGACGCCAGAAACTTGGCCTCGGAGTCGTCTTCGGTCTCGGTCTCATCATCATCGCGGCAGCCATCGCCCGCGCCGTCCTAATCAACGACAAAGCGTACTCTGACATCGCGGGCGTCGCGATCTGGAGTGTCGCCGAAGCATCTCTATGTACGTCCTTCGACTCCCCTACCGTCGCTAGGCAACCAAACACCAATACTGATGAATCAACGATAATGAAGCAATGATAGTTTGCTGTCTTCCACCTTTCAAAATCTTCGTCTCCAACGACTCCGGGTACACATCGCGATATGACCACAGCGGAGGCTCGAAGCGAAAATCCCTAAGACCGTCTAGTTGGGCTGATGTGCCGCTTCCTTTGCCGTTACAGGAGCGCCAGGTTTATCGTAACCTAGACTACGAGTTACATGCTCGGGATACGAATATCACGGGCGGGAAGCAGGCACAGGTGGAGGGGAAGGAGATGACTGAGTCAAGAGTAAGTTTTTCGGATGATGAAAGACCTGGGGAGATTAGGATGGTGAAGGAATTTGTAAGTTGTTTCCTAATAATCTCATATGAGGTTATTGTCCATATGACAGATGCTAATGCGAGGTATAGAGCCTGGTGACTACGTCGTGAACGAATTCTTTTCCTTGTATAGTAAGAGGTTATCCTAGGTTGGAGTTTTGAAAGGATGGGCTGCATAAGCTCACTGTATAATATTTCGGTTTGGATTAGGGTTCTGCTTTGAATGAGCGATTTATCCGGCATGCTGCTTTATACCCTAGTTAGATTTGTGGTTGCTACTCGTTATAACCAATGTCCACTCATTTCCATCTTTATCGCCGAGTACCGCGGAATGGCTTATGGGTACGCTTAATAGGTCAAATCAATAGAACTGGTTTTTCATCTAAAATAGAAGTGCTCCTTCATCAAAAAAGAAGAGAGAGAGCGCGCGAGAGAGAGAGAGAGAAGGAGAAAGAGATATGGGTAAACATAGAGCAAAAAAAAAAAAAAAAAAGATGGAAATAGAAAGACCCGCCCCAGGATTCGAACCTGGATCTCCGTAACAATACGGTTAAGAATAGTGAGGTGTGCTACCATTGCACCAAGCGGGCTAGTTTACATAGTGGAGAACAACCAGGAGGTATCTGCTTGTTATTGGTGAGTCTGCCTGAGGCCTTACCCATCTAGTTAGGTACCTTTTGAGCAGGTCGAAAATGGAAGCCATAGTAAAAGAAAACGCACTCCGATATACTCTGTACTGTACAAGTTGTTTGGCTTCATATTTTCATCTGTCTTGAGCAAAAACACATAAACATAGTTGCCAATTCTCGGTTTCTAGCCCTTAGATTTGGGGACGATTGACTCTGTCCAATAGTATGATTGATCGTGATGTTCAAGTACGGGACGTATGTTGACCCAATGGTGGTGATTGTCATGATCCTAGTCAGGACCTGAGCTTCCTTGGATAGCCGGTCATCGGGTTGCTATTCAGCAGAAACCCTGAATCAGATCCGGATCTGGCGGGGGAGATGATGCAGTTGCCGGCGTTCCTCTTGAAAAAACGGCTTGATGGCAACTTTAGCCATGAAGTCAAGCGAGAGGTGTTGGCGATCATGAGGAAGGGACTGAAGTTTGGAGAGAACAAAATCACGTTGAGGATGTTGTGACAGTTGCTGAAAATTTAAGAGCCGCATGTAATCAGTAGACGAGAAGTGATTAGTCTTTTCATGCAATGACCTCTATGTCCAGCGGGTCCTCGTCTCTGATACTGCGCCACCACTCACTCTGCCGTACAAGCTCTCCATCTTCGCCCCCTAGGAGAGACCAGTATTTCTTGAGGAACCACACTTTTGCTTCCCAGCTGCGGTTGTCCCAAGGAGTACCGGTTGATGCATATCCGGTGGAGGCATTTCGGTCCTTTCTCCCGAGGCCTGCCCCTCCCCAACACACTAAGCCGGTGAGGAGATCGTGGAGAAATTCATCTTCGTTCACCTCTTGTTGATGGAGAATGAGATTCTTCCGTAGTGTTCGGAACGGAAGGACATCGATATATGGAGGATGCTCAACAGTAATTTGTTCACTACTTGGCCTCAAGTCTGGCTTCAGCGTTTTGAATATTTTCTGTACCGTGGTGATCACGTTCTCCTTGGCAGCGCTATCCGTGGACGCTTTCATCGACCGGTAGAAGGGCGAGGGACTTTCTTCGGCACACACCATCTCCTCTGTAAGGCCAACATGCATTCTAAGCGTATCCATCGCAGCTAAGGTACACATCGTGTCTAAGCGGAGATGATTGGCATGCAGATCTGGTGCAGGCGCGAGTGACCCGATCCTGAGTATCCTAACCTCGGGAGGGCCGTATATTATGGGTCTGTACGATTGAACCTGAAAATGCGGGCCAGCACAACTGCATTTGACGATAGTGGTCGTCCCCCATTGATCAAGACCGGCCTTTTGTTTATCGTGAACGAGAACTGACGGGTCGACATGCGGAGGAGGAGTCCACACACTGGGTGACGAAGCCAGAGTCTCGGGTGGGGGTATTTGCTTCGAATGATCTGATGTCGCAAGCGATGATGGAGAGAGCTGTGGTGTATAATCCCACATCGTAGAATCCCAAACGTTCAGTGATGAAAGGGCATTGTCCGGGATTGTCAGGTGGGCTGTCGCAGGGTCCAAGATATCTAGGTGGTTTGATGTTGTATCGACGGTTTGGGGAAAGGCAAGCTGGCAGTCTTTGGGAGTGGCCGTCAATAGGCAGGAATTCGATAAGTCCGATCCATCATAACCTGAGATCGGTGCGGATTGGATTGTATCGCTCGTCGGAGGGTTCTGTGCCAGCGATGTGGCGAGCGTTTCGAGAGTTTCCATTCGTTCACGGAGCTTCTCACCTAGAGGCGAACGGTTTCTTAGCCCTATTTTCGCAGATCGCGCAAATTACCCGTTCATGTAGTATGTATGGGCTTGAGTGTACTCACGGTATTTACGTTGCGCACGAATGTTTTGTTGGCGTCTTCTCTCCGGGTCGCGGCGAACGGGTTTCCGTTTCTCCTTCCCTGTACCTTCATTCCGTGTATTCTTCTCCGTCGTTTCTCGTGGCATTGTGGATTTTGTATATGGTTTCGTCTTGTCCAGATGGGTGAAGGACGGAAGACGGGGAAAGTGTGGAGCAGGCGGCAGATGCCTCCACAAGACGTTGATGCCTGGGTGCCTGTCTAAGGCGGTCGATGACTCGATGACGACCTTGGCTTGGCATGGATTACGTGGACTATCCTGGTGGTCACGTGTCATTACACTGTGTCCTGAGGCCGCCAAGACTGGACCGGGGTTTCCCTGGACGACGATATACACCATTGAGCAGGAGCAACATCAAACGTCAACCTATCTGCCATTTCAACACTATGCGTTCATCCTATCCTAATCTAGAGTCGATTTATAAGGTGGATGGGTATCTTACTGATACCACGTTGTCATAGGACAAAGAAATTTCATAATCTGCATAAGCGATAATGGCTAAAGGTCAACAGAAAGGTCAATCAACGAACTTCTGGTTAGCCATATTTCATGTCGGAATATTGGTCGCGGAAGCCATCATCTAATCATCTCCAGAGTATTGGGATCAGGTTGTCGTATGTCTCTTCCCTATCCCAGGTGCTCACATCCGATATCCTCATTTTGAGATATGCTTTTGCTTCATTCTGCAGGTTTTCTACCTCACTTGGGTTTTGAACATTGCCATCGACGTCGGTATGTTGCAATAATGCCTCCGAAAGCTTGAACAGACTACGGGCATGCTCAATTGGCATGTAGTCTTTGCTGAAAGTGGTGACTTCCACTGAATCGCGGAGGTGTTTACTAGCCCAACATATTAGATTCATTCATTGGGAACAGAAAGAGATTCATTGATCCAGGATGAGTCGGTTGTGGCCAGACTTACATTGCAGCTTTGACTTTCCCCTGGTCGAGACAACACGCGCCAGCTTTATACATGCATCCGGCATTGAAGGGATGGGGACGGAACTGACCACCCCTCAACCAGGATCGCTTGGCGGTGATAAAATATAATTCAGCCATTTCGAAATTCTGTTCACGTCGTTCCAGGGTCGCAAGCGCGAAATAGGCACTGGATGATGATGTCAGTCTCTAGGCAAATCACCTTGAACAAAAAAACAGCGTGTTTGGTCTTACTAAGCAAGCATCGCCCGGTTCATGGGCTTTCTACTTTCTATTTGAGCGATGCTTATGCCGAGATCTCTCCTGGCTCCCTCCAAGTCATCGAGATAGATCAAACATCTCCCGGTGTTTTTTATAATATATGCAGGTAAGTCTAGCCATAGGCCTTGGGATTGTTGAAACCATTCAAGGGCACGTTCGTGATCGTTGGCAGTATTGTGGCAACATCCAAGGTTATGCGAGAGGCGGCAGAGCAGTTCATAGTCGGGATGGCGGTATCTACGCGCGGAGTCGTACAATTCCTCCAAGATTTCAATCGCCCTTTCCCCATTACCAAGGCTCTCGGCCACGCTAGCTTGATCCATCATGACTGCAATCCTCAGCTCGACCTTATCCAAGTAGTCATGTACACCCTGTATGACAAACAAGTTGAGCTGGCAAAGATTCTCAAGATCGATCAATCTATTCGTCTCATAGAGATTTCTAAAAAGGGAAGCAAACCTGTTAGGGCCGTCTCAAGGATTCTGGATTAAAATGGTGTCCAATATGCACTTACCGTTGGCATTGATTGAGTAAATCGCAGAACTGCCACGGCACCACCAACTGTCTGACATCGTTCATCTTCAAGAAGCAGTTTAGCAGTTCCAGTACGTGTTGCTCGTATTCTTCACAAAATTGCCCCACATAGATTAAATGGCCCATTTCGTCGTGCTTAGGAAAGACGTCATAAAGAAGCATGACCGCATGAGCGAAAGCATTTTGTGTCTTCTCACGGTCACCACAATCAAAGGATGCTTTGAGATTCCCCATTACTAAAGTCCATTGGTACGAAAAGTCCTCTTCACTATACAGAAATTTAGCTTCGCAACCTAAATGAAATGTCGCAAACTTACCATTCTGAAGTCTCCATGACGACCCTGGTTAGCAAGATATGGTAGGAAGTAGTTGAGCAGGGGGGAGGGATCGGCTGAGCTAGAAAGATAGTAGTAAGAACTAGATAGTATTGAACATAGATTATTGATTGAAACAACAAGTTTTGATTTGGTTGTTCATATTGATCTTCCCCTAGGAATGAGGGAACAAGATCTGACTAGCGCATAGAGAAACCCTCTTTTATGTTGACGTGCCACTACTGGATCCGATATGATATACATGCCAGAGGTTCCTCCATTCTTCGCCGGATCTTTCCGAGTCCGTAATATATGCCACATGACTCACTCTTCCTGGGACTTTCATTTTGCTTTGGTTTGAAGGTAAGTCAAAGTCTACGGATATTCATTCTCATCATTTCCTTCCCTTTCCTCTCCCCTAATCAGTAACCTTCAAAGGACGCGAGTTATATGAAATATCTACAGTAGACAAAACTGTAATCTACGGTTTTGAAGTTATGAAGGAGAATTTTTAGCTTAAATAAGGCTCTATCATCTGAATTCGTAGTATTATACTATGCAAACCTATATAGAATGCCATAAAGCCGTACAAGTTAGATACAATAGGTACGTAATATCCCCTGTAGCTAAGACTCATGTACTTTTTCTCGGAAGATTTCGCTTAATTATACTTTGGCTAATACCTCAGTCTACCTATCCTACCTATAACAATCGTTGGATAGCTAGGGAACGTCACTAACTAGCTAGTCAACTAACTAGTACTTAGTATACTTATTTTATGGGCCACCAAGTAGCCAATTACACATAAATATTTGGTAAGCGCGGCTACTGAAAACCCGAAAGTGGCTAGTGGAAAGAGAGTCGATCAGTCCATCAGTCCATCTATGTATATCATAATGTCATGCCTCCACATCTCATCTCGCAGCCAGCATCTAGACTTCATGGCTAAGCTTATTCATGAGTCAATTTGGATTATGGCCCCAATGTATAGGGTCGAATGTTCTGGCTAGCCTAGCGACTAGACCTCTGTATCCCATCATCTTTCTGTACCGACCCAAACGCGTTTGCCGCCAGAAAAGACAGCATTACTTAAACGGGTAATGTGCAGCTTTTAAGATTTGTCACTTCTTATATAAGGAATAATGCCTATTGTAAGGTGGTTTGCACTTTTGATTTCTTCCCAAAGAGAATCTTCTCTGTTTTCTTCACCGCCGCTTTCTTTTTCAAATACTCAATATGTATTGAATGCTTTGCCAGTGCGATGAGGCGTATTACACCTGGAAGGGAAAGCCGTCAGTCCATTTCCGATGAACCTCAACTCCATAGACCCTCCAGAAAGCTAACAAGATTTTCGTCACAGTAGGAAGCACCGAAGCTGGATCCTCCCACGATTCGTCAGACACACAAACGAAGGGCATGGCTTCCTCGATGAAGGGAATACGGTCTGCTCAAGAGAAACGATTTTTCGACCACTTTGTGAATGTCACGTATCGCACTTTGACACTTCCTCCCAAATATGACGGTCCAACGATCTTGTCAGAAATTGTTTCTATGTGCTCGGAGGATACAACAGTTCTGAAGACAGTGCTTTGTCTGGGAGCATCACATCTGATCAACCACTTGGCGTCCAACGCTACTGAGGATAGAACCCTCGTAGCTGAAAAGAACAGACTTCGACAAGAGGCCGAGCGGGAATTATCCTCACGTGCTGCTACACTGCATAGTCTCGGTAGTCGAACAACACAACATCAGACACAATACCAACCCTTACTTACGAGCTACCTCTTACTTTACCTGTTTGAAGTATCGGAAAGTACAGGCAACGGGGCATGGCAGACGCGATTAGACGAAGCAAGGGATATTATTTCAAACGCACTGAAAGAGGATCGAGGGCTCTCAGGGGTCCGAGGCGAGACTTTTGACAAGGACAAGGATATCCTAAAGGTTTCGTCTGATGACGATCTGGCGATTGCCGAACCTCTTCTACAATTTTTCATTTACCATGACGCCATTGGAAGGGTAACAGCACCTCGACCAAGAAGGATTATTATCAAACAAGTACAATATGATCCCTCGCCTCTACCACAGATGCTCGGAGTACACAACGGCATAATCAATTTCGTCGCACGCATTTCTGCACTCCGATCAGACACTGGAGGGGATCCAAGCTTATCATCAGCGGGATCATCCAGGCCGTGTCCATCTGGCAAGATATCGGCAAGTGGGAGCCTTTGGAAACCGACTCTGAAGTATCCTCTGGTTACTGCACCATGTGCGATTTATATGTTGTGGCATGCTTTATCTGGCTGTATTTCATGCTCCATCCCGATACCTCAGATGATGAAAAGGTGCAGACGATGGTCCGTAGGGGCCTGGAGAGCCTATCATCTATCGAAGAACCCGAATTGCAGTCTTTTGCACTCTTCCCAGTCTTCATTATTGGAGTTGCGTGTACACGGCAAGAAGACAGGGAACAAATCGAGGAAGAGCTAGATATCATTGAGCAAACTCGCAGGTTTGGTAATATTCGAGTATGCAGAAGAATTATTCAAACCTCTTGGACGGCATACAACCAAGGAGACAAACATAGCTGGGATTGGATTCGTCTTCTGGAAACAGGGGGTATGAGTGTGCCCTTGGGTTGAAGTTTGTTTGTCATGGCCAAGGGACTAGAAGTGATAGCCAGGACTAGGCTGTCGAGTATAGCTTTCACGCCTCCCATTGTATAAATTACTAGTCTCTTCAAGACTTGCGTGCTCATCTAACATGTAGTAACTAGCTCATGCATTCACTTTTATAGTACTTCGTATATTATCAGATTGGTCCCTGGCCTCAATCTAGTCACGATGATCACCTACCCTCCTAATACAAGCAAGCAAGCCAACTAAGCAGCAATAACCCTCCGATCCCAGCCCCCAAACGTGAACTGCGAATTACACATATTCGTCAACTCCCAACTCTCAGCCGGCATGACCGCATTCGTGCCCACATCATCGAAATCGCCCACCGCGCCCGCCACAAACATCGCCGCCATGAAATGATCATCCGTGGCATGCGCATCTCGAAAACGGGGATGCTTCATCAGCCTTGTCATGGCCCTACGCAGCTGCGGCCCAGAGGTCTTCAAAATCACATCTTCGACGGCCTGACGAAACTCCAGCGCCCACTCCTCCGGCGGCGTCTCCATCGCGAAATTGTCGCGGAAGCGCATCATGGGCGCCCACCGGTTTCGATACAGGTTGTGCACTGCGCCGCCGGTGCCTATGAGCAGGTAGTTCTCGCGACGGAGGGAGCGCAGCGTCGAGCCGACTTTCATGTGGTAGTGGGGGTCGTAGCGGGCGTTCATCGAGACGATGGTTGTGGGTGGGCAGCCGGCGGGGAACATGTGGATGAGAATGAGGTATACATCGTGGATCCAGTCAAATGTTGGGTTCGCGGAGACGTTGAAGCCCTCTTTGGCGAGCACGGAGATGCATCGCTCGGCGGTTGCAAGGTCCGGGTTGAGTTTGTAGTTGATGTATTTGTCTGGGTGGACGTATGCGACAGGGCTTTTGTCGGGATTGGGGTTGGTTGCGACTTCGATTTTGTCGCCGAGACAGTCCCAATGCGCTCCCTGTGATATTATTAGTTTGGTCTGTCTTTGTGAATTGCGTCTTGTTGGTATTGGGGATAAGAGACGCCGAGGGTGGTAGTACTGACCATGATAACAACGCCCTTGATGTTTCTCGCCAATGCCTCATCTCCACACTGTTTCCAGTAATCGGCAGACTCAGACTTCTCGCCGAGCATCATGGTTGAGCCATGAGAGAAAAAGTGCACTGGTGTCAAACCTGTCCTAACTGTTAGTTGCCTGGAGATAGAATAGCTAGACTGGCAGTTCGTACCCATGATGGCAATTTTCGTCTATAATTTGCTTCACTGGTCAGATTCAAGGCTCGAGTGGTATGTGTTTAGTCTAATATCATGACAGCAGGCGTGCAAAGGCCCAGGGATGCAGGTAAGTAGCATGATTCCAGGCCTCGGATGTCCGTCGGGAGCGCCTCTCCACATCCCGAGTCGGCTCCCCACGCGAGGTCAAATCCGGGGTAAGCACAAGACTACAGTACCCTACAGACTTGAACTTGTACTTGCATTGTGGTTTTTTGATTTAACCTTGTAGGATGAACTAGGCCTGGATTTCACCGATCACCCGGAAGGAGCACCATTGTGTATCTACCTAAGGTCGAGGCAAACTTATACTTCAATCGTGCGCCTATCTTCTTCGGTGTGCTCGATGATCTTGAGTTTAGTGGCAATGGCAAAATCGCCCGAGGAACCATGCACATAAGTAGTCAAAAATAGACATATCATTCAGTTTTAAATCATAAGAAACTATTGGCCTACAGCTTCGAAGGTTTCTGGAACGATCGATGACCCGACACCTGTCTGGCCGGCAACTCCACACCCCAAACAATCCTGCAATCCCAACGAAGATGCTCGTCTGTCAGAATAGCCTGCGATGCATGAACAGGCCGATTGATGATATCTCGCCAGACCATATCCCCAACACCGCCTTCTCCAGCTAGGATCCATCGCCGTGCAATCTCCCCTGCAACCCCATCCCCGTCTCGCTCGGCGTCGAGGGCCAGCAGGGCTCCACACAGGACCCAAGCGAGGGTGAACATGGCGCGCCGGCCGTCCGCAAGGATCAAACGCGCATGTTCCGTCGCAGACAATCGCGTCAAGAAGCTCGACCACACCCGCTTCAAAACTCTCGAGAACTCGGCGTTCTTGATCAAGCCCAGCACCCGGCCAACCCACGAGGAAAACACCACGACGTGGTCGTCTTTCAGAATATGACGCACCAACTCACTGGCTAAAACATTCGTAGTCCCCTCCCAGATCGAATTGACGAGTGTATTGCGTAAGATCCGAGAGATGTTGAACTCAGGCTCATCTGCCTCGTCCATGTACCCGACCCCGCCCATAGCCTCCTGACACTCCTGGATACCTGCAATGGCATTCTTGCTAATCACCGCCTTCGCAGTCGCCGTGAGCGCACGGAACACGACCTCTGCCTCTTTTCCGGGGGTTGGCAGATGTGGCGCCGGTGCAGAGACGCCATCATTCTCAACCACGCCCATAACTGCAACCGTGAAGAAGCCGAGATTCATCGCGCCTCGATGCCGGAGCTCTACATCAGCCAGCAAGTTCAAATGCATCGGGACGAGCCAAAGAGGCTCCCCGACCGTCGTTCTCGCTTTTGCGAAACTCTTCGCAATACTCATAGCGCGCCGCCAGGCGCTCAGTGACCCGATAAACGTATGCGTGCGCGTGACGTTCAACAGCGGCGAGATCATCGACACCCCACGGTCCAAGCGGCCAACTAGGTGGGCGCGCATATCCTTTAGTTCCAGTTCCGCGGTGGGGAGTTCTTTGGTGCCGAGTTTATTCTTCAGGCGATGGATGCGCACTCCGTTGCTTACTTCGTGCGATTTTCCGTCCTGCGAGATCACGGTCTTGCGGAGAGGGGCTAGGAACGCGCTGAGTTTCCCGGAGGGGGTTTTGGCCAGGAGAAGCGAGACGTTGGCGTCTGTTGCTGAGGAGAAGAATTTGAATCCACTGACTAGGTAGTCGCCGTCATTTGCGTCCTGTGATGCTGGGGAGTGTGTCGCCCAGGTCTCCGTGTTTTGGACATCGCTTCCTCCAGGTCGTTCCGTCATCCATTGCCCGGAGGTCCGGTGGTTTTCTCGAGAGATCATCCTTTGGTAGGCTTCATGGAAATGGTGATCTGCGGGAAGTGATTTCAACTGCTGGGAGAGGATAAGAGCGGCTCCATCTGTCATGGCGATTGGACAAGAGTATAGTCCCGAAGACGGAGAGTAAAGGTAATTCCTTCATCCATGAGGGTCAGTACCTCTATCACCACCTAGAGCAAGTGACTTACACTGCATATTGCACCAATCTTCTTTCAGCTCCATACGTCGACTCGTAACCCAAGGCCACGACACTATGCAGTTAGCACATGTGGTGGCAACGGCCAGATTCATCACACACCCATGTCGAGCACCCCATTTCCCTAGCTGCTTCCATCCTTCGCTCGTAATCAGTCGATCATAATCGTATTTCTGGCCCCATACATTATAACTCTTGACATAGGGCTGGTGGCGCTCTGCATCTGCGCTCCATTCACGGATCTGATCCGAGACAGCCTCAGCGCCCAACCTGGTGAGCGGAGCTTGGACATTGTCCAACGTTGACGATGGGAGGTACCCTTATTTGGCTTTATCAGACTCAGTCGATCCGACAGTTGCTTTCAAAGTGTACTCACAGGAAATAACCCGCTGCAGACTGCTATCCGTCGTATATGTATTCTCCAGCGGTTCAAGCCGGGTGATATGCCCGTGGTCAGCGGTAGCGGGTTCCGGTCGGAACGCCATAGTAGAGAAAGATATGGTTCTGATAAACCCAGTTCACAAGAAAAACGATGCGGTATTATATTCACTGGATGTTGGCGAACGCATCTCCTCGTGGCCTGATGCAGTCAATGGCATGGTCACGGGGCTTAGCTGCTCGGCTCACCTGCTTCACTTACCTCGGCTATCCCGAAATGCGGAGTACTCGATCGGTTTGCAGATCACCTGCAGTTATGATATATGTTATTGGCTTATTTGTGTGGGATTATAATATCTCGAATTTATCTGTGCATCTGTGCTGTTCGCAGTTGGCTTTTCGATGTCCGCCCATGAACCCCCCAAGACCTTGATCCTCGGCTGCTTTGAATAATTCCGGCAGTGTATACTGCGTTTTAAATTGTTAATTATTATAGATTGATTTACACAGCCTGTATAGAATGCTTAAGATTTCTAAAATGACTCGCTCTTTATGAAAATACTCATTCACAAGTCCATCCGCAATGCGGATACGCCGGATATGGCGTACTGCTCATGAACATTAATCAAGGAAACAGAGATTGGTTAAGAGAAAAATGAAAGACAACCCACGAGAGTTGTCACACCCCCGAGAACTCTAACTTTATCGCCACGTTTGGGGGGCCGGGGGGTGAATTGAGTTCATATTAGAACTAACGGCGTTCAACCGAGATAGCTAGCATAAGGGTTCAAGAAACATGAAGAAAGGTGCCTGACGGCAAAGGCGACGAATGGTAATGAGATAGAAAAAAGTAATTCAGCACAGGAAGAGAGGGGGGGAGGAAGAAACTAGTGTCAAATCACCAATGGATTTGTCAATATGAACGATCACAAATAAAGTTGTATGGTAACATGTTTTGAGTTTATTCGAAAATGATCTACCAATTCGACGTCATGACCGTAATCCGGCTATGAGGGAGGGTTCAAATGCTGGGCCACTTGTCTGCATTTATGATAGATTCAGGGTTGTTGTGAAGACATCCACTAGTTTCATATGATGGAGTGTAGAGAATAAGTTGATAACAGGCCCAATCTTTCTGCCTCAGGCTGTTCGTCCATAGGAAATACGCTAGTCTAGAATAGAATTAGCGTCGCGGGGAGGAGATACCGGGCGAAGGCGGTGAAAGGGTTTGCTTGTCCGCGGACTGCGATAATCCAAAGACCGAAGAGGCTTAGCGCATGGAGGACCCGCTGTATTGTAATGATACATCACGATACATCCGACTCTATGGAGAAATATCGTATTCGACCGCGTATACCGTTGCTATACAATACCTGCCAGGGGTCGAGAGGGATCGCCTGATGGACTCGGCCCATCACAGGCCGGCCATTTGTTACTGTCAGCCCACCTGGCCTCCTTCCCTTTCTTTTTTATTTCTTGTTTTTTTCACATTCGTTCTCTTCTTCTTCTTCTTCTTCTTCTTCTTCTTCTTCGTTTCTATTTGTTCTATCCTTTTTAATCCCTTCTTTTGTCCTGTTTTTCTGGCATTCTCGCCAATCTCCCTCTTCCAGCCATGCTACCCTTGGCCACTATCGGGGCCTATGGGCTCCTGGCCTTCGTCGCGTCCATTGTGATCAACCTCGTCTATCAATGGCTCTTTGCGAGACTGAATAAGACCGAACCCCCACTCGTCTTTCACTGGATCCCCTTTGTGGGCAATACTATTAGCTATGGGATGGACCCTTGTAAATTCTTCTTCGCCTGCCGCGAGAAGGTGCGCCGTTCCCTCCCCCGTTCTGTCGCACAACTCTCCAGCTAACCATTGCCCTTGTTTCCACTAGCACGGCGATATCTTCACCTTCATCCTCCTCGGTCGCAAAACTACGGTCTACCTGGGCGTGCAGGGCAACGAATTCATCCTCAATGGCAAACTGAAAGATGTCAACGCTGAGGAGGTCTACAGCCCCTTGACGACTCCCGTCTTCGGCTCCGACGTGGTCTACGATTGCCCCAATTCCAAGTTGATGGAGCAGAAGAAATTCGTTAAATTCGGTCTGACGCAATCCGCCTTGGAATCGCATGTGCCGCTTATCGAAAAGGAAACTGCCGAGTACCTGGCTACCTCGCCCAACTTCAACGGCTCCTCGGGACGGATTGACATCTCCTCTGCCATGGCTGAAATCACCATCTTCACGGCCGCGCGCGCCCTGCAGGGCGATGAAGTGCGCTCGAAACTGACCTCCGAATTCGCCGATCTCTACCACGACCTGGACCAGGGTTTCACGCCGATCAATTTCATGCTGCCCTGGGCCCCCCTGCCGCATAACAAGAAGCGCGATGCTGCCCACGCGCGTATGCGTGCCATCTACATGGACATCATCAACGAGCGTCGCGCCGCCGGCGAGAAAGCCACCGCCACGTCGGATATGATCTCGAACCTGATGAACTGCGTCTACAAGAACGGAACCCCCGTGCCCGATAAGGAGATCGCGCACATGATGATTACTCTGCTCATGGCCGGCCAGCACTCCTCCGCCTCTGTCGGTTCGTGGATCATGCTGCGTCTCGCCGCCCAGCCCGAAGTCCTCGAGGAATTGTATCAGGAACAGCTGGCCCAGCTCGGCCCCGTCGGTCCTGACGGCACCCTCCCCCCTCTGGAATACAAGGACCTCGAGCGGCTCACGCTGCACCAGAACGTCATCCGCGAGACCCTCCGTATCAACCTCTCCATTCACTCGCTCATGCGCAAGGTCAAGAACCCCATGCCCGTCCCCGGTACCCCCTACGTTATTCCTACCTCGCACGTCCTGCTCGCCTCTCCCATCGTGACCGCCATCAGCGACGAATACTTCCCTAACGCCATGAAATGGGACCCCCACCGCTGGGAAACCCAGGAACCCTCGGAGGATAAGGAGGAGGACGTCGTTGACTACGGCTACGGCGCTGTCTCCAAGGGTACCTCCAGCCCCTACCTGCCCTTCGGCGCCGGCCGCCACCGCTGCATCGGTGAGAAGTTCGCCTACGTGAACCTGACCGTTATCCTCGCTACCATGGTGCGCAATGTGCGTCTCTACAACGTCGACGGCCGCAAGGGTGTGCCCGGAACCGACTATTCGTCTCTGTTCTCGGGACCTTTGAAGCCGACCGTTATCGGGTGGGAACGCCGTTCCGCCAAATCCGCCTAATCTTTGCTTGCATGGATAGACGCCGTTTAATGTATTGTATATGAGGAACATTCTGGATGCACTTCTTCTTTCACCTTCAGATCTGTATTTATTTAATATCATGTTTACGCACAATTTTCTTGCTCCGCTGTGAATTATGTCAAAACGGGAAACTTCCTGCAAATTGTTCGTTTCCTCTGTTTGTTTTGTCTGTTTGCTCCGGTTGCTTTGTTGGCTTTGTTTGTTCTGTTTGCTTTTCCGGTCGTTCCTTCCACGTGATGCTGCTTCCATAAATGGTAATGCCTGCCCTAAGCTCGTCGCCTCAGCCCAGACGACCATTCACTCTGATGATCTTCTTCGTTCGCCATTCAAGCCAGGCTGTTTGTCTCTTGATATTACATCTTGGTACACCAAATCTTCCTGTTAAAGTGACAAAACCTGAGGAACATGCACAGCCGTGTAATTGATGTCAAGATAGCCAACGTGGCAGAGTATATTCCGCTGTCAGGCAAGAATATACAATTGCTTGGAAGTACTACAAGTACTCCAGAATGGTTCAACACAACGACTTTGTCCATTGGATATAAACTCGCCCGCCCTTTCGTCACTTGAATCACTGCAAGTTACCTAGCTTTCCCGGCTTTCTATTACCAAAGTCAACTTTTTCAACTTTTACTTCTTATAGCTAGACTTGGAATTCACTTACTATAAGATCTTGTTCCAGATTCCTTTCTCTTTGGTGGAAAACTGCTCGTTATGAGACTGGGTGCCACATTGAGTCTTTCATCAGACGGCATTTGGACCTCGAGTCAACAATCCTGGCAGAGAGACAAGACTACAGCTGGGAATTAAAGATCTCAGAATGACTTTCGGGTGGAGCGCCGGAGACATCGCTAGCGCCGTTAAACTTATTGTCTCTATAGTCTCTAGCCTTCGCAGCACTAGCGGTGCTCGGGAGCAGTTTCAGGAGCTTGAGACCGAGCTGCTCGGCCTTGAGCATGCGCTTGAGCAAATTGACTATCTGGCAAACTCTACCACACCTCCCCCTGAGATTGAAGCTCTCAAGTTCGTATCTCTCAGTTGTTGTGAAACGCTCCAACGCTTTCACACGAAAATTAAACCATTCGGGGACAGCCTCGGCACACGGAGTCAAAGGTCAAAATTAAGAGCAGCACCAAGGATGGTACGATAGGAGTTGCTGTGAAAAAAGATCTGCCGGAGCTCAGGCAATACTTGATGGCGCATGTAGGTTATATCAATCTGGAACTGAGTACTGCTTTGTTGTACGTGCTTGAGAATATTCAAATATACACTGTAGAGCGTTGCTGACAAACAGGTACCCTAGCGGAGAAGAGGGTAGAAAAGCTTCGAGAGACTATAGATCGAGTATGGTGAGTTTCAGCAAGTACTAAGCTTACAATTTACGGTGCATACTTACTCATTTTCTTTAGGGATTCAAATGACAAGCTTGCGAATATCCTCCGAGCTCTGGCGAAAAGGATCATCAGTTCACCAGACTCCCGCTTTACATGGGTGCAAGAACCTATCCGGTTCGAGAACGCTCTTGGAAACGTCATGCCCATCGCCTCTGAGTCTGATTGGGATGTACGTCATTTATGCTGTGGAGTATAGAAAGGAATATTCTCACTTCCGCATGCTGACAAACAGACAGATTCTTGAAGCTATTATCTTAGCTCAATTCAGCAAAGAACTGGGCAGAAAGAAGGTTTTTGCCGGAGAATACGAGCTTTTCGAACGTTCCGCAGACCCAATGTATCCGATGACGCTTCCGGTAAATGCGACAAGCTACCCTCGCCTCAGGCCTGGGATGAGGATCACCATGGCTATTGTAATTGGCCAGTATGCTGGATCCCAACGTTGTCCGCGGCTTGGGTGTTCCGCTAAATCGGTATCTGATGTTGACGTCCAGCGTAGCGCAGGAACGTTGTGGTATGGTATTCCTAAAAATTGGAGGACATGCTGGCGACGAGGGAGGTTTTGTTGAAGTTTCTCCTGGAACCTGACGAGTTGGAAAAATGGGCGAAGGAGGCAGCGGCTAAAGAACAGGCCAGGGTGGGATTGAATATCAATTACGACAATTACGACATGTACGATGATGCTGAGGGGTTTCTGTGAGCTGGAGCTGGATGGAAACCTCCGTTTGTTTCTCCTTTTGTAATTTCTTTTCTTGTCTTTTCTTTTTCCTTACTTAAATCCCTCCTGTATACACCACCAAAACACTTCAAGCCCAAGGACGCTGAAGTCGGAAAACAAGACCTGCAGTTGATCTTCATGCCACCCTGCTACATCCTTTTAAAAAAAAGGTCATTCCACCCAATTTACTGCTTCAAATGAAACCAAGTAAATGAGAAAATACGAAATAACAACGCAACCAATAGACCACCAGTCAATAATCTAGTCTATAGATTCCATCTAATCTATAATCACTTAAATATATGTATATATATGTATGGAAGTGCGCCACCCAACCCATAGAATCAAATCATACAAAAAAAGAATTATATATCAACAAGCAAGGTAGACACGAACTGAAACCGACAGAGTAAGTAGCAGAAAAGCAATCACAGCTTACTCTTCGGCGGCGCATTCTTCAAGACCGCCTCGTTCCACGGATACGGATCGAACACCAGATCATTGACCGGGTTCTGACTCGCCCTGCGGAACAGATCCGGGTAGACCTCGCCATCATAACGGCCGAGACTGCTGTCGAGCTGCCAGTCGGGGATCTTCCAGGCGTCGACGAGACGCACGGCGTGGGGCCGGATGTCGTCGAGAAGTTTCATGACGGCGTTGGTCTGCGCCAGGGAGATCTGGCGGGTGGTGACGGCGCTGGAGGAGAAGAATTCGGCGGCCTCGCGCTCGAGCGTGTGCAGGGCGTAAAGACGGAAGAGCTGGTGCATGAGCGCCGTGGTCTCCGGGTCCAGGGCGCTGGTGAGGTGCGGTGAGGTGACGGCCTCGTGGAAGTTCTTGACGACGAGGTACTGCGAGTGGGCGGTCGAGAGGCGCCAGAAATCAACCAGGAGGCTGTTCCACGAGCGCTTCTCCACGTCGCGGTGCTTCAGGGCTTCGAATGTGAGGTGCGCGGTGCGCCAGGCGAAGGCCGCGACGATGTCGCTGTCCGCTTCGAGCACGTCGAAGGAGGCGCCCTTGTCGCGCCGCGAGAGGTACGTTTGCAGGATCTGGCACGTGTCGTTGTTGGCGCCTTTGCCGGCGAGGACGGCACGGGCAGATTTCAGGAGCTGTGGGCTAGGTTAGCGGTGATTTTGAAGCGGAGGAACTAAGTGGATCGTGAACTTACGTATCGCGCAACCTGTTGCGTCAGCATGTAGTTGTCACCCTCCCAGGTCAAAGTGGGGAGGTAGTCAGAGTACCAAGGCCCAATGCCGCTGTAGCTGCTGTATCCGTGACCACCGCAGGCCCGACGACAGATCTCGAGACCCTCACCGGCCGTGGTACTGGCCAAAGCCTTCAGACCGCAAGAGGTGGCGTGGAGATCCGCCAGCAAGTCGGCACCAGCCCGGAGCTGCTCGGGACCAGCGCCTCGGCTGTCCTGGCCAGGCTGAGAACCCGCATTCATGCGCTTCTGGTTCTCCTGGTAGAGCCGCATCATACCGCGACCGGTGAAATGCAGCGCATACATGGATGCCAGCAGAGGCAGAAGACGGACCTGGACCATCTTGTAGTTGAGGACCTGGTTCTCGCCCACGTTGCCCTTGGCATCGCGGTCCTGGAACTGCTTACGCACGGCGCAGTAGCGAGTGGCAATCGTGACACCGCGAGCAAGCACGCCACCGGCCTGGAGCACGATGTTCGAGCGCACCCAGGTCAAAGTTCCGTACACCAGTGTTGGCGATGCAGGGCGCAGATATTTGCCAGTCTCCTTGTCAATGCTCGAGAAGCGAGCCAGCATATTGATATGGGGAATCTTGACATGATTAAACAGCAGGAAACCATTGTCCATCGTGCTAAAGCCAGTCAGTCATGCTCATCAACTGTATTTGCCAGTCAGCTCACTTGTATCCAAACTTTGGGCCAATATCGCCAACATAGACATTCTCCAAGGGCTGATGCGTCTGCAGATCCCGCACCTGGACGACAAACGGATGAGGACCGTAGTTCTTGCCGGCGATGTACAGCTGCGCCATCACGACCGCATGGTTTGCCGTGCGACCCAACGATCCAATCCACCACTTCGATGCCGTCAACGTCGGCGAATGGATCGTGAACGTCTTATCTTCTTGGTTCCACGTAGCAGTGGTCTCCAGACCACGCACATTCGAACCGTGACCCAGCTCCGTCTGCGCATAGCATCCTAGAATCTGATATTTTTGGGCCCGCTCCAAAAAGAGTTTATGTTGTTCGGGGTTTCCTTGCTCGCGCAATGTGACCTATCGAATCGGAGGGACTTGTTAGCGTCACAGCCACATAATCGTAAATCCAAAATCCAAAAACGTGCCACAAAAAGGTTAAACATCAATGAAACTCACCAAGAACATCGACGCATGCAATCCATACGGCGTCGGCTCTCCCAGCAAATCATTCGCCGTATGTAACTCCTCCATCGACCAATTGTGTTGCTCAGCCAGCTGCTGCAGCCGCTTCGCCTTGCCCAGGGACTTCTGGATCCGCTCGGTGCGGCCTAGCGTGTGGTTCTGGGACTTGTCGAAAACAGGCTCCGACTGGAGCAGAGCGAGGAGACGGTCTTGTCGGTCGAGGAATTCCTTGGTGTGTAGTAGTTCACCCAGTCGGTCGACGTTGATGTTGGACTGGGCGCGCTCCTGCGAGAGAAGCTCGGAGCCTTGCGGGTCGGCCGGCTTGAGAGCCTGGACCCAGGCAGGGGGTGGGGAGGGCATCTTGGTAATTGTAGGAGTGGAGATGTAGTGGTGTAGAGAAAGGGTGTGTGGGAAGAGAGACGAGGGGGTAAGGATGGGGATGGGGGAGAGAGAAGAAGACTTATAGGAGGAACTCCACGGGGAAAGAAAGAAGGCGAGAGCGAGAGTGAGACGGTCAGGCCGAGGGTGACCGCGGGTTGCCTAATGCGGGAAATGCCTCGGCTAACTGGTGGCGGCCTGGATGCCTGAACGTCGGCGCCGAGTGCTCAGCACTCAAGACTCAGGAGTTAGGAGGGATCTTCAGTACGACCGGGCAAATCATCATAATTTGCCTTAGTCTCCTCTGCGAAATTACGACAGTATCCATGTAGACTGCACCCTACGATGTACGGGAGAAACAGTGCCGAGTGATCCCTTACTCATGACACCTCAGGCATCTAGCAGGGATGGCCCCGAAATCGGCATCGTGCAGCACCAGCGTCGAGCTTAATTGGCCAGCGATTATCAGATAACGATCAGTCCGGGATCCTGCATTGTTCTGATCGGATTATTATTCTCGTTTGACTACGGAGTTACTTTCAATCGAGATGAGGCAGACAATCATTGTTCAATGTTGCCACCCTCTCGGCCGATACGACTCCCCATCTATATTCTGTCCTTTACTGACACCCGTGCACGTCCTTGGTGGATTTAGTGGCCTTTTATATCCTAATTAGTCCCTCGTAGGTAGTCCTAGTCCTACAAGGGTCAAAATACAGGATTAACTAAACCAATAAATCAACGTGTTCTTCCATCCAAGGACCCGGTGGCAACCACCCCGCTCCCTCGGCCAAGGAACACCCAAAGCCACGCGGATGGAAGCGAACCACGCTCAAACGACTGGTTTTTCACACGTGCTTGGATCCCAGGGATCGGTTCCCAATTCACATGATCGCCATTCTTTAAAAGTAGACACTTATGTAGTAGAAAGACCCCAAGATAAAAAAGGGAGTTCACATTTCGCATGATGCGAAATCCACATTCACATGTGAACGATCCACCCAGCCCCGTGGAAGAAGAACCTTTGACTCCGTATGAACCAATAACGCAATCTATGTAGCTCCATACTCCGTAAATATCCCTTCCCCCGGCTTTCTCCATTCCCGAGCAACCCCCCGTAGCTAGGTGAGGAGCGCCGAAGAGGCCCATTAACCGATAGCCGCCGCCGCGTCCTGCGACAACTCTCCCATCCCCTTCTCCTTCGAACTCCCGTACGTATTCGCATATCGGGCTCCCATCCACTCCGCCACCGTGATGGGCGGATACTTGGCCTCATGCCCATCATCTCGACAGTTTGGAAGACAATCCACCACGTAGTCTGGGCTCCCCGAGAAGAAGAACGGGACGCTGTAGCGGTCTTCTCCGCTGTGGTTAATCACGCGGTGCAGATTCGATAGATAGCGATCGTTCGTCCACCACATCATCATATTCCCTAGGTTGATAACCAATGCGCCCGGCATGGGGATCACATCTGCCCATTCCGCGGACTCGCGGTCCCAGACCTGTAGCCCTCCTTTGTCGTCTTGCAGGAGGATCGTAATGGCTCCGAAATCGGTGTGTGCGCCGATACCTAGATCATGTCAGACCAAACCAGACCATATCAACACCATCTAATCTCCATCGTCAACGCCATGATATTCTCATACCTCGTTCAAGCCCCTCCCCCTCCCCCTCCCGTGACAGCTCTTGAGCCGGATACTTCAACAACCTCAAAATCGCCACCGGCTCCTCACAAAACCCCTCAAACGAAGCCTCCCCCATCCCCAACGTCAGCGCCACAACGCTCATAAGCTCCCCCGCCAACGCACACATGCGCTCATGGTACTCATCCACAACGCGTCGAAACCCATCCGCATCCCGCATCTCAACCGGATATTTATTCGGACCCTGCGAGAACTTCCCCGCTTGCACGGAGGGATGATCCACGGGGAGGTTTTTGCCCAGGTAGAACCCCTCTTTGAGATCGCCTAGGCCGCGCTTCTCGAAGTTCTGGGCGCGAAGACGCTCGTAGCCGCGATTATCGGTGGCAGTGTCTAACAATTTGTTTTTCCACCCGGGTTTGGGTCAGTGTGTGGTTATTACTTCTACTTCGGCTTCGACGGAGCTCATATAGAAGAACAAAGAAAAAGAAAGCAACCCGGGAAACGAACCCATACTGTACTTTTCCTTCACCTCCACGGGCAGACTAAACAGATCGCGCGCCTGAGATAGGATATCCGCCTGGATACCGTCCGGGATACCGTGGTTTATGATCTGAAAGAAGCCGTGGTCTTGACAGGCTTGGCGGATCTGGTTGAGGAAGGAGGATTTGCGAATGGGGTCGGGAGTGTAGAACCCTACAGAGATAGGCAAATTTATCAGATATGGGTGAATGAGCTTGGCCGGGCCAGATCAGTAGACGAGGTAGAACTCACCCTCGAAATCGATGATGGGCGGGGCTTTGGGCATGGCTCTGGCTTGCTGTGATGATGAGCAGCAGGACGATGATGTTTGCTGTTGAGGGGCTGGAGGGGAGCATTGTTGGGTAGATGGTAGTAGAGATAGAGGGGTGAGGTGGGGTGGATGGAGATAACTAAGATGGAAGCAAGTGACTGAGAGATTATTACTGTCCTACGGAGTACATTTCCCCTCCATCCTTCCCCGGATCCCCGCAGTGCTTATTTTCCACCAATCACTTCTAATATTATTATATTCATATTGAAGGGCCCTACTATAAATACCAACATGAATAGTCAGGCACCGATGACAGCTACATAGGCCCTTAATATCCAAGTCAATTCACTTCAGAATGTATACCAACCCTATCCTCCCCGGCTTCAACCCGGACCCGTCCATCATCCGCGTCGACGACTCCTTCTACCTCGTCACGTCCTCCTTCGAATACTTCCCCGCAGCCCCCATTTACCACAGCACAGATCTGATCCAATGGAAGTTGATCGGCCACGCTTTAACGCGGCCCAGCCAGCTGCAGGTCCAAACCCCCGAGCCGGGTGGCGGCGTCTGGGCCACCACGCTACGGCATCATAACGGCGTGTTCTACATCATCGCGGCCTGCTTTTCGCGGTATCGACCGCAGGAGGACGATCGGGTCTGGCCAAGAGGGTTCTATGTCCGGACGACAGACATATGGGATGAGACGAGCTGGTCGGAGCCGGTGTTTTTCGACCAGGTCGGGTTCGATCAAGATGTATGTATTCTCTCCAGCCGTGCTTTGTTGAGGATTGAGCTGGCCGAAGAGACAGAGATGTCGAAGAACTGGCTGATTAACGCTCTGATAAGTTATTCTGGGACTCCGACGAGACAGTCTATCTCTCGTCCACCCACCGCAAACTGCTTCGCACTCCCAACGCCAATCTCAAAGACTTCGCCATCCACATCGTCACCGTCGACCTCGCAACCGGCAACTCGACTTCCGAACCGAAACTCATCCGCGAATCCTCTTCCGGCGTTGCAGAGGGCTCGCATATCTTCAAACGCGGTAAATACTACTATCTGTTCACGGCGGAAGGGGGCACGGAGAGTGGACACTGCGAGTGGGTAAGTCGCAGCGCGGTGAGTCCCTTTGGACCGTGGGAGCTGGGTCCCAATAACCCGCTATGGCGGAACGGGGTGCAAGACGAGGTGCAGAATACCGGACATGCCGATTTGGTGGAGGATGCGAAGGGCCAGTGGTGGGCTGTTCTGTTGGGGGTGAGACCGGTGATGAGGGATGGACGGTGGGAGGAGTCGGTGTTTGGTAGGTCTACCTCTTGTCATGCTGGGGTGCGGTTCCAGCGTATTGATTAAACTGTGTGTGATGTAGGTCGAGAGACATTCCTGGTGCCTGTGACGTGGGTCGACGATTGGCCTGTGTTCAATGGCGGAGAGAAGATAACGCTGCAGGTCGATGGGCCGAGGTTGTATCCATTCGAACATCCTGTTCCGTGGAAGGATGACTTTTCGAGCTCTTCGTTGCAATTGGGATGGTACAGAAAAAGTATGTCTCGAGAGTGAATCCACTTCCCTATTGCTCATCAGACTAACAGAACAGACACTCCGGTAAAAACTGATTACTCTCTGGCAGAGCGGCCGGGGTATCTTCGCCTGCACGGAGGGCCGTACAATCTCTCTGTCCCGGCATGCCCGACTTTATTCCTACGAAAACAGACACACCGATACTGCACGTGGGAGACCCGGTTGTCGTTTCGTCCCACATCGGTCCAAACAGAGGCGGGCACAACTGTATGGTGGAACTATTTCACTTACAGCAGTATCGGTATTCGAGTGTCTCCCACGGGGCAGGACAGCACTCGTATAGTAAGATTTCGACCGGCCGAGGGGAAGACAGTCGACTTGGAACTAGCTAGTTCTGCCTCTGACGTGATATTTGTGATTGAGTGTGGAGATGCATACAGGTTTGGGTTCAAGGAAGTCGGCGTAAATGGCGACCAGGATAGTGTCCATTGGATTGGGGAAGTCATGAATCAGGCGATGGCGGAGGCTTCACTTCCCGTTGGAGCTCCATTCACAGGCATGATGCTGGGGCTGTATGCTTTTGGGGAGCTTCAGCGTTGTTTGGTACCTGCAGACTTTGAGTATGCGGAATTCCGATGATCTATTTGCGGGTTGGTTAGATCAGGAAAAAATATAGATAATGGCAGTTATATTAGTTCCTCAGTAGATATTCACATATATACATCCCAGATAAGACAATTTAATCTATCTCATAGTAAGCAGACGGAAATGGCTCGTACCAGAATTAACCGCACGATCTGCTCTCACGTGTCAAACGGTCAATACTTGCCAAATACCCATTCATCTGGTATACACTCAACATGCAATTTGAATGTGAAAGGGACAGAATGGTAGGTACTGAGATGAGGTCGTCGTCATCCAACATGAGAAGTATTGTTTCGCTTGAGGCCGGAATTCAAGACGGGGGAACTCAGGACTTTTTCCCAATCGTGCAGCATTTCGGTGTTTATGGTTGACAAACAGACCTCCCCACCAGCGCGACTGATCATCTCGCTTTCATAACGAGCTATTGCCTCGGATTTCGAAGCTCGGCCATTGACAAAATCTCGGATGGATTCGGCAAGTTTGGCAGCGTCAGTGACGGAGTGGTTCAAGCCCTGACCACGTTGATAAGTCATCGCGTGAGCGGCGTCCCCGGCAAGAGTTACGCAACCGCCACGATTATCCCAACGATGATCCCTGCTACCGGGGTCAAAGTCAGTCAGGCTCATATACCAAACTTGATGGTCATCTTCCAGCCATTCAAACGCGCTTCTCCAGGGATCTGCGAAAGTTTTTGCAAATTCCTTAACTTGTTGTAGTCGCCTGTCATTGGTCCATTGCGCGGTGTCCTCCTGTTCTTCCAACGTGGAGTGCCATGAGATGTAGAAGAAAAACGTCCACGACTCCGGTTGGGCCGGATCATCCGCGTTGTGCAGACCGAAGAAGGAGAAGTAGCCTACAGGATTGATCCCAGCAAGGTAGAGCGGGTGAAACGTACGGAGAAATCGGGCCTGTTCCGCGCTGTAACTAGCCTGCACAAATGTTGCACAGTAAGGCAGGTATCGAATGCGACCAGCGTTAGACCCCAATAGAAGCTGCCGTGTGGTTGAGCGAGCACCATCTGTACCAACTACTAGCCTCGCCGTAATTGATCGGCCATCGTTACACAGCGCGGTGGCATGCTGCTCGTCGTCGGCGTACTCGATTGCCCGCATAGACTTGGCGTATCGAATGTCTAGGCCTTGTGACAAGAGATGTCGAAGCTTATAGCGACGGAGTCGGTAGAAGTACTGGACCGGAATGGTCGCCATAGTTTCACCCGACTGCGCATTGAGAAAGTTAAGGCAGTCATGCTCCGCCGTTGGTTCACTAGGGTCAACTTGGACAGACTGAATCTGCGCCCACAGCTCCTCTGGGATCAAAGACTTTAGAGACTCTGCTCCCCAGTGCAAGCCCATATTCCAATCCCTGGGCTGTGCATCCAGAGTTTGATGTTTTTCGAGAACAACACATGGGATTCCGAACTGAGCTTGTCGTCAGACATCATTTCCGGCAGATTAGTGAAATATAAGTGCGCACCTTCTTCAGGCCTTGGGCTAATGCAAGTCCAGTCGAGCCTGGCAGCCCAGTCAGTAATGGTTGGGCTTTTCACCCGTACTTCACTCAAGATTACCTGCACCGACAATCAGAACTGTCGTATTTGAGTTTGGCTCGGGAACAGACGATCTGACACCGAATAACCCCCGAATAAATCCCAACCCCCCTTTCAAAAGATCCATGGCTCCAAGATTTCTTATCACTCGATCTCGACACGGGGCGAGGGGAAAAGACATGGTCGGAGCAAGAGGGGGGTGCGCGAGTCTGGTCTCAAATACATTTTGACCGAAGGAGCCCATGAGGCACCCGACAAGGCAAACGAAATTCTACCAACCGATCAACTCCTCTTTCGGACATCTGGCTGTCAGAGGCGGTGGTATTCGTCATCGCTGGTCGCAGATCATCAGTTTGGACGCGGGATAAACCATCATGCCATCACCCTACTCCTGCCCAATTTGGCCGGTTGGCAATGCTGCCACAGGGGGCACAAAGCTACAGGCTTGAGGAGCGTGCATTAGGGTGCATTTCCGGCCGACGTTTGATTGGAGTGATAGGGCGTTTTGACAGCCATCAATACGGCGACAAGACTGACAGACAACGGACTCGACGAGACCAAGAGGTTCACCAATAGGACCACGGTATTCCAACCAGGATTGTACACCGGAACATGTCGGTAGCCGGATGTGGAGCAGACACGGTTCGAAGGGAGAGCGAGAGACAGGAGGGAAGGAGAAGGAAGGTCCAGTCTTGGCCTGCCTGAGAGTCGCGGCCTGAGAGTCGAGGCAGCCGAAAAGACGTTGGGACTAATCCACATTGGGCAGTAGCCCGGACCCGCTCCCGGTATTTTACCGGCCCGAGCTGGTAATGGCGGTAAGCTGCAGCCATGGCACACGCGACAAGACGACAAGTACCGGTTACCTCCCCCCGAACGCGAGTCTGCGAGGGTCGAGGTATCTGCTACCTTCCCGCCAATGCGTGATCCGCCTTCGTGCGGAGATCGAATCGAACGGTCCATCTCACTTTAGCTTCATCTTCCCTCTGCCCCTAGGACCCCTCGATTAAGATTCAATAGCGCTACTAGTGATACTAGATCATTTCTTCTTTGTTTCCTCCTTCCATGGCTCAATGACCCTGAGAAGCCTTAAATCCACACCATCCCCCTCCCCCCACTTAGTCCCTGGATCCTCCCGATCGCCCTCTTGCTCGATGCGAGACTCCAGCCGTTTGACCCCCACTCGCCGCCACCTCAATGCCCACTTCTCCATACCATGAAGATCCGTCTCGTGTCGACTTTCTTGACTCTTCGGTCGCATATGCCCAAGAACATCCTTCCGCCGATTCCCAAGATGTCGAGAGTGATGGATACGGGGACTCGGACTCCGCCTTCAGCGGTGACTCTTTGCTAGGTGATGACACGAAGACCTTATCAACGTATATCACGGAATATCGGTACGAATTTGGCCGTCGCTATCACTCTTATCACGACGGCGCATACTGGGTATGGTTCTCTTCGGCGAAAGGCGCCAGTCGACTCTAAGCTCATGTCGCTTGGCTTGTAGGGTCCGAACGACGAGGTTGCGAACGAATTCCAAGATCTTGCCCATCACATGTACCTCATAACACTGGACGGAAAACTACATCTTGCTCCTATCGACTCTCCACAGGTATCAATCTTCCCTTTTCTTCCCGTTTGCCATGGCTCAGGGTCCAGTAGTATCCAGCGACCGACGCCGGATATCCCCGATGGCAGATAATAGCTAAGAACGGCGCTCCTAGGAAATCCTCGATGTAGGTACAGGCACTGGAGTCTGGGCTATGTAAGTCTTGCAACTTTCTGGCCAGGGTTTTACGACAAATTACTCATTGCTACCAGTGACATGGCCGATGAATATCCCAGTGCTAGGGTAACCGGTGTCGATCTTTCTCCCATCCAACCCACGTTTGTACCCCCTAACTGCGTATTCGAGATCGACGATATAACGCTTCCTTGGACGTACGCATCCAATCAATTTGACTTTATACACGTGCGCGAGATGTTCGGCTGTATACCAGACTGGGACGAGTTCTTCCGGCAATGCTGGCGTTGTCTGAAACCTGGTGGTTTCATCGAGGTGGTAGAACACGCAGTCCAGCCGGCCAGTGACGATGGTAGCATGGATCCCGATCATTTCTATCACTTATGGGGAAAGACGGTGGTGCAATCCGGAGAGGTATTTGGTAAAAGCTTCACCATCTGGGAAGAGAGCGCCGCCCGTCTCAAGAAAGCTGGATTCGTTGGGGTGGTTGAGACTGAATATAAATGGCCCATGAATGGGTATGTCGGACTTGTTTGCACCATGAGTATTATTTACTAATATGTCATTCCACATTATGTAGATGGAGTAGTAACAAAAAGCTACATGATCTGGTGGGTTGCATCCCCTTCCTTTGTGGACTCGCACTAACAGGTCTCAGGGCCGCTGGAACCAACTTCGACTAAACGGCGGAGTAGAGGGATTTATGCTACGTCTTCTCACCTCAACACTGCGATGGTCGTACGAGCAGGCACAAGTATTTCTGGCTCAAATGCGTGCTTCGCTACGAGACTACAAAACCCATGCCTACCTTCCTGGTACTGCTGTTTATGCTCAAAAACCTAAAACGCCGAGTCTTTGTTGAGGACAATAATGGCCACTTTGGTATTGATTATGCAACTGGTTTCTTTTAATGTCTCTGGAGCAGAAACACTATATACCCTTCTTATTGAGTCACTGGTCGCCTTAATATTGTTCTCACTTTATCAACAATCATCATGTCACATCACACCTTGATATATCTACTTTCTACAACCCCTCGTCTTGAGCAGTGGGGGTTGTACTTAATTCAAATCTTAAGCAGACTTATTCCATACCTCTCTTTCCCGCCATCGCTACCCAGCAAGAACACAAATACTGCACGTGTACATGGTACTCTAGTGTTCTCGCCCCAGCCCCACTCGGTTGCTGCAGAAGATACAGGTCCAATCCTAATTTCCTCTAATATACTAAATCAGTATTGCCCGGTGTCATTAAGTTTGCTAAAATGGAATAGATGGAATTCTCCAACTGTCGATGTCTAGTCTATTGTCTCAACTGTGCTTTTATTTAAAGGCCCCTATGTCCCTCACCAAAGGCGACTTTGATCCTCCACCTGCCTTTCCTTTGATTACTATCTACTCTCTCTGACCATACTGCTCCAGGGGGTCTGGGAGGAAGCATCGAAACGCAATTGATTATTAGATTGCCAGCTCACTATGTCGGAGATCATGTGCCAAACGCCCGACCAGTCAGCGCCTCTATCACAGATCAATATCTCGACTACTACTTCCTCCAATGGTCTCTACAAGTACCAGCTCGGAAAGCCATTTACTATTACTGTAGAGGCGAGTCTATCCCCTATGGCTACTCAGCCCATCACGGTCCTTGTCCTTGATACCCCACTTGACGAATACGACACGAGCTGGTTTGAGCGCAACCTTATCCTCACCAACACCGAAACCTCAGAGGCTCATGTGACATTGCCAAAGTATGAGCCCCCTCCAGCCTATGAGTCCCCTCAGGAGACTAATGGGATAAACGTGCCTGTTCGCCATGACTACCAGTGTTGTTTTCTGACTCTTTACCCAGGCAAACCTTACTGGGCTGTTCACACTCTGTCCGCTGACTTGATTAGTAGCAGCAATATCGGGGTTGACATCGCACGTTATCGAACAAGCCTTGTAGGGGCATACAACCTCGAGATTGGGTCCCACTACGAGATTACCTTGCAGGACGCAGCTCGCTGGATCAAATGGTATCGAGTCGGTGAAAAGAACCAGGTTCTGAGCCAACCACATTCTGTGTCGGATCTGCTTCGCTACCTAACTGGTCAGCCGCAGCACGTTGAACGTGTCAATGATTCCAAAATGCCCCCTATCCGTCTTATGTTGCAGAATGCAGAATGCGTCACGGTCAAGAAGACCAAGGAACTAACTCAAATTACGCATATGGAGGATAACCGATATTTATTTCAGGTTGAATCAGAACCCGACTTTTACATTACCTGGGGTAACATTGACCCTTTTGTGTGGAATCCCTTGCTAGTTGAAGAGTCGGACCCCGATTCCGATGGTTCTCATATTTATATGTGTGGCTGAGACCTTTGGAGCTCAGCTGGGATTTGCAATAGGGTATGCAGTAAATGCGCAGCCTGGTTCGACCTCATACGCAAGCTGGTTTCAGTCGATATTTTCCCCTTGATGTCGCTATCAATAGTAAATAGATAGGCGGGCCTACCGAAACTAATACAACTTTCGCTGTATGAATGTATTTACTAGCCGGCTTTGGGCTTTATCAAAATTTTTCATCTTACTATACTTATCTCTGTCTCTCTTTATTTTCCTTCTTGTCTTCCCACCATAACAGCCTCTAGAACAACATCACCAACCTTTCACCCTTTCTAGGGTAGATGTGTATCTACAAATACTCTACTACGTTATTCTTTTCTTACTGCTCTTGTCGCGACGTTAATGACTAGCATGTCTACATTCTTGAGTAGCAGAAGGGCTTTCCAGGTATGACTTCCGACGGGTATAATATGTACCGAGTGAAGGGTGCAGTCTAGACTTGGTACGGAGTATGGTTTGCGACCTGCAAGCCACAACTACAACTGAAGAATATGAAACACAGTGAAATGAAAATAACAATATCTAAGATATACAAAAAAAAAAATGAGCTCTTTGGTCCAATTGTCATGAACAGGAAGGATAAAAACAAAAAGGAAATGCTCACACTCGGATTCGAACCGAGGATCTCATGATTACTAGTCATGCGCTTTACCAACTAAGCCATGCGAGCGGTTATTATGTGAGCGTAATCAGTTTGGCTATATAAAGCAAATTTAATCTAATCTAATCTTTTTAAGTTGTCAAATTTTCTACAAGGTCTTTGTCGCTTGGCTTAACAGAGAATCATATTCTTGTCCAATAATGGTAAAATATAGGAAATGTCAATTATAAATTTGATGGCGACAGCATGTATAAAAGTATGAAATGAACCAGGAAAATGGTATTACGAAAGATTTTATCCTTGTCTATGTTGTTTGTGTCTTCTTCGGTATATATTTTCATGCTTCCCGGCCATCAGTTTCCAGCGTAGCCTTTGCATTTTATGGCACCTAAAGCCCACCCCTGACACTACCTACAAGCAATCAAACCATCAATAAACGTAGAGGATAGACTTATATGGTAGGGGTTCAATATAGTGTGAAAAATTTCTGAACCGTGCTTCAACACATACATCTTCGGTGCCAAGCATGGCATTTACCTCTTCAATCGAAGCATGCTCGGAGTGGATTAACAAGATATCGAGATTTCCTGTATCCCTATTTCTCTATTCTCATACTTTAGCATATAAATTGTCATGTATCTCCGAACACGGATTATCCGAAAAATCAAGCACACTATATGAATGCCCATGTGTATGCGAATGATGAAGGCAATTTATTTATACAGCGTTCTGGTCAGGCTACCTGCTGCAATTATCTGTCCTTCCCTCCCTTATTTTTCTTTTGAGCTTATCTATTCCAACCAATCATCCATGAATAAATTTGCTAAATTTGCCCTGTGCTTAATCTCCTTTGCGAAACATTGACCTAGGACCACCGTACTCCTCTTATGAGGGCCCTGGCAATTATATTTACCAAGAATATCTCTGTGAACTAACCTTAAGTAATCTGCGAGTCTGCTAGTTACGTGCTATTCGGTGACTAACTCCTTTAAAAGATGCTTAATATAACCAATATTTTAGGCAATATATGTTTCCATATACTCCCAGAGTGGCTGGCACTGCAAATAAAAACAGTCTTTTTCTAATAATTTGGTGCAGGATCATATGGCTTAACTTATGTCCACATCAACCAATCAGCTCGCATGGCTTAGTTGGTAAAGCGCATGACTAGTAATCATGAGATCCTCGGTTCGAATCCGAGTGTGAGCATTTCTTTTTTGTTTTTGCTTTTTGCTTTCGATTCCGGCTGGTTCATCTTTTATGCTCCTGATAGGAAGGGGGGAACTAGCTCTTTGTGGGTAGAAAAAAGGCCAGCGTGGGTAGGATTATATCCACGCCGACGAGATTTTTGTTCCGGCTTTCTACCCATGCTGACCCTTTTTCTACCCACGCTGAGCTATGAGCCGGACATGAAGGAAGGGTTGAATATTTGTTGTTGATTTTGGAGTTGTTTAACTTCTACTGTTGATAGATATGATGAGCCACAGTTCATTATTGAAGCCGTAAATTCAGAATGCACCCAGAGTATACTTATAAAACGCAGAAGTCATAAAAACATAAGACAGAAAAAACAAATCAATAACAGAAAACCTCCAGTCCCGATAACGCAAGTGCCGTGTACCTTCATACACATGCACGCCTTTTGACATCATTATCCCCAAGCCCTATAGCGAGATCACCGCCACTGTCCGGCGTCTTCCACACCCCTAGCGACCCTCTTCGCTCCATCTTCTACTCCGGTCCCGAGGCTTCCCAGAGCATCGCCGACGGGCTTTCCCGTGCTGCCCGTGGCGCCGGTAACGGTGTCCCCGATCCCGCGGGTTGCTGCGCCCGTGACTCCACCGACGGTGCGGGAGACGCCACCGACCGTGTTGCCGAGCGTGGAGGTAACGAATTTGGCGGCGCCAGTGACACCGGTATCTTGAGAGGAGGAGAAGGCGTTGTTTGGCATGTTGGTTTGGTCGAGGTGGAGGTGGAAGAGAGGTATGTTTTGAGAGGTGGCAGATTGGAGGTAGTATTTGTATGTGGATATGAAGATGGATTTGGAATAGTTTGCAGATTTGAATCGAACAAGAGAGCTGGAGCAAGAAGGGTCTGATTATATACACGCGGGAGTAGATCAAAAGCCGATGACGTCGATGGCAGCCACCCGTGCCATCGGGGCCGCTGACTGGCTGCGCTCCCACGTACGATGATGCACGTTAATCAATCTCGGTGGATATCCCTGGCTTGGAGGATGACGAGTTTTCGAAACATTATAGTTCAATTTTATAATTCTTGCCGCTATCTCGTATATTCGGGTCAGCGTTGAGTCCATGTCAAGGAGGCCGAAATCAGAATAGACCCGCCAACCCAGCGGGTCTAGGTCTCTGGTTCAGGAACGGTCAACCACGCTATTATCTGTCTATCGGTCCAACAGTTTATTCTAACCGAAAGGGGCCAGAAGGGATTTTCAAATCTCATCGTCTCTCTCACCCAACTCAGCTCATAGCATCCGGATCAATAAGTTTAGAATATGTTACGATGACATCATGCGTTATCACTGCATTGCCATTCTCACCTACCTCTTTCACGCAGTCTGCTCAACGGAACCATTAAGCGGGTCAGGTAGACTCGAGCGTTCCTCCTATGCGATCTTAGATCTAGGAGCGGAATGCTTCGTCGGAGAGGGCTTTCGCCAAGGGGATGATCCCCAAGACGCATGCGCCCCATATATCACGGTCGGATATGATGCGACAGGATGTGAAGGTTACCTTGTATGTACACAGCTCTGATCAGGCCCCGAAATCAGCTCCTAACGGTCAATGAAGTGCAACAAACCCGTCTGCTGTCCTCCGGAAATCGAACAAGAAATCGACCTCGGCGACTGCGTCTGGCGTGGCTCAGCGGATTGCCACGGACAATGCACTACGGGCTACGTTCAATTAGCCCAGTCCACGTGGGATGAATCCACCGCTATCGAGAATGTGCAGAGCAACTGCAAGACCGGATCAAAGGCTCTCTGCTGCTACCTGCGATCATACGGGGAGATGTTTGCCGGATGCTACCACACTCCTGGTTTGTATGTTGTGTAGTCCAGAAATCGTATTTGTGCCCATATGACAGGTCCCTAACCGAAGCTGAGATAGTGGATACCCCTGCGTCCACGACTACATCAGCATCGCCCATTTCTGGAACCCCTGGATACCTTGGAAAAACGGACGCCCGGAATACGGTCCGGGAGAAGACCTTTGCTGTCCGATGAGTTCTCCACTGCCCTTTATTAATTGTCATTGGGTGGGCGACGGCGATTGCATGGATGCGAACTGCGCGGCGAGTGAGGTTACCCTTTCAATTAATGCTTTTGGAGGCGATGGGGAATCGTGTATTGGTATGTTAATTTATCGTTACTTGTGACTGGATGTGTAGTCTTTTGGCTAACGGCTTTGATTAGGTGCTCGTTTAAAGTCCCTTTGCTGTACGCCGAATTTTGCGGTTCTGGATGGAATGGCCGTCGGTATTGATGGATTTTGCTTGGAGGATCCGTATGGATGTGAGGATGGAGAATATGATGATAATGAGGATGGAGAGTATGATGATGGAGACGAATACTTCACGTAGTAAACGGGGATGGGGATTATTGTGATTTTGTCTAGGCGTTCCACCAGCCTAAGCTGGGATTTGAAGAGCTACAACGTAGCGCATAAGCCTGGCAGTCATACTATCACTATGTCCAGGAACCTATATACGCTTGGATAACAAGATGCGACAAGATAGACAACTGATATATTCGGTCTTTATTTATTATTGCCTTAGAACTCGACAGCTTTCTTTTAAGGTTGAGCAGAAATTCTTCGTGGCAGTCTTTTGATAGCTGAACTAAACGTCTGCGATGGGTTTTACGTACACAACTCGACCACTTGCTTAGTGTAGGCAGCCCAGTGCATATCGGTAGACAGCATACATTGCAATTGCTAAAGTCTCTTTACCCAAAATTCTTGAACCACAACATCACACTGTGACTGCGCAATGCAGCCAAGTTCTGTGGCCATGTGGGACAAGCTCCAGTGCATGCCAAAATGCGAACTAGGATCCTGATCACGCGTGCCGTGAGCATTGTATGTAGTTCCCAACGGAGAGATCCAAGTCCATACATTTCATGATTGGTCTTGAGTATACTAGAAATGCACGGCCCCCCAAAAGGTTCAATCTAGACCCTGGAATGAAGCTTTTCCCGGTGATCCTTCCCCACTATTACAGGGTCCAAGTGAATACCCCAGACTCATCTTCACAAATGTGACCGGAATCCCCCGGTAGATATCTCTATCCTGATCACGGGCAGAAAATTTCTTCCACATCGCACCACCTCTATTTAAACCCCCTCTCTTCTTCCTACTCTCTCATCTTCCTCTGTTCCTGTTCTCACCCAGCTCGCTCCTCATCGCCCACCACTTATCTCCCCCCTACCCTAGTATCCTCAGCTTGAATAACATCCATACCCTACCTTTCCTCTTCATTGACTACAGGCCATCTGGGCTGCGGTCATCATGAAGCTCCTCAGCTTCCTGCTTGTTTTCTTGGGCACTATTCTTGCCTGTTCCGCCGCTGCTATTGATAGTGAGTAGCACTATTCTCTCCCTTCACAGAAAAGCATAAACTAACGACGATGGTAGTTAATGACCTGAGCAATCGCGCTGAGTCCTCTCAAGCCGCTAAATGCAAAAAAACTAGGGACTGCGTCATCTTCAAGGCCTGCAGAAACGGCCAGTGTGTATGGCCGGGCAATCATCAACCTCGCGATAAGCCTCGGCCTGAGCCTAAAGCTGAGCCTGAATCCCCTCCTGAATCCGGTGAGATCCAAAATAGTAAATGCCACTCTGATTCAGATTGCGTTCGTAGCCGGGAATGTATCAATGGATTCTGTCACAAGAGGCGTCATAACCCTCCTGCAAATTTGTAGGATCGTGATGATGCCGAACCTGACGCTGATCCTAATTCTGCTGAGACCAAAAAGATAAGCAGGCGCTCTTCAAACAGCAACTGTCTTATCATCACAAGTGTCGCTGGGGTCGTTGCGTTTGGCGTCGTGATATTTCTGCAAATCTTGAGACTCATGATGACTAACCCTGACCCAGGTCCTGAAGCTGCCGAGAACGAGCTGAAGGCTGATAAGCTTGATATCAACCTGTTTTGTCAGAAAGATGCTGATTGTGGCAACGGTTTCTGTCTTGAACATAAATGTGTCGATGCCGGTGAGTACTTGCTCTCTTGACTTCCCCACTAGGGTGGTAACTAATCTATTTGTAGCGGTGAATGACGATGAAGATGAAGATTCGGATGGCGATTGTAAGATGCATATCGAAGCTAGGACGCGGAAGCCCTGCAACAGTGACTCGGACTGTCCCAAGGATAAGAGGTGCTCGTGGGGCGCTTGTAGAACCCCTATTAAGATTACTCATTCCGCGCGTGACAATGAAAATCCGGATGACGATGATGAGATGCATATCCTACCTATCGACCTCGACGCCGAGAACGATTCTCAACTTCTCTCTAAACGTGATGATGGTGACAACAGTGACTATGACAATGACAGCGATGACCCTGAAGCCCACCTTTTCACCCGAGCTCAAGGTTGCAAAACATTCAAGGACTGCGATGCCGGCTGGGGCTGCAAGAAGGGGCGATGTCAGCGGTGGGACTGTGCCACCCGCCCTGGTACTTGCGATTCTGGACGCTGCAAGAACGGCAAATGCATAAGAAGTTTGGAGGGTTTGACCATTGAGACTGACGATGACGATGAAAATGACGAGTCTGGTAAGTCCTCTTGGCTGAAATCCTGTAGAGACTCGAACTTTCTCTAATTACAAGGATATAGATTCTGGCATTTCCGAGCGCTCCGACAAATACCCTGCCTATTGCAAGTCTAACCAAGATTGTCCTCCCAAATACCGATGCTACTCTGGAGGCGTCTGCAAGTACCGGGGCCCTCACCTCTCAGCCCGTGACGATGAAGATGACACTATTGCCGAGCGCGATCTTCTGGCTCTCAGGGGCAAATACCCTGCCTATTGCAAGTCTAACCAAGATTGTCCTCCCAAATACCGATGCTACCCTGGAGGCGTCTGCAAGTACCGCCCCCCTCACCTCTCAATCCGTGACGATGAAGATAACACCATCCTTGAGCGCCAAAACCCCCGCAAGTGCGAGTCTAAGAAAGATTGTTCTTCCAGATACCGTTGCCACAACGGCACCTGCAAGTACGGTCTCAGCGCTTCCAAGCGAGATGAAGATACCGCTATCCTTGAGCGCGATCATGAGGCTCTCAACGACCGCCAATGCAACGCTAAGAAAGATTGTCCTGTCAAATTCCGATGCGTCAAAGGCAAATGCAAGTTCGGTACCGACGAACCTACACCTGGCGGCCGTTGCAAAGCCAACAATGACTGCCCTCGCAATCAGAAATGTCTTGGTGGTGTATGCAAGTCTCGCTCCATTCCTAGCAAGCGTGACGAGTCTGGGAATCTCGAGGATGACGAAGACTACGACTCTCCAGATGACGAGGGTGATGTTGAAGAATGATGATGGACACGTTTTGTATTTTGTTTTGAATTATCCCTGGTTAGATCGATCTTCTGTCGCATGTCGATATGAAGCCATCCCACAAATGACACATGATTTACTGGCCTCGAAATCCTGGATATGACTTGTGCACGTAGCTTTCGTATACCTGCCTGCCTACTCCTACCTATAGATCCACCGTAGTATGTTTCAGGCAGCAGCCGAATACGAGTAAACGAAAATCCGCATGAAGGAAGAGACGAGCTATTTGTATCACTCTAAATTAGACCACCTCATAGTGAAATATCCCTAAATGCGTAGAAAAAATCTAAGTTTAGCGCCTGCTAATAGTTTTTGTCACTCCACACAAAATCCAGGCCATGTAGGGCTAAATCTGCCAATAGTTTCAGGCAGAAAGTGACCGCCAAGACCTGGCGGGACCCACCGCCTTTGCACTGATCGGGCAATGGATACGGGTACGGGCTGAAATCGTTATGATCTGCAACAACGCAACCAGGGCTCGCTGCCTGGAACTAGTACCATCCATCCACTCACCCGGGTTCCATGGGTGCATCGCCTATAAAGATGTCCCTCCCCCGGGATTTTGGGTTCATGTTGTCTTTCCATCGCCCCCTCATCGTACCCGTATCATGGCCTCTTCTAAGAGTCGTCTCCCCTATCAGGAGGCCGAGGGACATGACTTCATAGTTGAGGAAACCCCACCGCCATACGAGCTGATGGCGCCGGAAGGAAATAGCGTGGTTCAAGGTATACTCTTCCTGTTTTGATTGTGGCTTGATGGAAGCCAGTTAATGAAAAATCGTAATTGGACAGATGACGGTCGAATCGAGGTGGATCTGGATTCGCGAGCGTGCAGAGCAGCCTTGAAGTTCGTCCAATGGCCTAGCGAAGAAGACGTTTTGCTCCCTCCACCGGAATATACAGAGTCCGTGGCCCCGGGGATCCGATTGAACATCGTGATCCAGGTCGTCGGTAGTCGAGGCGACGTGCAGCCGTTCATTGCGCTGGGGAACGAGCTCCAGAAGTACGGACATCGAGTGCGTCTGGCGACGCACGATGTTTTCGACTCGTTTGTGCGGGGTTCGGGGCTCGAGTTCTATCCGATCGGTGGCGATCCGGCGGAGTTGATGGCCTATATGGTGAAGAACCCGGGGCTGATCCCGAAGATGAAGAGCTTGAAGGCGGGTGATATTCAGAAGAAGAGGTTGATGGTGGCGGAGATGCTGAATGGGTGCTGGAGGTCGTGTATTGAGGATGATCCGTCCACGCAGGTTCCGTTTGTGGCGGATGCGATCATCGCCAATCCGCCGAGTTTTGCGCATGTGCATTGTGCGCAGGCGTTGGGGATTCCGCTGCATTTGATGTTCACGATGCCATGGAGTCCGACGACGGCGTATCCGCATCCGTTGGCGAATCTGAAGTACTCGGGGAACAATTCCCAGTTTGCGAATTCGGTATCCTATGGGATTGTGGAATGGATGACGTGGCAGGGGTCAGTGGGCTTTCGATATATGCGAGAGACGTGCTAACAGATGATAGACTTGGCGATGTTATCAACGAGTGGAGAGCCATGATAGACCTGGAACCGGTTCCTACTGGAGAAGGACCGAATCTGGCGCAGACACTTAAAGTGCCGTTCACATACTGCTGGTCTCCTGCGCTGTTGCCGAAACCTGCAGATTGGCCGTCATATATTGGTATCATCTTCAAGGTCCCTCCTGACGGATGAAATGCTAACTTTTTAGATGTCTGCGGCTTTTTCTTTCGCGATCCACCAAATTACACACCGCCACCTGATCTTGACGCCTTCCTGAGACAAGGACCACCGCCAGTCTATATTGGATTCGGAAGTATCGTGATCGACGATCCCCCACGAATGACCCAAATCCTCGAACAAACCGTCAGAAGTCTTGGAGTCCGCGCCATCATATCTCGCGGCTGGAGCAAGTTAGGCGGCTCTCCGTCACACGATATCTTCTACCTCGGAGACTGTCCCCACGAATGGCTGTTCCAACATGTTTCTGCCGTTGTGCACCACGGTGGTGCCGGGACAACCGCCTGTGGTCTACGGTTTGGGAAACCGACCGTGATCATCCCTTTCTTTGGAGACCAGCCTTTCTGGGGCAACATGATAGCCGCATCAGGTGCTGGACCACTGCCTATTCACCACCGCGCCTTAACCGTTGAGGGACTTGCCAGGGCCATCCAGTACTGTTTTGAACCCCGTGCACAGAAAGCTGCGGAAGATATCTGTATCAGAATGCGAGCAGAATCTGGGGTGAAGCGGGCCGTGGAATCTTTCCACCGCAACTTGCCAGTGGAAGTAATGCGTTGTCAAATTCTGCCCGATCAGCCTGCTGTCTGGGCCTACAAGAAGTCGTCGATGAAGCCTATCTGTCTATCAAAATTAGCCACACAGCTGCTGATGGACCACCTGAAGATAGAACAGAAGAACCTGCAGTTGTGCGTATCACTACTTCTTGCGAGTCGCTGAGCTAATTTGAACTTCAGATTTGAAGCACGACCGATATTTATTCAGAACCGGAGGCTCGACCCACTGAGTAGCACCACATCAGCGGCTATCGGCACTGGAACCAACATGCTAAAAGCCACTACCGATATGCTCCTGAAACCATACCAAGAAGCGACTCGACCTAGTTCATCGCGATCCAACAGCGCGCCTCATGTGCCTACACGATCCCGATCTATGCAGGACCTAACCGCATCGCAGCCAATGTCTGCGTCACCGGCACCAGAAACCAGCGAAGAGAGAACTAATTGGCACCGAGGCGGAGCAGCAGTTGCGGCGGGGGCTAAGGGATTCGGGAAATTTCTCAGCAGTTACTCGAAGGGCATTATCGTTGACATTCCGCTGGCCGCAACAGAAGGCCTTCGCGCAGTTCCAAGGCTATACGGCGAGGAGGTGGAGGACTACCAAGTCCGGGACTGGAAATCCGGGGCCCTGGCCGGTGGGAAGAATTTCGCGCATAACATGCGCGAGGGGTTCACCGGTATCTGGAACCAGCCTCGGAAAGGCATAGACGAAGGGGCCCTCGGCGTGGCAAAAGGTATCATGAAAGGAACGATCGGGTTTACAACGATGGTGCCGTCTGGTATGCTCTGTGCCCGCAACATCTTATAAACCGAGTCGCTAATCAATTCACGCAGCGGCGCTGGGTCTGGTGGCTTATCCTGCCCAAGGACTTTGCAAGAGTCTTCATACGGCAGTCAGATCGAAGACGAGGAAGCAGATCGCAAAATCCCGACATAGGGAGGGAGCGTATATGATGCGAAATAAGGGGACACAGAGTCTGGACCGCAGGTCGGTGATGCAGACGTTTGAATCATTAAAGCGAGAAGCTCAAAAGGCGGGACCGTGATGAGGACGATTCTGGGGTAGATGGACAGTACCCTTTGCATATCAGAGCGAATATTTCGGAGTTGACATGGGTTTTAAATTAGGGATTTAATGTGGGACAGGCAAGAACTGCTAGGGTTTGCATGCAGCGCTAGAGATAATCAACAGATATTTCTCGGCGAAATTTTGTTTTCTCTTGGATCCCTTGGGATACCATACTGTCTTGCGGCACAATCTTGGCCGCTATCATGCCTATTGACAGGTGCCTATTTTAGTATTTGCATTAGTGCATAATCCAGCTCTCAACGGGGATCTGAATACGATCAGGCGTGTATTGACCCGACCCAGTTTGCAGAGAATAAGGTACGGTGCCCTTTTATAATGCGCAGCTGTATTATTAATAGTTAATATACCAGGGCCCTTTTTCAGTCTGTCGACCGTTATCTCCGCGCACGATCCACAAAGCATGTGGATCATCATGATGTCGTTCGTTAGGTAGGATGTGCTAAAGAGTCGAAAACAGGCAATACCTGCTTCCAGTGGACCGCAGCAGGGCTTCATCGACCTCGATTATTGGAGCATGAGACATGCCGAGAAAAGAGCCACGCAAGCGATTCCTCGCAGACTTCACCATAAAAGCCTTTCACGTCGCCATGGACCTGCGGTTCTAGCCTGCCTCATATACTCCAGGCAGACGTACGGTAAGTAATGACAAGACGGATACTGGAGATCCACCGCCACCAGACGACCGCTTAACTCCGAACCCAAACTTGGCGTTGTCAGCCGCCTGCATAAGTAGCGTCGAGCCCACCCGACGGCCCGCCTCTTTTCTACGAATCGAGTCCGCCTTCCTTTGACATCATGACCACCGACGACCTGACTACTTTGAAGCGCGATCATTCGACCTCGCCTGAGCTAGAGAGTATTGAGCGCGAACATGTCGAGCCCGATCATTGGAAGGGCTTAACAGATCCGAAGGAGCGCAGGCGGAGGCAGAATCGGGTAAATCAGCGCGCCTATCGTGAGTTCACCTGCTGATCCATGCACTGTTCTAGCCTGGAGAAATTGAACTATAGATCAATGATAACACCATGATTTACAGGAAAAAGGAAGCAAGCGCAGCGGCAAGGCATCAATGTCCCATCCTCCGACCTCGTCAAACGAATATCTACATCCTCCGGCTCCGAAGAAAACATCTTGCCCTCGTCCTCATCCAACCCAGACTCTACGCCCACCCGCACCACTCTCTCCATCCGAAATGCCAAATCTGACTCGAAAACATTCACTCTCTCCCGCCGTTGCATCAGTTTGGACGACGCCACTTTCCTCCTCGACCAACTCAGCAAAGCCGCCTACGAAAGCTACATCATCGGCTCCCCTGCCTCCGACCACCTCCTGACCCTCAGTAAAATGAACGTATTCCGCGCCTTCAGTTCAATAATGGTGACCCTCGGCATGAAACACAACATGGAATGGCTCCACGACGATGCCATCTCGCCCTTTTCCACCCTACAACCTGGCTTCGTCGAAGACACGAACCTGCCCATCAACCTCCGCCCGACAGCACTCCAACGCCGCAGTCCTCACCACCCTTGGCTCGACTTCTTCCCGCACCCGCGCATGCGCGACAATCTCGTCGCCGCGGGGGACGGATTCGACGACGAGCAGCTCTGCATCGATACCATGGGATTCTGGGACATGTCGAACGAGAGCTGTAATTTGCTCGTTTGGGGGGATCCGTCGGACCCGGCAAATTGGGAGGTCACTGAGCAGTTTATACGCAAGTGGCCGTGGGTTGTGCGCGGGTGTGGCGGGCTCATGGAAGCGACGAATCGATGGCGGGCGAGTCGCGGGGAGAAGATGATTTTTCGATATCTATAGCGCCAGACACCAAAGTCACTGGATTACTTTTTTTTGCAATTGAACGACCAGATCTTTATATATATGATGTATGAGGAAAAATGAATTGGAATTTACACTGTACTGTTGTATGTACTGTTGCTTGCAATCTGCACGAATTGATGACGTCATCATTATTTCCCCCAACATACGGAATAAGGTGCTCGCCAGCCCCAACTTAAATATCAGATATTCCCTAGGACGTTAAACGCTGAGTAACATTGATTGATGCGTGGATTAATGTCATCCCGTCTTTCATTAGCCCCCTGTCTTAGACTACGAGATGGATCGCATTTCGAGGAATGGCTGACGAGAAAATGGCTGACGGCAGCCACCAGGTAGTACCCGTCTTACTAGAGTCACTATAAATCGTAGCCAACAACTTTTTAAACTCATCTGGATTCTTCTTCTCCAAGTTGTTCGGACTGCACATACCTTGCTTTGCCGTGACACTTTGTTTGTCTGTGTGTTCTTTGATGTTACACTTAATAAAGCACTACGTACATACCTCCAACCACTTACATCCCAACCAAGTAAGTCTAGCAGAGCAAACCAACTCAAAAGAATTACCATGAAAGTCCTCATCGTCGGCGCCTCAGGCTCCATTGGCAGCGAAGCTCTTTACCAATGTCTCTCACATCCACTGATCACGTCCGTCGTGGCGTTCGTGCGACGCGACCTCTCCGTCGAAGTAACATCGAACCCGAAACTAGAGACCGTGAAGGTTAATGATTTTGCCATGTGGCCGGAAGACGTGTTGAAGAAGCATATGGATGCAGTGGGGATGATCTGGTGAGCTTATTCTTGTCACGAGTGCTTTGCTATAGATTTATCTTTGCATGTATGTACAATCCTATCAGGTAGAGTGGTAGTACATACATACAAGTAGTTATTACCTCGAGCCCGTGGCCAATGAGCTAAAATATGGCATAACACTAGGGCCATGGGTACCTCCACCGGCAGCATGACAGCGGACCTTGAATACCCGCTCATTTTCATCGAGAGTATGGGCAAGGTGTCGAAGTCGAAGCCAAGAGCGCAGCGATTCCGATACGTCCATTTAAGCGGGAAATTTGTGCGACAGAATCAAGACGAGAGGTTATGGTTTTTGGAGAAGCCGAGGAAAATCAAGGTAAGTACATACTTAGATTACATATTCAATCTCGTTTTCCATCTAATACAAATTCCCTCCGACCTGACCTACTTTGAAACCGCACTTTGGACATATTGCCAAGATACAAAGCCCTTACCACGTCTAATTATGGCTGAGTATATGTTGTTTTAGGGTCTACTAGAAACTCGCGCCTTAGCTTTCGCGGAGGCCCACGAATCCGTATGGCAAACCTTCATCGTCAAGCCGGGCGGCGTGGTGCCTCGACAGATCGGGGCCGGGGGGTGGCTGTATATGATCACGCCGATTGGGGCGTTGTTGGGCGAGAACTGGTCTGTGAAGGTGCAGGAGCTGGGGGCGTTTATGACGCATCTGGTGATTGATGGGGCTGACGAGGAGGCTGTTTCGGAGAATGCGCGAATTGTGAGGAAGGGGAGGGAGTTGTTGGATGAGAGGGGAGGTGATTCTGGGTCTTAGGATGGGGGTTAGTATAGTTGCAGCCTTGTCGAAGAAAATGATGGTTTCATAGGGGGCGAAGAAGGATCGGTACAGGCGAGCTTCTTCGCTATTTGTAGATCTGACCCAGATGTGTGGGGTGTCAACGTCTCCTCATCTAAGACTATACAAAATTGGAAGATATAGCTAGAGTATAATGCAAACGAACCAACGCTCTCCATTCGTTGCATGATAACGCACCTACTCGACAATGTTTGATCCACCCTATATAACTTTAGGGTTAGAACAAGAGCCATAGTTATAACACTATCCAGTAGCATGGATTGACTCTGGTAGATGTTGCTGTATTGAAATAAGGCTGGTATGTCTGTACTACAACTACCATGAAGAACCGGATGGTCGATTGTCGATGCCTGATCTCCTCCCGGCGCTAATGCAGGCTGCTTACACACTAACGATAACTTAATTTTGTGGCAGCGATCTGGTCCAATCAAATGCCGATAGAATTCGGCGGTGGTGCTTGGCAGATTCATTAATCAGCATGGTTTTCGTATTGATACCGTAATTACTAAATGATACCTGGGTTGTTTTAATGCCTGATGTTTCAGGTATGAGCGTTCTTATAGTTCATAACCCTAAGCTAACCAAAGGTCCTTGGTATTTGTTATTCTCCAGTCAAGTAAGACTAACACAGTCTCTGAATGCTCGATGTCAAACCTAAAGGCATGCTGATGGATCAGCTGGGTAGACAGGTTGGAACACCACTGTTTCGTGAGCTTGACAGTAGGGAGCTCGACTCAGTATCTAGTATAGGTAGTATGTCGAGGAAGAACGAATTTTGACTCTCTTCAGTGGTAGGGGACGTGAGTAAGTGATTGATTTACGTTTTGCCGTATTTGCTTGGTAACTGTCGAAAGGATTGAACAACCACCTGTGTATCTGATGGCTTCTTTTGTTAAAGGCATTGCTGGCTTGAATGGATATTACTTTGAATTAGACCACAATAATACGAAAGCGACCGTCAGCTGAAAGTGCTCAATGGAATTGGAATAGACGGTAAAGCCATGACATGGATCAATTTGTGAATTTGTCTCCCCCGAAGCCTTCCATCACACCTCCCTTCAAGCTCAGGTGAATGTGGCCAGTTCCGTCCTCACATTCAACTTGGTCTGGCCCGGCTCAAGATCGCTTCGGAATTTGACTCTCTTCTCAAACACGACAACCACATCCGATCCTCCATACTGGAAATACGAGATATTCTGACCCTTTTCAACATGATCTCCTTCTTTGACTGTGAACACAACGGAAGAAATCTGCGCCATACCAATAGGCAGGACCGCCACCTTGCCATACTTCTCGGTCTGAATGACTATCAGCCCCCGGGTCTGACACCACTGGTATCCGGCGTCGTCGGGCGCGTCCAGCTCAAAAAACTGCTTTCCTTTCTTTGCCTGGCGTTTGTGGATCTCGTGGACGTCACGAGTCAGGCCCCGATCACCACGCAGTCCGTGACCTTCTTTCTTCTTGGCCACCTGCAGATACACTTGGTCTTGGATGTTGCGGACCTCAATGACCTTCCCGCTGACTGGAGCATGTTGGCGATGGTAGTCGGTGGGTCCCAGGAATGCGTGCATGAAATTGCCTTCGTTGAAGGTTGTTCCAGTGGTCTGCAGCAACTTGTTGATGGGCCACTGTACAGACTTGGCATCGATGGTGATCACGATGTCACCGTTATCAACCGGCCAGCAGCCATCATACATAGAATCTGCCACGCTGACAATGACATTATCGTCGCCTTTGCCGTCAAGAGGACGAGAGGTGTCAATGTCCTTCCACTCGCGCGCAAACCAGTGGTTAAAGGACAGCCATCCGGACTTGGGCTCCGCCCATTGACTCGCCTCCTTGTTGTATTGCTTATTGATGTAGAAAGAATACAGGGAGGCAGCTGACTGGGGTGAGTTCATGAAGTTACCTTGCTCGCGGGCAAAGGTCACGAGCCAGTATGACAGCCAGGTGAGGTCGGTGTTGGAGTTCTGCGGCTGGATTTCGGTCTGCAGACCGCGAAGAGAAGGCTGGTCGAAGACCCAGTAGAAAACGAGAATCTTAGTGAGAAGCTCGTCGCCGGTTGTGGAGACTTGGGGCACCCATCGCAGCAGGTTGTCCACGTATTCCAGGTAGTCTTCGAGGGTTTTAATGCCTTCGTCCCTCATCTCGTCTGCTCCGCCATTTTTGGGATCGATGGCAGAGGCCACCGCTTCGTGGAAGGCCTTGGTTCGGTTCTCGGTGCGATAGATAAAATCACTGAGGTCACGAACGATGGGCTCTTGAGGCTTGTATGGGGTGGGCATCTTGGAAGAAATTTGCTTTGGGTATGCTTGTGAAGTCTTGGGTCTCTGGAAGAATGAATGTGAAGCTGATTTGGATGAGGATCTAACCATCAAACCTGCGAATCAAGCAGGTTCTTATAACCATCTTCCTCTACATCTTAAACTTCAGGACACTGTCCGATCATTGTGATTTCGTCCAGAAAGAGGGGTCATATGCATCATGCAAGTCACTGCAGCCCAGCCGTCCCTGTTCAGCCCCGATGCCACGAAGCAAACAACGAACAGCAATTGGCGGCTCCAAAGTACGATTCTGCCATGGGGGCATCATACTCTGTCATGAGTGCATAGAATCATGCATAGCATGTCGGCTGTACTGCGCGAGAACTCTCGGTATGAAATACCCATGCAAAATAGCCTTTTGCGGGAACGCCTGTCGTGCACGTCGGTGGCGGATATGCATGCCTACTTACAGCTCAGCTGCAGCTTTCAGCTCCAACATTACGAAATAATTTGACCAGTTCCGCAGTGGCGCTGGTTTTGAAGCTGAGCGCAAGTGTGGTGACATCTTGCGATGCATTATAATGAGGGGAACCTGGACGTAGTGGATGTGCTATGCCCAATCTCATCTCCAGTTCTGATGCAGTTTGCTTCAGGTCAATGAACAGGTTTGCGTTCTACGATCTGCCGTGAAGACTTGAGCGTATTTTGGGAACTTGGACTGATGAGAAGAACAGAATTCACCGGTCGGCATTGTATCGTTTCAACTTTGTTGTTCCAGCTCAGTCCTCAGCGATTAGAACAAGAATGATGTTCTCGGCTGCATAGTATGATATTATACTGTGGCAGGCCATATTAAACTCACCCCCTTCGCATATTATGGCCCCCAAGTCCTAGTGGAGAGAGATGGCGGGGTGAGGCTCCACAATCCTTTCTCTACTCCACCGCTTGTGTGTTGTCGATTGTCGCCATCTGTTCTCTTCTCCTGAGATTCCAAGCTTTTTCTAATTGATATGGTACAACTCTTCTTGAGTTCGCATTCAATTGTACCACTCTGGATCAAATTCAAAAGTAAAGCATCATGGCTACCCCCAAAGACAACATCAGCTTGCACGTCGATGAGACCCTCTCATATAGTGTCAAGCACGGACTGGAATGGCAAGACCCCAAAGACGGAGAGTTTTTAGTCGAGACATACTTCTCCGGAGCGAACCCATCGGACACAAAGCATGCCACCGATATGGGGATATACCCTGTCGTTCTCGGCTATGACTACTGCGGAAAAGTCCTCAAAACACCACCCAACTCGCCCTTTCAGCCTGGCCAGATCGTGGCGGGGTACACTCAGACCGGATTAGGCCGTCCATTGAGATACGGCACCCACCAGAAATACCTCAGCGGCGTTACGGAGACAGCATTCGTTGTGCCCGAGAACCTTCCTAAACAGCATGCTGCCTGCCTAGGCGTCGTGACCATGACCGCGTCGGATGCGATCTTCAATCACTTCCAGATCCCTCTGCCGACGGAGCCTGCTCAGAATCTCGGACCTCTTCTCATCTGGGGAGTATCGACTAGCGTTGGGATCTCCGCTCTCCAACTCGCCCGTGCTAGCGGAATCAGCCCTATTTTCGTAACGGCCTCGCCGGAAAGACATGCCTTGCTACGCGAGCTGGGCGCCACGCATTGCTTCGACTATAAGTCTCCCACCGTGGTCTCCGAAATCAAGGAAGCGCTGAAGACGACCGAGTCTGGTGCCTTCCGCTACGCCCTCGATGCCATAGGAGCGCGTCAAGACGGAGGTTCCGCGCAATCGATAGCGGCTTGTTCTTCCGATGAGACGGCCCTGGCCTCTGTCGTGGTTCAGTTCGACCCACGGTTCAAGTTACCCCTTGCTGCGCCGAATCAGGATGTCAGTGTGCAGATTCAGGGCATTCCTCAGCCTATTACGATTCCTGCGCGCTATGCTGATTATGAGCGCGCGTGGAAGGGAGTGCTGTGGGCTGCTGAGAACTATGGGAAGCAATTCCGGTTCCCGTCCGTTAAGGTGTTCAAGGGAACCGCGGAGGAGGCATTAGAGGAATTGAAGGTTGTTGGAGATCATGGAAGAGGGTTTGGGAAGTTGGCTCTGCAGCATCCATTGTAGGGTGAAAAGATCTCCAAGATAATCGTCGGGTCGAGGGTGACGAGCATATAGATCCCAAGAACTATACTCTTTCTTTCGGAGAGTAGTATGAGACAAGAGCCCAACTAAACAACGTTCCATTGTAGTTAATGATTGTAGGAGAGGACCTGTTTGCCTGAGGCATCAGAGTCCGATCCCCGCCAAGTCCCGTGACCTGGCCCGTGACCTGTGGAAACGATGGATGTTTTGTATATTGGGTGGCCGGTGTGGCCAACTATCTAAGATATCTAGCTTACTAAGTGATGACTAAGCGAGCTCGAACCCCAGGGCAGGCGGAAGGGTACGTCCCGATGTTCCAACATGACCCCAGGATCACGTGGCATGTAAGCATGCAAACGATGCAAACTGGACATACTCCACCATCCATCACGAACGTCTCTACTTCCAATTCTCTTCTCGAATGTCTCAACTCATCCTTCATTTGAACAGGGTTCATGGTACCCCACGAGGTGATCCATAACCCCCAAGTCTGTTTCTTGCATGCATCCGACTTATCGGGTTCGCCGAAGGAACGACTGCGCCGAGATCTCCAAGGAACCAGTGGCGTATTATTGGAATGGCGGCCCCTACTAGTGCGATTGAAGAGAAGTGCTGCGCTGTGCTGCAATTCTGCTGTCAGCTGGAGCAGACCAAAATTCCTCGTTCCCCTCGGTGCCTACTGCCTAGATATTGGCACTCGCTAGACAACATCTAGCCATGGTCTGTCCGCCCACCACCGACGAATACGAGGATCGTCCGATCTCGGCCCACTCTTCTCCTTGCTTGATTTGCTGGTTCACCGGCTTTCGAGAATGCTGGTTGGCGGCGTGATCCACCGTAGAATGCTTTCCCTTACGTTTTCTTCCGAGAAAGGCCCGTCACTACTGGTACATCTGTTAATCAGATAAGATGAATTGCATGGAGCGGCTCGTTGCCAAGACATCACGGCCTGATGTCTTGTTTCGCTCACTTTTTTTCTTTTCTTTTTTCTTGGACGCAATTTAATTTAAAAATTTTTCTTTCCCTTCTTTTTCTTCGTCTTGATTCCTGGTTTGTTTGCGATTTCATTTTTGTATCCCTGTCGTCATGTCGTCGACTCTCCCTCCCTCGGAGAGTAAATACCCTCAAGATGCCGTGGCCTCGGATTCCGATCAGGATTCTATTACCGGTCATGACGGTGTCAAACGCATCGAGGCCATTTCTTCGCAGTTTCGTCTCGTGGACCGCATCGTTCTGTTTTGCGGTGTCTTCTTGATGGCCTACGTTTATGGTCTAGATGGCACGGTCCGAAACACGTATCAGGTAGGAGGATTTCATTGCTGCTCAAATGAGATGCAACGAACTGACTGGCCTCAAGCCCCTGGCGACTGCAAAATTCGGCTCTCATAGTTTGCTGGCCACGATTAACGTCTTGCGATCGGTTATCGCTGTTGCCGCACAGGTACGCGAATCGTTGACATTGGATTAATTTTAACTCTAACATAAACTAGCCAACTGCAGCTAAAATTGCCGATGTGTTTGGCCGCGTGGAGCTCATTTTGTTCTGCGTAGTAACTTACACTCTGGGTAGGTGTGGTTATTTTGCCTTGTAGGCTGGATCTGACCTCTTCAGGAACGGTGGTCGAAGCGGCTGCGACCAATATGGCCACATTTTGTGCCGGCGCAGTATTGTACCAGGTGAGCTATGGATCTACGCGTATTATCTGCGCTTTTACTGACAGTTATCCGGATAGGTCGGATACACTGGCAGTTTGCTGCTCGTCGAAGTCCTTATTGGCGACGTCACCTCCCTCCGCTCGCGACTGTTGTTCTCATATATCCCTGCGACACCTTTCATAGTAAGATCTCCGATCATGCGCGCGATGCACTATCTCACACAACCAGATCAACACGTGGATTAGTGGAAACGTGACATCCTCCGTTCTGAAGGTTACCACATGGCAGTGGGGTATTGGCATGTTTGCCATCATTTTCCCTGGTTTGTTCGGCTTTACCCCATGAACCTGGATTTTTCTGACGAGATGTTTCAGTCTGCACGATTCCTCTCTTCGCCACCCTGTTCTGGGGGCACTGGAAAGCCAAGAGGCACAGCCCTGAAGCATACCGCAGCACGATCCAGATCATCGGCTTTCGCAAATTTTCGATCGAGTTGTTCTGGTATTTGGATGTGGTGGGAATGCTTCTGCTCATCGCTATCTTGGCTTTGATTCTGGTCCCTTTCACTCTTGCCAGCGGCTCTTCGGATCAGTGGAAGACGGCTAAGATCCTCGCGCCCCTTATCATCGGTATATTCTGCATTCCGTCTTGGGTATACTGGGAGAAGACTTGCAAATATCCGATGGTTCCGTTCAGGGTCGGTACACGTTATGTTGGCATTGGCTGGGAGCATTTACTGACATTGTGTAGCTGTTGAAAGATCGCGCCGTATGGGGAGCCCTTGGAATTGCAATGATGCTCAACCTAGGTATGGTCTATTTCAATCACTATATGGCAACAACTAACGTCCACCAGCGTGGGTTATTCAGGGAGAATTCCTGTACACCGTGTTGATCGTCAGTTTCGACGAAACTGTCACGAGTGCGACGCGTATCGCGTCTCTTTATAGGTTCGTCGACCTTATTTCTCGCAATCCGATCAACCTAACATCCCTATAGTTTCGCCTCCGTTATCACCGGGTGTATCTGCGGCTTTGTCGTTCTGAAAGTGAAACAATTGAAGCCATTCATCGTCGCAGGAACCTGTCTCTTCATGGTCGCATACGGCATGCTAATCCATTTCCGGGGCGGATCCGCTGGATCCAGCCACTCGGGCATCATCGGAGGTCAGATCCTTCTCGGTATCGGTGAGTTGTGCTAAGCTTCATACATACATGAAAAACAACAGCCAGCAACAACCCACTAACTCATCCCCAGCGGGCGGCCTCTTCCCTTATCCAGCGCAAGCCAGCATCCAAGCCGCCACCAAACACAACCGTAAGCCCCTTTCCTCCCCCAAAACTCCTCCCCAACTCACACCCACCTAATTAACCTCCCCCAAACAGACCTCGCCGTAGTAACCGGTCTCTACCTGGCAACATATAACATCGGTAGCGCGGTCGGCAACACAATAGCAGGCGCCATCTGGCGGCAAACGCTCGAAAAAGAACTCACATCGCAACTCGGCGACGCTACCCTCGCGTCCACCATCTTCGGCGACCCGTTCACCTTCGTGGCTTCGAACCCGATTGGCACGGACCAGCGCGATGCCGTGGTGTTGGCGTACCGGCACACGCAGCGTCTGCTTTGCATCACGGGTATTTGTCTCACGGTGCCGTTGATTGCGTTTTCGTTGTGTATTCGGAATCCGAAACTTACGAAGAGTCAGAGTTTGCCGGAGGCTGAGAGGGAGAGTTAGATTGGATTGGGCTAGATTAGGTTGGATTGGGTTGAATTATAATTAATTGGCTTGTTTTGGTGTCGGGTCTGGTGCTCTAGATGTGGATGTGAGTGAAAATTGGGGGACTGGCTGGTTCGCTGTTTAAAACTTTCAATGAATGAGTGGCAGGAATGGTCCAAGGTCATCGTCTACATTGTATGGATGGTCAATTAACAATGATCTCTGCACGCTTCATTCAATCATCTTTTGAAAAAGTATTATTTTCGGTGCCACGGTCGACTCACATCCGGTAGTGTATGTACGAAGAACATGTGAAATCATCTCCCGAGCCAGTTACTATGAAATTAATCATTCAAAGCTGATAAGCATTGCGTTTTATTATCCAATAAGACAACTATTTATATATACTAGGGTTATACCCCAAAAAAGCAACATCCGAATAAGTCGACTACAGCGACCAAGCCAAAGGTACCCAGACATCAACCATTATGTATCTCAACCCCCAACCACCCCAACGCAATGAAGCGAGACATTTAGCACTCAGGGAGCGGGTCAGTGTAGACGCAAGAGTCGCTAGGACCGCTGCCGATCTCCTCGGGCTCGTCGCCGTTCTCGTTGCCCTCGTAGGAGGTGCAGATCTCCTTGATGTCGGTGGCGCAGGTGTCGGTGATGGTGGCCTTGTCGCCGAAGTTCTCGTTGACACCGGCGAGGAGCTTACCGGAGATGGCCTTGACGTTGGAGATGGTCACGGAGCGCTCGGCCATGGACTTGCAGTTTCCGCAGGAGCGGAAGAGCTTGCCAAAGTCGTAGACGGTGAAGCCGTCGATGGAGACCTCGCCCTCGGCATTGTGCTGTTTGTGGAGAAAGGGTTGGCGTTAGCTAGGCATGAAACCTGGGCTGGTGTGTATGGGAAAAGAAGGAAGCTTACCTGGATGACCTTGTCCTCAGCACCCTGGGCACCACCGCCAATGATCTTGTAAGGTCCGGAACCCTTCTTGAGAGAGAGGGCGTCTAATTTATGCTTGTGTTAGTAGCGAACTTGAGAAGGGGGGGGAGATGGTGGATGGTCATACCCTCGCAGACAGACTCCCACCAGACGTTCTCGATGGTGCAAGCACCCTGGCAGTGGACACCCTCGATCTGGTCGGCACCGATGATGGCGTTCTTGAGGGTACCACCTTCAAGGATGGAGAAGACAGCGTCGCTGTCGCCACCCTCATCCTGGCCGGTACACTCGACACCACGGCCGAAGGTCTTCATGCCTCCGTCGTAGACCTCACCCTCGCCGATCTCGTAGGTCTCATCGAAGGTCTCGGATCCCTTGGATTCGGGCAGAGGGAAAGTGTAGCGCTTGTTGAGAGCACCGAGGGCCGTGGAGGCCAGGAGAGAAAGGAGGATAGCCTTCTGAACCATTATTGCGGTATTGGATGGGTTGATATGAGGAGTTATTTGAACAGATGTGGTCACCAGAACCTTTGAATAAAGAGATTCACTCGCAGAGTGTAGTAACAAAGAAGAACGATTTTGTGATGGATGCTCTCTCAATTCCCTCGAGATGGCCAACCAGCTTTATAGGGATTGCTGGCGCTGGTTGACGGGGGCTTTCTCACCGACTATGTCCAGCGTCAGTGTTCCTCCATGACCTTTGGCGGAAATTCGACTGAAGCTCTTGGCTCGTTTCAACATGTTTCTCCGATATTTGCCCAAATGGCAATTCTAGGATTAACGTGAAACGGCCAGAAGACTTCAATCTCCCGAAGTTGACCCAAGCCTTCCGAATCGGGGATTTCGTGGGGTTGATCAATCACCATGGATGGACGAGACCGAGAGCTAGCCTCCAGGCCAATATAATAAACTATGTACCGGCTCCATCGCTCCGTAATACGGTACTTACCCTGTCAGGAAATTCTCCTGTCTCTTCAGACCCCATTTTCCGCGGTCCACAATTTCTGCTTTCTTCCCACACCGGTCTTGGCGTTATTAGGGCTTGCTTCTTCAGGTCGAGTCCGCCGCGATGAATTGAGATAGGATCTTCGCCGGATGGTGGGAGCCGACGCCCTGATTGATGGCCTGGATGGGGTTTTTGGCTCCGTGATAATCTCGTCCTGAACGAGAATGTCATATGCATCTGCCAGTAGAAGGGTTTGCCATAGCGCCCCTGCACAAGTGTGATGTTAGCGTGGGAATCGTGGCGCAGCACGCTCGTCCGACAATGCCAAGATCGAAAATCTATGGAAACCCACCGGTCCAGGCCGGAACTCATCCAATCTCACCGTCTTCTTGAACGCGAAATAGCTGTCTTGTGGTCGTTGTCCAGCAAGCGCGTTGTTTGATGAGGCACCAAAATTCATGGCCAGGCTGATATCTACCAGGAGCTACGTTGCACTCTCAAGTCACCGCTCAGATTTCTGGATAACTTCTCACGCCTGCTCGAAGCCTCTACGAGGCCCAATATAATCCCATCGTACGATTGGAAGGTATCGAATTGCTGACCCATAGTGATCGACGTGTGCCTTCGGTTACGCCTGTGTCCGGATTCCGGCTTGTAGAACAGGTGTTGCACCGGACAAGCTCAGTGGACGAGTTATGACCGTTGGAACCCACTCGTGCCACACAAAAGTTAGTGGCTGAATAATTCCCCGACAAGTGCTCACTAGCAATTGGACCAGGAACAAGCGAGGAGAGAAAATTGAGGAAGAAGTAATTTGAACCAAGGAGCTCCAAGGACGTGGTCAAATGTTTCAATATCACAGTCGACCGAGCCTCTGATAGCTCGGCCCTCACACGGTCTTATCTGAGTTGATTCGTAGAATGGGAAGATGCCAGCGAGAATACTCAACATTCACCGGTGGCGCTTTTTCCCTCACAAGCCTTTCCGGTGCAGTTGAAACCTGTTGTCCCAATCACATTGCCACAGAGGTAGTCGACAGCCTTTGTTCCATTTGATGCCAGTACCAGATCCACTCCCTCCAGCGCGATATTTCTGCATGGTTTGACAGCGCTACATTGAAAGCTTGCTACGGTATTTTTCTTCGTAGTTCCCGAAATTCCGTTCACGGTAATGTTGCCAATTTCGAATTTGGAAGAGGTACAGTTGCCGACTGCGTCCGAGAATGATGTGCACTGTGAGATGGAAAATGCAGAACCTCTGAGGTTTTGGGCCGTCAGATTGGAGCATGAGAGATCGGTGGCATCTGTTTGGTCATGTATCAGTCCGAGATGGAATGTTTCTCGACACGATGGAAGCTGAATACGTACAGCCAAGACCGCCTCCTCCGCCATTAGGTGGATAGCTCACTTGTTCGCCCGTCCAGGTCTTAAAATATAGCGCATGCAGGGTGCCATCGAAAACAATATTCTCCGCTCGGACCCGCTCTATTGTCTCGAAAGCGTCTCTATACTGACCAATGCTTCCGACGGCGATACCTAGACCGCGATGGAAAGTGGAGTTTGTGATCAGAATATCGGTGGAGTTGGCTTTCACGCTAATGCTGTCGTCGCCGTTGTCCACAAACCAGTTATTGAATGTGATGTGGGAGCTATAGATAGTATCCGCACCATCCGTATTATCTGTGGCATGGCATGGTCAGGGGCATTCCCCTTTTGCTGAGGCCTTTGGACTACTCACGCGCAGAATTTTTGTTCGCTGATGTGTTGTTCACATAGATTGAGTCGAACAGTGTATGATGGGTGTGGATGATTGACAATGTCCTGGCAAGCAGTTCTCCCCGTTAACAATTGTTCTGAGCTTTCCGGCGATACCTACTTACCACATCTGACTCTGCACAAATCTGATGCCCTGGAATACGGCGTTCGTGGTATTGGCTACAGTGAGAGCATGGGGCCTTCCCGGAAGGTTTGACTCTCCGGCAGTAAAATCGTACCAGGCCTAACCTCGAATAAGTGATGGTTTTTGATACTATCGGATAATCACTCACCTGGCCATTTCCATCGAATGTTCCATGTCCATGTCCATTGAATCTCAGATGCTTACCGCTGATCACCCAGGCCGTCGACATATTTTGATATCCGACAGGGAGTGAATTATTGCGCCAGTAAGGAATGTCCGTTCCCCACTGTCTTGCTGTCAGCACAGATGATCGAGTGTGAACACACTGAGTAAAAGTCTTACCAAAAGAGTTCCATAAAGGTCGATGTCGACGTCGACCAGCCCTGTGGTTTTCAGCACCGTGTTGACATGGTAGGTGGTGTTCTGAAAGACGATCTTTCCCCCGTGATTGCATTCCCGAAAGGCGCGGCGAATAGCTGGTGCATCATCAACCGTTTCTGATCCTCCAGCCAGGATCTTGCATATCTTGTGCGGATTGTGTGGGACTGCGTTCAAGGCCCCGACCGCACTAACTGCTCCAGCGAGAATATAGAAGCTAGATACAATCGTTCCCGCTAACATATTGGAAATGTCTTTTTCTGATTGTTAGAGATTTGGAAGAGCCCATCTTCGGCATGCACTGTATGCAAACAATAAATAGTTCTCTTTGCTCGGGGGTATACATCCCGAACTCAAGTATTCTCAGCAACCAAAGCAAATATCATTATACCGAGATCATTCTTGTCGTTCGTGCTCGCAATGGAGTTTGTTTGTCCCTCGGTCTGCAGGAAGATCGTCAAGCGGGGAACCGGGGTCACCCCGCATTAATGGCAGGACTGCTGGCGTCGGCGATTCTTTTTCCATCTATCACATGTTTAGCACAGATTTTATGGCCAACATTTTGGGATGAGATCGCTTGATTTGGACAAACCGAGACGAAATAGTTGATTGAATTGCGAGTTCCTTTAGCCCGCTCCGAATGTGCGTATATTGTTTTTCCAGAAAAAAAAGCGGTCGGTGTAGTTGCTACCGTAGAAAAGAGTCTCCCTTTATCCTTCCCATGGAGAAATTCGGCGCATCTTCTTCGATATGAGGACTTTATTTGGGATTCTTTCCTATCACTCGAGGGCATACCCGGGATGCAAGGATATGTTTTGCCCCAGGTCTTTCATAGTTTGGTCATGGGGAGGATGAAGATGAAAGTCTTGGGCATGCTAAAAGCTTTACTACAGGTTCCATATCAAGAGACTTGATGAGGCAAAATTCGGGTTCACTCTGCAACGCTGTAGAGTGAATTGATCCGGTGATGGGTGATGGATGAAGGTTGAAGGTGGACGGAAGACCGAAGAGAGGAGATGCCAAGAAATGAACAGTCCGACGAATACGCTAAGCCTGATCCGGAGGGTTTCTTTAGTAAACAAGGCAAACAGTTGGTGCCAGCCGCATCTATGCGATCGGTATGCAGGGAAGGAAGAGAACGATGGAATGATTGAGTGCGAGGAGTATCAAAATGGGCACCGAGAACGATAGGTAAAGGAGACGAGGTCGGATAACTCAATGAGAAATGGGAGAATCCTATGAAGTTATACTCGTAGGGAAGTACATATGAACGAACTGGAAGAATAAAGAATTAAGATGTTGACATTAAAATGCAATATTGAAGATAACACGTTCATCCATCTCATCCATCTCTTTTATCTGTGTGCCAAACGTCGCGCATCTGAACGTCCTCAGCTTCAGTACCATCGCGACAACCACCCTCGTCTCGATGAGACCCTCGCATATTCCTCCACAGCCGGCGTAGTCGGCTTCATGACATCCTCCGCCTCCATGGACCTCATCGAGAATCTTGCTGTCGGGATGAGCGGCGTTCGCTCCTCTGCCTTCGTTCGAATATAATAATGCTCGTCCTCAGGCTCCATACCGACAAACCATTTCTCCTTGAAATGCTCCCCGTGCGGTCCGGCACCACAGGCACCGTCCAGCTTAGATGTCGCTGGACTGTTCATCGCCAGCGTGAACAGATTCTGTGGGTCTGTGAAGTCGGTCAACTGTCGCCCTTTAATGAGAAGCATGTACACGAGACAGAAGGCACTGGTGATAAACGCCAGCCCTAGTATCACGTAGAAAACGTAGTGCCATTTCTCAGTATAGCTAGACTGATATCCGACGACCCTTACGGAGGCGCGGAAAAACTGCGGCTCTGGGCTAGGGACGGTCGCATTCTTCGGCTCCTTGCTGATGTCGGTGTAATTCCAGAAATGGACGAACGGGGCGTTGGCAGAGCCGAGAATGAGGGTGTTGCCGGCCATGACGGCCAGAGCTTCCGCAATGGATGGGACCTTTGGGTCAAGGGTGTCGTTCTTGGGGGTTAGCTGCATGAGAACGCGGGAGTTGCTGGCGCGGCCGTTGGTGATGCCCGTGTTAAGACTCAGGGCTAGGGCCCAGGAATGAGCGATGTTTTTCCAATCTGGGTCCCAAGCACCGTCGGGCGCGTCGGGGTATGCCTGGTCATAGCGCCATTTGTCGTCAGGGTTGTCGCATTTCGTGCCAAAGGAGGCGCCGCGAATGGACGCAGAGTAGTACGTTGAGCAGCGAGGGCTGAGCTTGGCTTTCATGGAGCAGAGGACATATTCTGGGGTTCGGTTGGTGGGAGCATGGCCGAGGAGGTAGAGGGAGTCACCGTAGTAAACGGAGCCGTTGACGATGGTGTTGTACGCCTCGGGAAATTTGCCGAAGATGGGTGGCCGTGCGTCGTACTTCTTCCCCCACCGGAAGAGATCGTCGACGACGGTGCGATTGAGCCAGGATGGATAGGCAGGTACATCACTGTGCTGGTCCAGGGTCCAGTTGTCGGGATTGAAGCGTGAGTGTGGCCACGTTTTGTAGATCAACGGGCTTAGTTCCTTTGCGGACATGCCAGCGCAAAGGACGTTCACTGCCGGAGATGGAACTCGAGCTAAGAGATCAAAGTTGCCCTCCGATGAGATTCTGGGTCGGTGGAACCCGTTCTGGGGGTTGTTTACTGCACCGGCCACGCCGCCATGAGGCATCGCGGCTGTCACGTTGATGACCATGCGCCCGTAGCGCTCCGACAAGTCGGTGATATTTGTCTGGTCGATCCAAACTCCAGTCACGGTAGTGTTATCGAACATCGTTCCCACCGGCAGTGGTCGCTCGCCTTGGACCAGCGCTGCAGACGTGTTTTGGGAATCGAGGTTGCTCCATTTCGAAAGGTAAGCGTGGTAATTGTGGTATGCCTGGCTGACGTGTTGAAGCTCTAAGCAGGTATTTCCTCGATCCTGCTCTGATTCCGACGGGTCGATATCGTGAGTAATCACCGTCTCGCAGTGGTTGCGCATATCGTCGGGCCAGGCAAATTTGGCGGTGATATTTCCCGTCAGCGTTCGGTCCTCGTAGGGGCCTTGGAGGAGTTTTGGTGATACTGTGGAGGCACCATGTCAGTAAAGCTAGAACTTCACCTGGGATTTGGTTACGGTAAGGTTTGCGCACTCACCAAGTGCTTCGGCAGCGGTCGTGTAGAGCATGGCGACAATGGTGGCCGTCAAAGTGAGCATCCCCAGTAAAGTCAACGCCGAGTAGCGCATGGCTTGGGAATGGATGATCATCGACGCCGGCTGCATAATCCATGTCCGCATACTCAAATCCGAGATGGTGATCCCACTAGATCCCTTCTTGATCGCCCGTCGACTCAGGAACTGCCCTAGAAAGGCGACAAAAACGCTGACAAATGCCAACTCAATTGTCTTGGCAAAGAGGGCACTGAGTAAACTGGCAGTGGAAGGTCGAAGACCCCCATCCGTACCGATTGACTGCTCATATCTCGGGCGCAACAAGGACACAAAGAAGTATATGCCGGATACAACGGTTGAGTAGATGGCTAGCACCAACACTGTTATAGGGACCCATGAGCACCGACGCTGAACCACTCGCTTTTTGCATGAACATTTGGTCGCGTTGAATTCACTGTCGACAAACGATGCTCTGGAGTAATGCGACCGTAGAGTTTGCTGCTCCGAAAAGCCTGGGGAGAAGAGATCACTCGTGGGAGTCGCCTGGTCTGCCCCCCGACTGTCTCGATTGGACACCAGTCGTTGCGTGGAACTGTTGATCCCCAGCCCTGTGTAGGACGTGACATCTTCCTCCTCGTGCGGCGTTTGGGCCCGTTCGTAGCGGATATAGGAGCGGTCGGACGGAGAAATTGGATCGAATGGAGTCCATGACGTTGTCGGTCGGTCGGAACGTGAATGAGACGATCGAGAAATTGATGGGAGAGGAAACTGCTCTGATTGACCGGACGACATTGTGCTCAGCGGTTGAGGAGACTGGCGACAGCGACCGGGACGTCCATTCTCCAAGGAAGCAGAAGCAGAGAAGACCGCAGTCGGAAGCCGTCCGAATATATGAGAATCAAGCCGACCCAACCAGGATTTAGCACCAGAACAAGCGGCCCTGGAAAGTGGGGAGAGGTAGAAATCGAGTGACCTTTATGGCGAGATAGAAATGAAAAACCAGCAGGCTGGACGGCTGGACTCTCAGCCTCGTGGTCTATATGCGTTCGTGTTCCCCTTCCACCAATCGTCGGGGTTCGTGCCCAGGGTGTCCGTGCGCTAAGAATAGATTAATTCATATACGCCATTTGCCAAGATCACTAGTCCGTGAAACGTTGATTTTGGCTTTGGGGGATGAGGTCGACCTAAGGGCCCCCGTCTGCCGCGTTTCTCTCTGTGTCGGGACAGTTGTCAAAGTCGACAAAGGACCAGGAAATCAAGGTCTGGCGTGCAGCCCGGACGAGGAAACGAGATACCTCCTGTAATCCCGTTAGCCGCCATCTCATAAGGCTGCCCGTTATAGCGGAGTCCGCTTGCCTAGTTACGCCGACGAGTGCTTCGTGCCAATCAGCGGAGTCGCAGTGTTCTCGGGATCGACGCCATCTCGCCGTCGTTGATGTCAGCGTGCCTGCCTTGGCCTGGATGATTAGGCATTCAGCGGACCGAGCCCAGCTATAGATAGTAGCACCTGGACGTGGAGTAAGAAAGCGTTACGCAAGCAGGAGGCAAGGAAAGAAAGGCTGGGGAGAAGAGAGGAGAAGACGGGGAGGAGAGGTCACGCGGTCGGCTTAACCCTACCACGCCCACCCCTTGCTGAACACTCACGCCGCTCATTCACCATCGCGAGAGTCCAAGAATGCAAGTTCGAAATGATCCGGAGATTTGATGGACTGCTCCACCATACAGTGTGCACCCCGGTTTCTTTTATTCGAGAGTTTCGTGAAACCACCCGTCGAGGCTAAATATCTGTGGACATAGACCTTAAGTACTTTCATAGAAAAATTAATTTGCGACAGCTTTCCATTATTGAATTTCGATTGAACAAAAATATTCCCAATAGCCCAGTTGCATGACAAATGAGTTTACCTCACCTTGGACGTGAATGCCATATGGTTGACGCATGGGACCGGTCTCATCGGAATGGTAGATCGCTGCCCGCGCCCGTCGTGAATTGTGAATGCATCAATTAGGTAGATTGCATGTTCAAAGGTGAAGGAAGATAATAGGTGTCGCTAGAATCAGCTCGGCCTATTTATCCTGCTCGATTTCACAAGAAAAACCCCAAGAGATCGATATTTGAAGTGAAAGAGATTCCTCGTGCAAATAATCCCATCAACAACGACAACAATCTATCATTAATTCCATTTCCCCCTGGCGTCGAGAATTCAGAGACTGTTTCGTAAGTTCCTTTTGTGTACACTGCACTAATTTATGGCCTGTCACGAGTGGGACATTATTTTAACACGAGTCTATATATACTTTGAAGATAATACAATCAAAAGCAGTATAGGAACGACACAATTGGGTGTCATAGAGCGATAAATCTTCACCGTTAACCGTTTCCGCTGGCTGGAAATTTGGCTCAAGCGAGCTCGTGGCGAGTTCGAGGGTTTCCCGGCAACTCTGGTTGCGTTGGATCACCGTGCAGTTCTGACGACGTGTATTGACCGTCCCCCGATGGTAGCGAGCTCTTTGGTTCAAGTGGTTGAGAGATCGAAGCATTTTTGTTGAAGCCAGCCTTGTCCTCCGCAGGGACAGTCTCGCTGGGCCAAGACTTGGCACAGGCAAGGGCACAAACACAAACATAAGAACAAACGGTATGATCCTAATATTTGATGAGTGTTATGCCATCCGTAGAGTAAAGTCAAGCTGAATAAGGAAGGAAACTTCCGTCAATCGATATAAATTAGCACCATATAAATAGCCCGTCCACGAGCTGCCCTTCCGCCACTTTGAAGCAAGTCAACAACTGCGCGTTCACGGTTACAGTTACTTTGACTTTCAACAACTCAGAAGGTCAGGACGGAGAGATCTGGCATTAGGAAGCTTCTATTGAAGTTCATCATAGAATTTGGGAAGTTTATGTATCCCGTAGATCTCAGCCAGTTTTCGCAGACCTGCAAGTGCTTCTACGACCTCCTCCGTGAACAGAGAAAGGCTGCCACATTGAAACACTCTGGTATTATTCAGAAGGACTATACACCAGGTGCTCTGTCATCCTGGACGGTAACTCCGGAGTGTGCTTGCCTGGGATCAAGCAATACACCTGATGAAACGCCAGCCTCTCACTTGGTCTTGGCCATACGCGAGGGACGCGTCGGAGCTCTTCGAAATTATCTAGAAGCAGGGATCGATCCCAATGGCTTTTGGTGGAAGTCTCGACTGCCAAGTGACGCTTGCTGCCCCTGCTTTGACAATATAGACTGCATTAAGCTTCTCTTGGAATGTGGAGCTGATTCAGCGCTGGAGGACGAGAGAGGAAATGCTCATGACGTTAGACATAAGACACTGTTGATTCGCGCATATCTGAATGTATTTAGGTCTAGTTTGAGAACTTTCAGCTGGCCGGGACACCCCATGTTTTGGCGTAATTGGAGGCCTGAGTATGACAAGGTAACTCGTCTCATAAAGGCAGGAATTAAGATCACGAATACCATCGAGGCGGGCCACATACTTATGCAGGCCAACGCCCTCGACGCCCTCAAGCTGGCGGTTGAACTTGGGTCTGACCTTTCCAAACTCAAGCAATACGCGACAGGCAGAACAACCTTATCGTCTACACTTTGGTACGCAGGCCCGGATGCACTTTGGTATCGGTTTATATGGCCACGAGCCTTTCAATAATAATTTCGAGATAGTCGAGTGGTTGATTACGTTGTGTCCTGAGCTCATCAATGTTGAAAATCCTGACGGCATATTGCCATTTGATCTTGCGTTCAGCGAGTACCGTCCTGATATTGCCAGACTCTTAAGGACGCAATCCAAAGCGCAATGCAGCCATTAGGCATCGGGAATGTGAATCTCGAGCAGCACACTGATTCAAATGATGAGTCCCACGACCAAATACTGGAAATACCTCCTGCGACAGCGCACGAACCTATCCATGATATTGAGGACCTAGACCGAACCAGGCAGATCGGCGAATTTTCCGTCTACCTTTATTATGCCCGAGCCATGGGCCCTTTACTTTGTGTCCTGTTCCTTGTCGCTCATGCCTTTCTAGCCTTTGCGGAGAGCTTTCCGCGAGTCTGGCTCAGCTGGTGGACCCAGGCAAACAGTAACCAGCTTCCAATATACCAGTCCGTCTACGTCGCTTTCGCGCTGGCTGCCTCCCTGCTCATTATAATTTCCATCTGGGTCGTCTTCCTAGAACTGATGCCGAGATCTGCCGTTCGCCTGCATCAGTTCCTACTTGATGCTGTTATCCATGCACCTTTGTTGTTTTTCGCCTCCACCGATTCTGGAATTACCCTCAACCGCTTCAGCCAAGATATGACACTGGTAGATCTCGCTCTGCCGATCGCGTTGATGTCTTTAGGTCAATCCTACTTCGGATGCGTTGCAACTATTGGTTTAATCGCCACCGGCTCCGCGTACATGGCTATCACAATTCCCTTGGCCCTTGCTGTTCTCTACGTGCTGCAAAAGATCTATCTGAAGACCAGTCGCCAATTGCGGTATCTTGACCTAGAGGCTAAAAGCCCCTTGTACTCTCACTTCGTTGAGACCCTTGACGGACTGCCCACCATTCGGGCGTTTGGCTGGCAGTCGGCCTCAACCAGTGCTCGTGAAACATTAAGATGCGTCGTAAAAGCCATACTACATGCTCATCTGCACCCAGAGATGGCTGAACCCGGTTCTGGATCTCGTGGTCATGGCGCTGGCGGTTCTTATGGTGACGCTGGCGGTCGTGTTGCGTAATAAAACGAACGCTGGTCTGCTGGGCGTTGCCTTGAACAATATCTTAGGATTTAATCAGTTACTTTCTTCTTTTATCTCTTCGTGGACGCAGTTCGAGACTTCCCTTGGGGCTATCGCTCGGGTTAAATCGTTTGTTGAGAATACTCCGTTTGAATATCGGGGGGAGGGTCGGCGTCTGCCTGAGTTTTGGCCTGAGAAAGGCAGTATCGATATCCAGGATGTTTGCGTAGATTATGCGGATTGGAGTACCGCGTTACGTGATGTTTCGATGGTCATTGCTCCAGGGGAGAAGGTTGGTATTTGCGGTCGGACTGGGAGGTGAGTCTCCGCCGGTTTACATTTCCATCCCGATTCTTCTCTCATTATCAAACGCTCTCCACCATCATTACTCACGAACCTTTCATCTATCTAGCGTAAAAGCTCTCTCATTCTCGCTCTACTCCGTCTCGTCAACCCAGCCTGCGGCAAAATTCTCATCGACGGACATGATACGAGTACCATCTCCTCAGAAACAATCCGAGAGCGTCTTATTGCTGCCCCCCAAGACCCTTTCATTCTCGCGGGCTCCATCCGATATAACGTCGACCTAAACGGCACCGCCACCGACGGAGAAATTATCACTGTACTTCAGCACGTCGGCATCTGGGAAGCCATTGAAACTCGCAGCGGTCTGGATGCCGTCCTCCACGGTCAACCCTTATCGCAGGGCGAGCAACAGCTACTGTATCTGGCTCGGGCGCTTCTAAAGCAACGAGCTAGCAGGAGTGGATGCCCGGTAGTTATCTTAGATGAGGCGACGAGTAGCGTCGATAGGGAGACAGACTGTCGGATTCAGCGGGTTCTGAAGGATGTGTTTCGGGAGTGTACGGTTGTGAGTGTTGCTCATAGGGTAAGTTTTCTGGTTCCTGAACCCTGGTGCTCTACATGGATTTGGTCGCTAACGTATTTGATTGTAGTTGGATACGATCATTGATTTCGATAGGCTTCTGGAGAAGAACAGCCTGTTTCGACGCATGTATGGGAAGTCAGAAGCATCTACTCCGTAGGTCAGGAAGGTAAACGTCCTTGGCTGATGGTCATGGAACCTTTCCTAATCCGACTGATTGTCCCTGGACATAACGTACTTGAACTTGGCAAACCTAAGCATTAGCCTTTATTTACCATCTCCCATTACTCTTCATGATTTACCTTCTACAACCCATTCTAGACCTTAGATCATATGTTCCTTGCATACTCCGGAATATAAATATCTATTCTTGCATTCACTCTGAAGATATATTTCCCGAGCCATGGTCGTGCGTGAATATTTCTCCGCACATTCGTCCATACAGTCATCCGTTGGGTTACGAACGACATAAAGAATATCGCGATGCTGAAACACTCGAAGGCCCAGCCAGAGCATGGCATGATTGAGCGCGATTATCTTCTTCCCCGGCGGCTTGGCATATCCCGTTCGGCACGTGCGGAGAGGTAGCCGGATGACTCAGCCGATCGGCAGCCAGGCCGGAAAAGGAAAGGGCCAATGAGGGACCAGCGAATGCCGCTGAGGCGGAAGGTGCGGCCAGGTCACGGGACCGGGGGGGGCTTCACCCCGCCTCGTGCATGCAGTGGGCGGTCGGGGCAGCGGTCTGACATTCTTGGGACTGTGACTGGCGGGGTGGGAGATTCTGCCGGGGACGGTAGTTGCGGCTGTTGAGGACCTCAGGCAGCCAGGCCCTCTCCCCGCCAATCCCGGGGAAGCCTAGAGAGATCTTATCCGCGCGGGTAAAACCTACTCCGGGTGCTCCCCCGCGCCTTTCCACACAGGGCCTCTAGTCTTCCTGTCTTACAGTCTGATTCTGGCTGCCGCTGCGTTTCGGCTGTTCCAGGGTCGACGTGACCGACGCGACCATGAATCCTTCCCCAAGTCAATGTCGGCATATCCAGCGGTTTCCTTAACCTTTGGCACCGTTTCCATCTCCCCCACATCCACGGGTAGCCGATTTTATTTGCCGTCACGGTCACTGGTCCTTGCATTTCCCTGGAGAAATGGCTTGCCACGATTCTGCCGTCTTGCTTGCATATAAAATCCTTCGTGATCCCCCTTCTTAGACATTTTTTGTTTCCCCATCCCATCCCAATCACACCCTCAGACCCGCTATCTTTAAATAGTCTCTGTCAAGGCAGTCTCATACTACCAACCACACACAATGTCTACCACTCGCGAGTTCGACCCTAACTTCACTCCCTATGTGATCAACTCCATGGGCCCTAAGACCCCCGAGCGCACCCGCGTGCTCCTGGGCTCCCTGATCAAGCACATCCACGAGTTCGCTCGCGAGGTTGAGCTGACGCCCGCCGAGTGGATGCTCGGTGTTGAATTCATCAACTCCATCGGAAAGATCAGCACTCCCATCCGTAACGAGTGCCACCGAATCTGCGACGTCATCGGTCTGGAGTCGTAAGTTTAACCCCGAATCTTAATTTCTGCCATCTCCCATTGACCACCGAATCTAGTCTGGTCGACGAAATCGCCAACAAGATCGTTACCGAAGATGGCGTCTCCCCCACCTCCAACGTCATCCTCGGCCCCTTCTGGTCGCCCAACGCTCCCTTCCGCGCCCTCGGCGACTCCATCATCCAAGACCCCAAGCCCAACGGCCAAGTCACCTACATGCACGGTGTGCTGAAGGACATGGAGACCGGCGCGCCCATCGAAGGCGCCGTCCTCGACATCTGGCAGGCCTCGGCCAACGGCCAGTACGACTTCCAGGACCCCACGCAGACCGAGAACAACCTGCGCGGCAAGTTCCGCTCCAACGAGAAGGGCGAGTTCTGGTGGTACTGCTACCACCCCACGCCCTACTCGCTGCCCACCGACGGTCCCGCCGGTGTGCTCCTGAACCTGATGGACCGTTCGCCCATGCGCCCCGCCCACATCCACCTGATGATCACCCACCCCAACTACGCCACCGTCATCAACCAGATCTACCCCAGCGACGACCCCCACCTTGACATCGACTCGGTGTTCGCCGTCAAGGACGATCTCGTCGTGGACTTCAAGCCCAAGACGGACGACCCCAAGGCTTCCTTGGACCTCGAGTACAACGTCAACATGGCGCTCAAGAAGCACCACCCTAACCCCAACTCGGCGCCTCCCGTCTCTTCGTTCGAGCGGTTCAACAAGAGTGCCAGCCAGAAGCTATAGATATGATGATAGACGGTGGTTTTTGTTGATGCATTTTGATTGTACAGGTACATAGCATTTTCTACGAATTTAAGCGATTTTGGGTTCTCTTCTACTATTTCTTGCCCCCGTTATCGTAGATCTCGAATTGAGAATGGTTGGGGTTTCCTGGGTTAGTCGATGCAGCATTCTAAGAAAGATGCGATGGGCCACGTGATACCAAACCCTGCAGGGCAGCTACATGCACATGACCCTCCAACACACCTCCAACGCAGGAAGGAACTCCATCCTTCTGATCATCCATTTCCTCCCTTTCCATTGAATCTGAGATGAAGTTCTCGGCAATCGCCGACTCTTCCCAGCGATGTTCGAATACAACAGATCGACCCAGCAAAACCCTTTAGGATGGCGCTCTCATGGAGCCATCCGCTATGCTGAATGAATGATCCGATTAACAACACGACCTGGCTGGTGCTGTGTTCATAATATATCACTATCTGGAAAGCCACCGGTATCGCATATAAAGACGACAAAGCCGTACCTGAAAGAAAGATGTTAGTCACCGTTCGGTGATAACAATTGGCCGATTTCATTGACAGAGTGTTGAATAATTGTCTTATCCGGAATATCCAACTCACGTCGGGATGGGCTCCCAAGGTATCAACGTTCTCCCAGTGGAGCTGATCGTGATCTGCACGCAGTTCATGGACGTGGGACTCTTCTCCGGCTATCACAAACATGCAAAGGCATTTATTGCCATTTGACGGAGCAGAGAAAGTCTTGCAATCAAAGAATGCCACGCAACCATGCCCCGTTGATAAACTCAGGCGCAGAAGCCCAACAATAGGTCGTTGGGGAGGTCCCTCCTACACGCTGAGAATATTCACCAATCTAGGGTTGGCCGTATACGACACTGACGTCGGTACTCCGAGAGCGTACCTGAGGGCCGGTGCAAATCCGAACGGACACAACGAACCGAGTCCACTGCTCGAAGCTGTGACGAACGGACGCACAGAAAGTGTGGTAATGCTGATCGAGTATGGAGCCGACCTATCCCCGTCACCTCCCATTGTATCTACCCGAACATCACGACGTTCTAGACGCAGATGCATATTCGGATTAGGAACAACGTCGCGGCTTTGGGTCCGAGTATAGTGCGCGCAAAACGGCCTCAGATTGCGAGGCTCTTGTTGAAGCACGGTGCTCCGCTCGGCTTCGTCTCTTCGTATCATCAGTACAGTGGATTGGATGAGTTAGGCATGGCACATAAATACTGTCCAGAGTTGGTGCCTTTTAATGAGAGGCGGCTCGAACTGGATCGTCAGGTGCAGACTGAGAAGATCGATGGATTGCTTCCACTTGATCTGGTGCCTTGGGATTGAACCCATTTCTATTTTTGCCGGGATGGATGTTTACGGGTTGAGACCTTGTATGAATCTATTATTTAATTTATTCCATACAGTTATCTATTGTAAACATGCAACTTATACGTTTCTCTCTTAGTCGGTTTTGGGAGCAATGCTCCAAAGACATACCCTATTTTATCAATTGAATACACACAAGGCTTGAATATGATATTATGGTTTTGCCTGACTCTGTCACGAATCCACCAGACATACCCTTGTTGATCAGATGATTACAAACTACAGGAGAATGTAGTATTAGTAGGTACTTTAGGTCTTCTAAATAGGGCAATTTTCACAAGCGCTCAGATGCCAATGGACCCTGTAGATCTCAAAATGGTTGAACTCGACCAATCGGTTATGACGATCCGAAGGTACTTTCATATAGTTAGGAAGAAGTTATTTGTCACAATAGGTTAGTGTCTATGGGGTTTGAAGAGTGCTCATAATATTAAAATGCTGTACCTATACCGTGAACCCTTCATTGTTCTCTTTAAACTTCATGTTCCTCATGCTCATCCTTGGAATAATCGATCCCTCTAAAAGGCTAATTCATTGTCTATGGTGGTCGTTGAATCCGCGAATCTACCTACATCGCTAGCAAGCAGTCTTTCATCACCGGCCACTGGTCAAGAACAAGGGAATAGTGCTCGCATCTGACAAGAAATCAGGTGTATGAGTAAGAATCAATGAGCTGCCATCTCCGTCAAGATCTTGGTCAGTCGTCTTCTCGCATCATTTTCGGCACTTATGTTCCTGTCTCGGAAGTATTGGATCGTGATTTTCTGGACAGATCGGTAGCATCCGTAACTGTATTGCATTGATTAGCCTCTTTCGTAATGTCATCAATCACCAATCTAATCGGTTCAGGCTGGGGTCCCGCACAGTAAATGTCGAATCGAAACCGGTTTGCTTTTCGTCGGGTGGATTCCAAAGCCATCGAGTACGGACGATGACGGGTTGTCAAAGATCTCCGCCATGTAGACGTCGCCCCATAGCGCACTGCTCAGGTCCACGACTCCAACTAAGCGTTTCGATTCCGGGTCTAGAATTACCTGAGACGGTCGACCCAGGTCCACCACGACGAGGCGCGCCTGTCGCACTTCCTCGAGCGCGGGGGATAATCGGTACAGCTGGTGCCGGATCTCGGCGTAGGGGAGGTTCACGAAGAAGTCCTCCGAGTCACGTAGGATGCCCTCGAATAGGGTCAGGAAAGCCTCTCGCCACGAGCGTTTCCCGGACCCCGTGGCCACTTGCTCGAGGGATCCGAAGGAGGAGGAGACGTTCTGCGAGATGTCGTGGGCTAATGACCCCAGTGACCGGTCGATGTCCTTTTGCGTTGTCTCGCTGATCTGGACCTTCAGTTCCTGTGCTGTCGTCCCGGAGAGAAAAGGTCGTATAATGAAGGACGAGCCGAACAGGTCGCCTCGACGGTCGTAATGGAGAAGTGACGGGATACATGGGGCGGTGCTCTGCTTTAGGATGGACATGGCTCGGGCTTCGGTGTCGAGGAGACGCTTCTCCTGTCGGAGGAGGGGTGTCATCGCTCGTGGCGTGCTTTTGAGGAGTAGTTGTTCTTTGTTGGATAGGATTAAGAGACACATTGAATGGAGATGGCCCTCGAGAGGGTAGATCTCTCGCACGTATACATTCTGCGAGAAGAGTCGCCCGATCACAGTGTCTAGGCTGGTCGTATCTGCACATTCGACATTGGAGCCATCGATGAGGAATGGAGACATGACGGAGGGCCAAGGGGGGTGCTAGCTGGGAAGAGAGGGACAAAGAGAGAAAGGAGAGAGGGTATTAAAGCAGGAACAAGAACCTCCCGGCCGCCATGTCTTTGAGTAAAACCACGGACAACCACCGGGGGATTTTGTCAAGACGAGACACGACACCGAGAAAAAAGAATTGGGTAGGGCATGTTGGCGTGCGCTGGCAACGGGAAGTTACATCTGAACGCAAGCGAGATCGAGCGCCACTGTACCGGAAGCATGACCCTATCCAATAACTTTAAGCGAGCCTCAAAGATGGGAAGGCAATGACATTGTGAGCGAAGGAGCCGGCGACGGGTCTTATAGATAGCGGCCGGAAACTCGCCTAAGGCTCCCGCTTGAAGAAAGGCGCCCCTGCAGTGCCTGAGGCCCCCGCCCAATCAGCGGGCGGCCTTACCGAAGACGAGCGACGCGACTTCTCTCGTTAAATTGAAGGAGTCAACAACGTTGCATCACCGACGAAGCTTCTCACGTCATCTTTCCGGAGGGAGTCATGGGGTGTCGGGCTGGTGAGGTAGGAATTCATTCATCGTACGGAGTACACTGAGTACGGAGGGGTCTACCCCCTACACTCCTAGAAACACGTCCACAGTCTTTGCTTTTTCTTACCTGTCCCGGTTTGTCCTAATCGCGTCTAGCGCACGATAAAGTCCGGGGCCCCGTCCTCTCGGCCTGATTTCTAGAAGCCGATCCGTCTAGAAATACTGGCCGAATGGACCTATGCAATCTATTCCTCAGCCGTTCAGAATATGAAAAATCGTATCGTAATATGCCATTAATCCAAAATTTTGAAATGCCAAATCATATTTTACTCCTTCACCTCGGGCGCTTCGCTCTTCGCTTCAGTTGTCGCTTCGGCTCTCGCCGACGGTTTGTAAAGCTCGGCCAGGTTGTATTTCTTCAGTTTATCATAGTCCGACCCCAGGACGCTCATTCCGATCAGGTTCTGTGTTCGATGTCATGGTTAGTCCCCGCGTTTCTCCAGTCAACTCTTCCCAGGGACATCGTACCTGCACCACTTCAACCAGAATGAGAAGGTCGTAGTTCTTGAGATCAACGGAATGGTCCGGTCCGACCACTTGAGCAATGGTTTTAATGAGAATATCCCTGTTGAATTTCGAGTTGCCCCTCACCACGGGTCGAATCGCAAACTGCATACCCATGCGATTAGCCTGGGTACTCGGACATCCAAGCCAAACAGACTGGAGCGCGGCATACCTTTTTGGGAGGGCCGCCGGAGTGAAAGTGGGGTTTCAGGATCTCCGCGGCAAATGCTTCGAGATCAACGCTGAGCGTCTTTCGTATCGACCGGATCGGCGACAACCGTTGGATATATCGACTGCGCTTCTGCTCCGGATGGGTATGCGCATCCACGCAGAGCTGATGTACCAACTTCTCCGGATCAATGGACTTGTCGAATTTCACGAAGATCACTGGTGCCAATTAGTTCGAGCCCAAAAGCCTGCGGGCGGGAGAAAGAAAGAGATCGACGAACCGCAAGGGAATTCCATCCGGAAGGTGCGAAAATCGCGGGGCTTGGACGAGCCGGGTTTTAACCCCTCGACTTCTCGTCGAATTTGGGCTTCGATGTCTTCATCTTCGTCGGAGCCGGAGTCGGCGTCCTTCTCGCCATCGGCGGACTGTTCGATACTCTGATCGACCGGACGTGTCAGACGAAATGCACGATGATCCCGAAACGGTCGGTACTAACCTGGGTGAACAGATCCACGGCCTCGGGTATGCATTTCCCTTCTTTGCCCTTGTCACACGTTACGAACACGCCACAATCACCGCTCTCGATAATCGCTCCCTTGCCATTTTTCTGCCAATTACCGCCTCCCTATACCACGGGTTAGACCACGGACGGAGTGAGGGTCATCCCACCGTAGCGGATGGGATCCAGACCATAGAGGCCAAAGGCCGGAGACCGGAGACCGGAGAGTAGTAAGAACGAACCTTTTTTCGTTTAGAAGACTGATTGGACGAGGAGTCGGGCATGGCTCGTTTTCCTGAATCCGCCATTCAGAAAGCGGGAATTCCTCGGCGAAAGTGGCTGTGTCGAGAGTTTGATAGCATCGACAATCTCCCCTCCTCTGCGGTGGAAAGAGAAATCGCCGGCATTAATTTCTTGGGCGGTGAGAGGCGGTGAGGCGGGAGGGGTTGGCGACTGACTGCCCGATGGGGCCTAGCGGATGCGCATCGTCCCACCGGGTGGGCTGACGGTCACCTGACAGGCTGACAGGCTCAACCGGCATGCCTGGCGTTTGAGGCATCCCGGTTTGCCGAGCGGGAGGTTCTAGAACTCGGGCCATCTGCCCATTGACCTCCTGCCATCTCTCCCACCAACTGATCTGCTTGCAGGCCATCCCGGGCCACCGTGAACCCAATGGCGTTATCTTCCCTTGTCTCACTGTACAACCGGGCTAGTTGGCCTTCAATTCCCTCGCCAGACATTGCCTCCCAAAGAGGGTGGGTTGTTGCTCCACGGCCATTCTCCCGGTTGATAACATGACATCACTATTTGTTCATGACGTATGACACGCTCCTCTGCTGCTTTTCCCTCTTTTTCCGGCCCTCCCGATACTTGTCTAGTACGGACTACATATAGCCTGAGAATCCCGGGACTTTTGTTGTATTGCCAAACAATTACCCCTCCTCAAATCGAATCTTCCCTTCGCTATCTTCGTCCCTACCCGCTCGCATCGAGAACCGTGCGTATTCCAGATGGCCACCGATATAGCGACCAAAGAGCTTCGCGAGCCCGTCGCCGTCGCCGAGTACCTCTTTCAGCGACTTCACCAGATTGGCATCCGTGCGGTGCATGGCGTCCCTGGTGAGCGATCCGACGGCCCCTCTGGAACAAAGCATCCATAGTTCAACATAACTAATCATGATTCGGTTCTAGGTGACTACAACCTTGCTGCGTTGGACTATCTACCAAAATGTAACCTTCACTGGGTGGGAAACTGCAATGAGCTGAATGCTGGTACGTTCGAAATGCCAAATGATAACCGCGGGAACGCAGCGGGATCGTCTAACTCCAGAATTTCACTGTAGGATATGCTGCGGACGGCTATGCTCGGGTCAATGGAATCAGTGCCTTGATCACCACCTTCGGTGTGGGCGAGCTGTCAGCCCTGAATGCCATTGCCGGCGCTTACTCCGAATTCGTGCCGATTATCCACATTGTTGGCCAACCACACACTAAATCGCAGAAAGACGGGTCCTTGTTGCACCACACGCTGGGTAATGGTGACTTCAATGTCTTCACGCGAATGAGCTCTGGGATTTCCTGCGCCACCGGCAATTTGACCGAAACTCACGAGGTGGCAACCCTGATCGACAATGCTATCCGCGAATGCTGGGTTCGCAGTCGTCCGGTTTACATCACCCTTCCCACCGACATGATCACGAAACAAATCGAGGGTCAACGGCTGAAGACTCCACTCGACCTTTCGCTGCCTCCGAATGACCCGGAGAAAGAGGACTACGTGGTAGATGTGGTTTTGAAGTATTTGCATGCGGCGGAGAGAGCCGTGATCCTCGTCGATGCCTGTGCCATTCGTCATCGCGCGCTTGACGAAGTTCATGACTTGGTGAAAGCCTCCGGTCTACCCACCTTTGTGGCCCCCATGGGGAAGGGTGCCGTGGATGAGACGCTCAAGAATTACGGGGGTGTCTATGCCGGAACAGGATCGAACCCCGGTGTTCGTGAGCAGGTCGAGTCCTCAGATCTCATCTTGAGCATCGGAGCCATCAAGTCCGACTTCAACACCTCGGGATTCACGTATCGCATCGGACAGCTCAATACCATCGATTTCCATAGTACGTTCGTGCGTGTTCGGTACTCCGAGTATCCCGAAATCAACATGAAGGGCGTCTTGCGGAAGGTGGTCCAGAAGATGCGCTCGCTCAATGTTCAACCAGTCTCGCACCTCTCGAATGTCTTGCCCGAGGAGGAGAAGAACTCGTCCAACCAGGCTATTACTCACGCATGGCTCTGGCCTGTCTTTGGACAATGGTTGAAAGAGAAAGACGTTGTTATCACGGAAACCGGAACTGCTAATTTCGGCATCTGGGACACCCGATTCCCTGCCGGCGTTACCGCTATTAGCCAAGTCCTTTGGGGCAGTATTGGGTACTCGGTTGGTGCCTGCCAGGGAGCTGCGTTGGCTGCAAAGGAACAGAACCGGCGTACCGTGTTGATCGTTGGAGATGGAAGTCTGCAACTCACCGTGCAAGAGATCAGCACCATGATCAGAAACAAGCTCAACCCCATCATGTAAGTCGGCAGCCCTTGCATTATCCTCTCCGCGGTTTTTGCTAATACAAGTGCAGCTTTGTTATTTGCAACGAAGGCTATACAATTGAGCGGTACATCCATGGGTGGGACGAGACCTACAACGACATTCAGGAATGGGATATCAAGGGCCTTCCCACCGTCTTCGGAGCGAAGGACCAGTACAAGGGATACAAGGTCCAGACCCGGGACGAGCTCACTCAGCTTTTCGCGAACCAGGAATTCTCTTCCGCGCCTTATCTCCAGGTAAGATAAGATGAGCATCAGCTCCCATAATTTACCGTTGCTAACTAGCGCGTTAGTTGGTGGAAGTCCACATGCCTCGTGACGATGCTCCGGCGGGCTTGAAGATCACCGCTTCGGCAGCGGCGGAGAGAAATAAATAATGGTGGACACTCTCGGGCATCTTCCTTTCTTCATATTTCCCGGCACATTGCATCCCGCTTTTCTCTATTTCTTCTTTCTGTGATTTTGTTGCCTGCGACTCTTCGTGCATATTTTTCTTAACTAATATTCGATCGAAAGGGGTGGCGATACACATTACGGTGAATGACGGGTAGCATGACATTATGTTTAATCGACACGACTACTTTTTATGATAAATCCAGATATGAAATTGATTGTCCTGAATAATAATGGAGAGCGTTGCAAGCGAGATCATTTTACACGGTGGGAAGTGGAAGGTCGAAGCTAGAATCACTACTGAGAACACCGTAGGCAAGACTGAGAGTACTTTTGTAGGGCTGAACGAGCGAGCCCGCTGTCGGTCCTTGGGTAAGGGGAAGTTAACGGGGTGGAGACCGGCGTGGCCCTGAATTTTAGTATGGAGAATACGGTGTTAGATGCTAAATGAAGATTGTTTCATTCATAGTTTTGGAGGATTTTGCGTAATGCCTTGACTGAGTTTACAATTTACATTAGTAGAAAGTAGAAACCTTATCAAATGTAAGCACCAGCAAAACTACACACGGTACTGCTTGGTTGAAGGGGGCGCAGGAGAAAAAAAAAAAAGAAAGAAAGAAAAAAGACTGGGGAATCCACGTGATCGGGAGGCGATAAAGGCGCTAAGGCGTCCAGCGCCTGGAAGCTCCTTGTGAAACGTTTTGATTGATTTGCCCCGACTTTAACTAAGAATCCTTTCCTTCCTGACAGCAGTGAGCAGACCCAGTCTCCAGTCTCTTCCTACCCCTTCCTCGTCACCTCGGATTCTCGCCAATTTATCTGTGGCCGCCAAGATTCGGACAGCTACACCGATAGCTGTCGACACGAACCTGCTATCTACCTTATCGCTTCGATTATTATTATTATTATTATTATTCGGAGGATCGTTATTTAGCGACGACTCGGTCATGGTACGTCTCATTTCCCCGTCGGGCTATCGGCGGGATTTCTTCGCCCCTGTCCAGTGGCTAGTTTAGGTAGTTATCGCTCACTGATGTCGGCTCAGCCTTCCCAAGGTCAATTCATCTCTCCGTGAAAGGTATCCTTTTATTCCTTCTCATCGCACGAACTATCGATAATTCGCTCTGTCGGCGCTTCTCTCCTCTCCTTCTATTTCCCTTCCCTTAAACTACCATTTTCCTCGCAACGAATCGATTTCGAAGCCAACGGCAACCCGCTTGATCTGTGTCCCCCCCCTTTTACTCGACACCGTAATCGACATTGGTTCAATAATAGTCTCGCCTGGTGTACGGATTTATCTTTTGGGAAAGAAAATCGGAATCGGAAACGTACAACTATATGACGCCATGTATAACTAAGACTCGAGTTTTGCACCCCACTCGCTGCCCAATTCAGTACATCGATTGCCTGTGGCACGACAGCGGGGATATTTGCGAACCATCATATCTGAAGAGAGCGTAGATATCGGCTATGACACTGCTTGCGCCATAACTTCGAGGATCCATTCATCTGTACAGTCACATCCAGAAGGGATCGTCAAGAAAAAGACGTGCGGGGGTTTAAAACCCGTATGCGTGGCTTGGGGGCTATTTGACGTGTCTCATTTTTGGTTGTTATCACCACCAAACCCGCCATCATGGACGGTCAACGACCCCAGCAGTATATGCCTGTTCCTCCGCCTTCAACCCAACCGCCTCAATCGCACATGGTGCTGCCACCTCCGCCGCCACGATACCCTCCCACACAACCCCAGGGTGGTATGCCCCCGCCGCCTCCTGGACCACCCCCGGGGCAAGGTTATGGCCCTCCGAAGATTGCCAATCCTCAGATGCAGCACCAGAACAATCTACAATGGGCGCCAAACTGGGCAACGCGGCAGGCACTTTCCCAGGGGATCCTTCCTCCCCCTCCCCCTCCCCCTCCTATGGCGCCGACAAACCAGCAACCCTATGGTCGACCGCCTCTGTCAGTTGGAGGTGAAGGTCGGACTTCCGCAACGTACGTCCCACAGGGAGGGACGTTCGGCCCGGGAGTCGGAATACCTGCATTCGACTTGCATTCCCTTCCTGCATACGAGAATCAGGGGACCATGACCGGTAGCGATCGACAGCAGCTTTCAATAAATCAACCTTACGAGTATCCCAACGCGGATGCATATAAGCGAGACGGGACCATTCCGCCGACGCCGTCGGCGCGCACTATTCCCCCTTCTCTAACCGCAAGTGATATCTCACATGAACAGTACTCCACTACGACAGCGCAGAATCCGCAAGCTCAAAACGGCCAGAACCAAGGC